TCTTTTCGCGAGCACTTCTCAATAACTATTTTTTATAAGTATTTGTCTTCAACCACTGATGCCCATTATTCACGACTATTTTTTTATCATGCTGACAGTTGTAGCTTCTTTCATAATTGCTATCATCTACGATCTTTCTTTATGTTTTGAATCTTCAACTGAAGCTAACTTCTGGTAACTGTTAATGACCGTTTTGAGCTTTGTAATTCTTTTGATATCACTCTTTTAGCCTTATCATGTCGCTTGCGGACTTATAATATTTTTTTATGTGATTTTCTATTTTTGAGCAATTTTGAGAAAAATCTGACAGCTCTTTTAATCATATGAACTTAGAATATTATCTTGTCAGTCCTATTTTCAAGCAATTTTGAGTGTCAGAAACTTAAAAATCTTCAAAAACTCCTTGAAAGACCTCCAGTCTTGTGGACAAAGAACATTTTCCTTGTCAATCTTGCTTTTTGATCAGTTTTAGTTATTTTCAGTTTAGGGACAAGAAAAATCTTCAGAAACTCCTCAAAAGGCCTTTGGTCTTGTGGACTTTTAATAATTTTCTTGTTAGTCTTATTTTTTGACCAATTTTGAGTCTCTTCATGTTCTATCAAAACTGCTCGAAATATAACATTCTTGAAGAGATTTTGTGATTATCCAAATTTTCTTGAAAGGTAAATCCTCCAACAAAAATTTAGGACTTAGATAATTTTACAAGTCCATGTTGGTAAAAGTATGGAAGCTTATAATCCTTTGATTTTTAGTCAAAAGTTATATCCACACTATTGAACTTCAAGGTGTATTTCTCTTTGAAAGTATATAATCTATTTCCTATTACAAAAGTACATAAAATTTTTCTTGTCCCAAATAAATATATATATTATAATTGAAGAGAGAATAAAGTATTAGAAAATAGACAAATTTTGTAATTGAAAATTAGAGATAAAAACTTATGTATACGGAGAGAATATAAATTATTGTGTAATTTTTTTCTTATCTTACTTTTAATGTAATATCGGTGTACCAAACACGCAGATCTCTAATATTTTTTTATTTTTTTTTGATAATGGATCTCTAATCTTTAGAGTCACACGTAAAGGCACAAATAATAATTAATACATGAAAATGCTTATTATTGCGTGAGTATAAATCACACGATAATAATAATAATAATAATAAGTAAACTTTCAATTGATTAGCTGATTTAGCTCAATGATTCATGTCCAATGCAAGCCCAATAATCAAACAATGATCTCACCCGTCAAGGTAGCTCCAGAGGTTAAAGACAAATAAAATTCCATGATTCTTGAGTTGCACGTTGCATGTGTCCCACCATGCTAATCGATCACCTCATCCTATCAAAACAACTAGGCAAGGACTACAAGCCAAAGTCAGTAAAAGAAAATAGCAGGACTCCACTCACTCCGTGTGTTTAATGTTTTGCTTAGATTAAATGATTTTCAGAGTAAAAAAACACGAGAATTATCATTTTTTTTATAAAAGATTAATTTTTTATTTGTGTTATTTTATTTTTAGAAAGAAACAAAATCTGTATATTTTTTCTCCCATTTAAAACAAAGAAGGCTTTCATTGAAGTATTTTTATGGATGATTGTCTCTTCACTTTTTGAAATTTGAAAGAAGAAGGAAGATTCACCTTTGAAAAAGTAAAAAGGTTGAAGCTCAACCTCGACCACAGAAGGACAACTTTCTTCTCCCTTTAAGCTTACTGGAGTAAAATGAATTATTTTTCAAAGTCTCATATTAACAAACTTAAACGAGGAAAAAATAAAAAATATTATAAATAAAAAATTTATGTTATATAATTATGATATTAAGGTTAAAATAATAGTATACTATTATATTAATTTTATCAACTGAAATGTTGATAGATATAATATTTAAAAAATTGCAAATCGCTAATTTATTATTATATATGTTCCTGACCAAAGAGCATTAAGTATTTTTTGTTTAAATATAAAAAAGCATTATTGTTAACATTAAACACATATTATATGGTAGATTAGATTCCCCATACCCTTAAAAGCTCACGAATGTATTATTTAAAATATATGTTGAATCTTGCTTTGTGTCCCATCATGAGGAGTTAAATTGTTTCTTTAACCCATAATACATTCAGTTACGCTCTAGCATTTGTCCTTGATAATTAACATCGTTGGAGTGGCAGAGCGAGATTCCGTTCCAGCCTACCAAAACTTCGCTACCAATAGTGAGCTAGGACCTCTTGCCTTGTGTTTTTTTTTTAAGTGAGCGAAATTTTTTAATTTGACATTTTTAGGGTGAACTGCTAAACTAATAATGCTTATAAAAAATATCTCTAAAAAGTCACCTCTTTCGTCCTAATATAAAATAACTCAATATTCAATAATTATTTTTTTATCATAATTTATTTATATTAAAATTATTATACATATATATAGTAAAAAAATTGAATTACAATAATATAAATTACTTTCACTTTTACGTTGTCTCTTTTCAATCGCTGTCACCTAGTATAAGATATTTTTGGAAATGGTCAAAATTTTGCCATCAGATGAAATTTCATTTTTCCTAGTAAACAACAGTGTGTATGTATGTACGAAAATTGTTCCTTAATATTATCAGTGTGGATTTTGTTTTGAAGCAAATACGTTGATATTTTAGTCACGAGGGAGACGCTATACATGTGTGAAATTTCCAAGTTAGATGTGTTCGCAGTTTTTCTTAACCACTAAAAATTCTCAATTATTTTTTTTAGAGTAAGATGATGTTGGAACATTTTTTTATATATGAATTTTTTTTTCCAAATTCAAAAAATATAATTTTTTATAAAATTACGAAAATGTAATTCTTCTGAAAAAATCGCTCGACTTTTGACAAAAACTACTACTAACAATTTTGATATACTTTTTAAATATTTAATTATTTTTTTAAAAGTTATTATTGATGACTTTAAATTTTTAAATATTATTTTAAAAAATTGCTATTAGCAACTTTTGAAACTTTATTATTCTTTTATTTTTGAATATTTGTACTACACTAAAAGCGATTTTTTAACTCTATATTCTCATAATTTTATAAAAAATATCATATTTTTTGTATTTTAAAAAATAAAAATTATATAAAAAAAGTTACATAAAGATGTTTAAGCGAGAATTTTAGAGAAGATGTATTTTTAAATTTTAAATTAAAATAATTATATATCATGTATGAAAATAAATAAATAACTAAAATATTAAATTTATGTTAATATATTTTTTAATTTGAAAATTTATTAATTTAAAAAATATTTTTCTTTAAAATTAAAATTATTAAAAAAATATTACTCAATCTATTTAAGTTAACCTACTAGAAAAAGTGAATTTCAGTGATCTGAATTAAAAAAGTTCAAATGTAATTCGAACTTTAAAAAAATAGTGCTTAAAATGAATCAATGAACTTAATCAAATAAAATTTAAAACATCTTAATTTAATTTTAGTTTATAATTTAAAATATTAATTTTATACTTTATCGAATCGACTCATTTTACCCATTCTATCTAAAACACCTTTTTTTATAATAAAAAAAAAACTAAAATAAAAACTACATAACTTATATTGCATAGTAAGAAACTAATACTTTCAAATATATTTTCACCATATTTTTCAACAAAATATTATCATAAATAAAATTAAAAACATGATATTTCAATAAAGTAAAAAAAAACTTAATCATATTATAAAATATTATTGTCTACCATTTTCATATTTTAAAAAATTTACCAAACATATAATTTTGTTAGTTATTCAAACAAAAAATTTATTTTTCTCCTATTTTTACTCGTCCAGATAAAATATTTTTTTATTTTATTTTCATTCATTTTTTACTCTTTTATTTTTTTATTTATTTTATCTCATTTTTTAAATAAAACTTAAATGTTAAACTTCAACTTTTGATTGAATGCTTATTCTGTGATTATTTTATTTGTATACATTTCAGATATTAAATATTTACTTATCTTATTGAATTTGTGATTTTTAATAAAGTATTGTATAGTATTTATTATATATATATATATATATATATATATATATATATAAATACTAAGTCAAGTTTAAAATTTAAAATAATGATCCTTAAAAATTATTTGTTTAAAGAATAAAAATTTAAAAATATATTTTAAGAAAGTTAGTCTTTATTATTTTTTTAAAATCATAAAAACCACAGAATGAACAAAATATATATATAAGTGTGTGTTTATGTAAACAAAAAACTTTAAATTTGAGTCAATACAAATTTTGGGTATAAAGAAAATGAATGTATTTAATATTTTATGACTTTTTTCCGTGAAATTTTTGTTAGGAATAAAAGCATAAAAATAAAAATAAAAATTATTATTATAATAAACTCTATTTGATATAATTATTTTATTTTTTATTCATTAAATTAAATAAAAAATTTATATTTTTATTGTATATTAAAATAATATGTTTTTAAAATAAATGGTTAAAATAATGTTATTTTAGTTTTTGACAATTCTTAACTCCTAGAAAATTTGTGGCGATTTATAGAATAATGATTTATACAAACTACTATAGAAAATGATAATCACATGAATTCATGGTGATTTTTTGAGAGAAAAATTCTTGTAATTTTAAATCACAATAAATGTTTCTAATAATAATGGAACTCTAATTTAGTAATAAATTTTAATGAAGGGTCCCCACAGAAGCAAATCCGGATGCTTCCGCAGCAGATTACTCCATCCCCCTGTCCCTACCCACGAAAGAAACGGTGTTGATACCATGCCGCGTTATGATAATCATAATGGCAAAAGCCAAAAAGGTATCTGATCCTGATTCTCGTGCTGAAAACATCATCACCATCGCGTGGGTCCCACCTCCAAAATTATTATTTCTTAAATTAATGACGGAATTATAGATACACCAACATTTTTATTTATATTCCCAAATCACCAAACTGCCCTCATCCCTTCGCTATATAACGAAACGCACACTGCACACTCATTTCCTATCCCACACGCGTGTACTTTCTTGCGAAACCCAGAGAGAGTGTGAGGACAACTTTTTTTTTTTTTTTTTTCCTTTACAGAGAGGAAAAAAATGTTGGGAATCTTCAGCAGCGCCGTGGTGTCACCGCCGGAAGAGCTGGTGGCCGCCGGCAGCCGAACTCCGTCGCCGAAGACAACAGCGGGTACGCTTCTGAAACGGTTCATTGAGAACAAGGGGTTGGACTCGGCGGTGTCTCTGCAGGTGGGGGAACACGTGCGGTTGGCTTACACGCACCACAACGAGTCACCGTGGCACCCCAGGTAAACGCATAGTTTCTACCGTGTACAGTTACGAGTCGCCTAAGCGACGTCGTTCTGTCACATCGTTTATCATTCCCGCACGCGCGGTATTAGGGGGAATTCGAACTTGGAAAAGCTTCCTGCTTGTCAATTAGGAGCTTGTTGTTCACTCTTGAAAAAAATAATAAAAAGTTAAAAGTAAAAAGGATTAATAAATTAATTAATTCAGAAAATTTCTGACACAAAATGGAAGAATCTTATAACCTGGTTATATGTGAGATGAGAGTGTAAATCACACAGCAAGAAGGTTGGTGGCAGAACTTTGTTCCTAATGCTCATTTAAGTGTTGATCCTTGCGGATCACTGGTTAGATCGCTCTTTCTTCCTTTTAATATCTATGATCTTCCTAAACTATTTGGAACTGAGTCTTTAAAGAAAAATAAAAAATTATATTACTAATTTTTATAATAAAATAATATAAATTTAATATCTTATTTTTTTTACTTTAATTATTATATAATTATTTTGATTTATTTTTTCAATATCTTATCATCAAACCTATCATTGAAGTGCCGATCAAATCATTTTAATATATTTTATTGAAATTTTGAAGTATTTACAAGAATTGTGAAAATATTTTAATATATTTTTAAAATTTTATTTTTGGAATAATATCTTAGTTCACTTACTAAAATTGTCGTTTTAAAAGCTATTTGTCCTGAAATTAGTCTTGTCAGGAGCAAACAGGCGTAGATGACTTGTCTTTTCTTTTCTTATAAAAAAATCTCCGGCTTATATTAGAAGGAAAAGGAAAATAAATATTGAAGTTTTTCATCATTTGCAGAAGACAAAAAATGAAAATTGAAAAAGACCGACAGGGGTAGAAAATACGTCAATTTTTTGAAAAATAGCATTGCGAAGTATAAAAACAAAATGAATGATTGGATTTGTGGTGAGCGGTGAGTGATAATATGGGTGGAGTAGGTGATTGGCATTTCTGCGGATTCACCCAAGTTCTTATTTTTGCATGATTGCCATGTGGCTAAGAAATTTTGAACTGCAGCTATTATTTGAAAAGTGAAAAAAAATTCCCAAATAAAAATATTTATTTTCTTTCTCTATGTTTAAAACAATAATGAAAAGTATAATTATTTGTTTCTGTCTTTATTTGATCATTTATTCTTATTTAAATTATCTCTTATTATTGAATTCACATTTTCTTAAAAATTATAAATTTTTTTATCCAGAAAATTTAAATATAAAAATGATTTTTTAAAATTTTTATGATATATCATTTATTTTTTTCTATTTGATATAAAATTTATTTAGTTAAAACTTCTGGATTATTCCATAAGCACCTCTTGTCATCCATCCAAATACATATAATGTAATAATTTAGAACTGCTATATTTAAATACAAAACACGATTATTTATTACCTCATTAATTATTGCAATAATTTTATTACTTTAAATAGAAATATTTTAGTGAAATAAATTTATTTTATTATAACAATTAATAAAATGAATTATTATTTTTAATATGTGTGCATTAATACTTAGTAACATTTAATATGAGATAAGAGGAGTAATAATAAATATTTTATGCACTTCATGCATGTTTTTAACAAGATTATTTATTTTTAATGTTTTATAAATTATAATGAATTTTACACAATAATATTTTTAAGATGAAAAATTCCTAACAATTTGAATCAAATAGCTAATAATGTTTAGGCCCAAAGTTGACCGCGGACTGTGAAATATAATAATGAGCATTGAGTGTTGACCCAAAAAAAAAAAATGTGAGCATCCGTTTACATTATTCTTATTTCTTATCATTGAAGTACAGGAAATTTTTTTCCTTCCGCCTGCACAGATAAATACACTGTAGTTTGCACAGATAAATACGTAGTTTAAGACTTTTGTGTGATGAACAAAAAACAAAAAGACATGTTTTTTAAAATCTTATTTGAATTTTTTGGAATGCTTAAATGCTTTTGTGGACGTTTTTTTCCCCTTGAACGGCAATTATTGTTAATGCAAATTAATAAATAAATGAGCTTAAAAGTTAAAACAACTATTTTACAGTAGTTATATAATGTAATTGAGTTTACCATACATCTATTTTGTCCAATTAAAATATTATCATAATAGTTGAAGAGAGCTTCTTTTGACGTCATAATTTGTGGATCTGTAATTGAATTATTGATCAGTTTCCATGGTCCTGGTGATGAGTACAAGCTGGATTTTAATTTTGCTGAAACAGAGAATAAAAAGGTCTGGTTTCGCATTCACTTGGACTCTTCTTCTTTGGAAAAGTTCAAACACTTCTAAGTCCATAAACGAAATGGGACCACTTGATTAGTTTACATTGAGGTTTTTTCTTTTAATGTAGTTAATATTGAGTTTGGTATGCATTATATCTACGGCAGACACTAAATACCGTATATTTAAAGGTAAAATTTGTTGACATATTTTTTTAAATGAGTCTTAAATTGTATGAGTTGAATATTTTTAAATTTGAAACTTTTAATTTCTAACTTTATAAGAATGTATTTATTTTATTTCTTATCATTATTTTACGCTAAAAAACTAAAATAGACTATGTTTCGTAAAGTTTGAATTTTTTTTTAAAATTTAGGGATAAGTCCCTAAAATTTGATGACATGAAAAAAATTTAAAATTAGTCTTAAATTGTACAGTTGAATATTTTAAATTTTAAACTTATAATTTTTAATTTCTAACTTTATATAAAGTTAGTTATTTTACACTATAAAACTAAAACAAACAATGTTTCGTTTAAGTTAGATTTATTTTTGGTAAAAATTTTAGGGATAAGTCATTCAATTGCGAGAACTAATTTCAGGATTTAATTGTTGTTTTAATTACTATGGAAACTGTGTTTTAAGTGGGTTTATAAATAAATGAAATAGCTTTGTTGGGAAAACGGTCCTCGTTCATTTCCTTTTTAATCAAATTTAAATACAATATTCTAAATTTTTGTTCAATTCCGTTTTTTTTTTTAAATAGTTATTGAGTTTAAAATATTATGATTTATCTTGTTTTAATCTTTATCCCAATTGGGATTATCTTAAGTATATTTTCATTATATGCACATCATTATTAAGTTTTAATAATTTTATCTACTCATTTCATACTCCGGACGTTACCGGAGGCTCCACATTTATTAGCAATGTTTTTATTTTTCGTTTGTTTCCCTTGACCAAATTGGGTGGCCCCTGTAGCTGGTGTGTTCACACTCAATTATTGGTTTCCTGCATCTTCCACTTCAAAATGTTGACTTTAGTTTGCTGAATTGTTGCTTTCTTGCGAGTCTTTTGCTTTCCAAGCCCAAGGGGGATGGATGAAGATAAGGATAACGTAGATTAGGTTGGTGGCCAGTGGGACCGGGGATTTAAAAATATCGGAATATGTTATTTATGTTTTACTTAAATAAGTAATTAATTTATAAAAAATTAAAAAATCTCGATAATAATTTTAGATTTAACCAAAAAATGATTTACGTCTCTCACTAAGAATTAAAATTATGTATTTTTTTATAGAAGATAAAATAAAAAAATGTTAATAGTTTAGAAACTATTACTTATTAAATCTTTATACTTTTATGATCGAGTTTTTAATTAATCATTAACTGATGGATATTTTTTTAACATTAAATAAACCTTGTTAAGAATATACTGTTAAATTTTAAAAAGAATAATAACACATCGTTTACTTGCAGAATAGGACAGTAATGAAATAAAAAACTTATTTTTGTCTAAACATAAAAATTATGTTTTGTGAAATATTTTATTCTCCCATAAGCATGCTTACAACAAAACACATCATTTTGTTAAAAAAAAAAAAGCTTTAATAAATAAAATAATGTTTAAAATTTTATTTTATCGTACTTTTTTAAAAATAAAGTTTTAAACATAAATTACTTATTTTTAAATAAATTTTCAATCAAAATTAACTTCATAAATTTAATTTGTAAGCAAACATATTGCATGCCGGATCATAATTAGTGACATGACAGGATTTTCTTTCGTTTTGTGAAGGGTCAATCACATCGTTAGTAACATCTTCGCTAACTTTATCTCAAATTAAACAACAAAAAAGACCTTGATTACTTATTTAATTGAAGAGGTATAAGCTAATCAAGGCTAAGAGTATTTTGAAACGCAGGCTTTACGTAAGGTGGAAAAAATGTCACTTAAAATCTTCACTCATTTACATAAATTAGTTAAATTCAAGATTTACAATTTGCTGCTTTTAGACATTAAATCTGAGCTTGACTTATTTTATTGATTAATTAATATTTTGTCTAACAAATAATTTTGTTCTATATATGCTGAGTGAATGGCAGATCATTTGCTGCTAAGGATGAGATATTCTGCTTGTTTGAGGGAGCTCTTGACAATTTGGGGAGTTTGAGACAACAGTATGGACTGGCCAAGTCTGCCAATGAAGTAATTTTGATGATCGAAGCTTACAAAGCCTTACGTGATAGAGCACCCTACCCTCCCAATCACGTTGTTGGCCATCTCAGTGGTGCATTTGCTTTCATAGTCTTTGACAAGTCCACTTCTACCCTCTTTGTGGCTTCCGTAAGTTTTCTATCTTATCAATGCTCCTCACACCCATAATCACTTTTACTCTGAAAACCATTCTGCTTGTGTTATTTTTAACAGGATCAGAACGGTAAGATTCCTCTGTACTGGGGAATAACAGCAGATGGGTACGTGGCATTTGCTGATGATGCAGATTTACTTAAAGGTGCTTGTGGCAAGTCACTTGCTTCTTTCCCTCAAGGTGCGTTTAGTTTTGTGATTTAGAAATTGTTTTTGCCCTCTTCAAGATGATCATAATTCATAACATGAGAAATTTAGAAATAGAAGAGGGGGAAAATGGAAAACATAACATGCGCCAAATTCATAGAGGTAGAATAAGATTTTATTCTGCAATAACGTTGTTTCTGTTTTGTTCTGTTCCTTTTTTATTTTACTTCATAATTATAATATTTCCTCTTTATTAACATTGTTGGTCTGTAAATTGTACAGGATGCTTCTACTCGACATCAGTTGGAGGACTGAGATGCTATGAGAATCCAAAGAATAAGATTACTGCAGTACCTGCTGACGACGAGGAAATCTGGGGTGCTACCTTCAAGGTAACCAGATAACATGAGGTTAAATATTACTGCTGGTACAACTCTTAGTTCTCCTTGCAGAATATTCTTTTCATCCGTTAGAATAGAGTCAGCCTCAACAGTAATTGCATTTGTTGAAAAAATTAACAATTTTTTTTTAAATTTGCTGAAATTATACGATAAATGAAATAAATTTATTGATTTTAGTTAAAGCGTGCAAACTATCGAGTTTAAGAGTATTTCGCTGTTACACATAAATTACTACATACTGATGTTCACGTAGTTAATATTATACTCTTTAAGACAGGAGTTCATACACACGTCATTTCACTAAACAAAAGGTGTGGTGTCCAAAACGAATCGGTTAGATTAATATAAGAACATTGTGATCCAACATGTAACTAGGGTTCCAAGTTTAAGTTTAAGTTTTTACTGAGGTAATGACATTGTGATCCATGCTCATACTTGTCCTTAAAACATTTGTAACAGCTAAATTACAACCTATACATGCAAGGAAGTGTTTATTGCCACTCTCACGTGTCTATTATAACTTTTTAAAAGAATATTTTATATAAAATATCTCTTATATTAATATGGTTATAACAAAAATGATATTTAAACCAAAAACCACTTAAATGAAAGTGATAATAAACACACCCCTTACAAGTTTGATCAGTTCTTGAGGAGTAGGCAAGTCATGTTTAGGTAAAAGGTCTTTGGCAACGGTTAACAAGAAAGAAAATCGAGTGTAAGGTATAAAAATTGGAAAGCTACATCACACATTAATATTTATTTAATTCCATTCGGGTTGACTTCTAACATCTGTGTTTTTGTATTAATGTTTTATTTCCTTTTGTCTGTGTTGCTCTCCATAATTGAACTTTGATAAATACATCTATCTTAGGTGGAAGGCGCTCCATCAGTCCTTGCAGCCACAGAGTAGAAGATCCATTTTCAAAGAGTACCGTATGATGCATTAATGGAGTAATGTGTTTATGTGCTTGTGACTGCAAGGCATGCAAGAGGCCATGTAAATACCTTTAATGATAATTTTGAGAAGAGTGTGACTTGTAGTAGAGTTTATTATGGTGTAGTTTGTTCATTTGATAGGATTTACTGTGTGGCCAGTGTACAGTTGTGCTTTCTAATGTAATAAAAAAAATATGCTTCTGGGTTCTGGCTTGAGATTCTCTAATACTCATTCCAGTAGCTGACCAAGATAACTTATATTGGGGTAGCTAAATGGATAAAGAACTGTTAATTAAAAAATTAATTAAATTAAAAAATAAGTTAAATTATTAATTTTTAAAGATAATTAATGTGTAATTTTTGTTTTCCAATTAATTTTTGGTTAAATTTTAGCCATCTAACTTTACAGATTATTACAATTAAGAATTTGAAGCCGTGAGGTTATATTTAAAATTTTAATTTACGAGTTTTGAATAAAAGTTTAAATTAGTATATTAGTTTAGTTCACAATAATTTTGGAAATTAGAGAATCTAATAAAACTAATTATTTTGTAACAACTTAAAAATAAAAAAAATTCAATTTAGAAAAATATTTGAAATTTAAAATTGCGCAATAATTATAATATTTTTTAAATTAAGCTAAATTAAAATTTGAAAAATTGTATGTAGTACTTCAAAATTTTTATGTAGCACCACTTCTTAAAAAATTTGAAAAGGGTTCTTTGGTTAAGGAGTGCTCTAGTCTCTACACATACAATCTTCTACAATCATTTTAAAAATTCATAAATTCTATGAAAGTACAAAGCAAATAAGCACAACAAAATTCTTAATAAACTGATGGACCTCCAAGTTTTGGTGGTCTTTCTAAACACGTTCAACAGTCTTTTGTTTTAAAATATATTTATAATTAAAATATTTTTAAAAGTTTGTATTTTATAAAATTTATCAAAATTTAAAACATTTATAAAGTATATTTTAAAATTTTAATTTAACAATAACTGTAATAAATGACACATGTACTAATATTAAAAATTTACTTCTATATGTAATTTACGAGTTTTAATTTTTAAACAAGAATATTTTTAAGAGTCATATAAGATTTTTAAGTATTAATTATTTCTTATATTCTTTTAAATTTAATCTTAATTTAAATTTATATTTAAATTTAAAATAATTTAAAAAAATTTATCTCTTTAATCTTATTTAACTTAAAAAATATTTATTATTCACAATTTTAAGAATGTTTGTTTTTTCGCCTTTCATCCTCAATATTCGATGCTTTGAAGAAATTGTGGCATTCAAAAGTGGCAACTATTATTTGGCAATGCAATTCATATTATTCTGTTGTATATAGCCGAACTTGTCAAAGAGAGTTTGTTGTAAAAATGGACTTATGCACGTTATTCACTCCAGATAACAGGGCATGCATGTTGTTCATCTTTTCTCATATCATAAATCTATTATGTAACTGATGCTTTATAAATGTGAATAATAATAATAATAATAATAGTTTTTGTTAATAAAAAATAAAATATTATTTCTCATAATATTGTATTTGATAATAATATATTTAAATAAATTTTTCTGTAGTCTTTGGGACAAACAAGAAAGGGACAGCTTTTATCTTACCGATTGGTAATGTGTTTAAATTTCAATTGAGAACCTCAAAATCATCGTTTAAGCAAAAACTATATCAGCTCAAATAATTACGTGAGTGAGATGAGAATTGAGTTTAGATAAACTTATCAATACATATTTATAAGAAAGAAAAATTAAATAATAAAATAAATTAAACTTTTTTTATGAATTAAAATTAGTGTATGTTTTATTCTTTTAGAAACATTCTTATTTAACATCTTTAAAATTTAAGAAGATATATTTTTTAATATATAAAAAATATTTTATTATTTTTTATATTAATTTTTTTCAAGATTTATCTACAACTTCACCTAAATTTAATAATTTTCTCTTCTTTTATAAAATAGAGGGAAAAAATACATGTATTTATTATTTTACAAATATTAAATTTATCTACTATTTTTTTAGTAATTAAAATAATTTATAAGAATAAAAAATAAAAAAATTAAAATTAATTAAGAAAAAGATGTAAACACACACTCAAACTTGTTTATTTATTTATTTATCAGTAATAAAGTGTGAGGACACATGCGTCATAAAAAAGATGATATCACGGCTGTAAAATCATCTACTCTCGCACCGTCACCACCACATCCGTCTTCTTCTTCACTTTAATTTTTCTCTAATTGATTTGGAACTGAAATCTCAACTTGTTCAAAACGAAGCCCAGGTATATCTTCTTCTTCTTCTTCTTCTTCTTCTCTCTCTCTCTCTCTCTCTCTCTCTCTGTGTGTGTGTCTCTTTCTTGTTCTTGCTATCTGAGGATCAAATCCGATCTTTGTGTTTGTGTTTATGTGCATAGTTTTTTGTGACGAATTTCTTTTATCAATGACCATTGACCAACTTAAAAGGTTACACCGTTTTTTTGTAATTCTTTTTCACATTGAGAAGGCTTCTTGAATTTTAGGACAATGAGATTCCACTACATATACTCTTCGTATCATTTGTGATTTACACCAATGTCAACATTTATCTTTAGCATTCTTTATTTGATGTATATGATCTTTATTTTTCATGATCAATCTTTTTGCTTATCCTGTGGAATGGTCAAAGAATCTTTCGAACAACACAACCACATGGATCAACACCAGCATGGTCAACGAGCACGAAAGATTGGTACTACGGCAGAAGCAAAAGGCAAAAACCAATATCAACCCAACACCATGGTGGCACCTACCAATCCTCCAACTCACACAGCTGGTCCTTCTGCCTCTTCATCATACCGAAGAGCGCAACCACATCCATCCCGATACATCTGCCCGCTACTGCTACAGCAACAGCACTTGCGATATCAACTCAAAAACTTATGGGCAAATCAGATGGAGAAAATTGAGATCAATGACTTTAGAACTCGTAGTTTGCCTTTGGCTAGGATCAAGAAGATCATGAAGGCTGATGAGGATGTGGACATGATATCAGGCGAGGCGCTTGTGGTGGTTGCTAAGGCATGTGAAATGTTCATTATGGAGCTGACAACGAGAGCTTGGGTTAAAGCTGAGGAAAACAGAAGGCTGACACTTCAGAAGAATGACATTAGATATGCAATCTCAAGAACTGATGCGTTTGATTTTCTTGTTGACATTGTCCCTAGGGATGACACTGTGGAGCATGAAATCGTTGCAGGCATACTAAGAGACACTATTCCAATTAACAATGTTCTTTATCCCATGCCACCTCGTCAGCATGTTGCATATGCTCCACATGGGCCCTCAAGAATGGCTATGGGTGGGCCCGTTCTTGATCAGGCCCATTATGGGCTGGACCCCCATCCTTCTACAACTCAAATGCGGCCCAACCCCAAACAACAAGACCATTCTCCTAATTCGGATGATTGAGCAAATTTGCTACTGGGTGTAAACACTGACAATTATGAATAGTATATAAATATGTTTATTTTAAATGAGGCCAAGTATTATCGAATTAAAACTCACCCCTAGCCTTCCTTTGTTATATAGTATGCTTTATATATGAAACTGTTTTCAATGGCAATTTGTGATATAACTCCAAGGTAGCTTTATATAGATCAAGAGAGAAATGGACGCCAAACTCGCGGTGCATAATATGCTACCATAGAACGGTGGCCCCCTATATCAGCCATTCACTTACCTACAAAAGAGACTTGATTTTATTCAATGAACCGCATGTTAACTAAGATTTAATTAGCTATGCTACATTTAATCCTAAGGACTTCCTTAAAATATCTTACAATTTTTGGAGCATGAATATATTCTTAATTAATTATCCTTGATATATTAATAAGAAAAATGGATGGCTGGACTGAATGCAATGACCGATTTAAGGGTGGGCAATGGGGTATAGAATCACACAGGATGTGAGTTTGAGGGAAAAAAACTATACATGGAATGCTTAGTTCAAAATGAAATTATCTCATCGAAACAAAAATTAGAAACTTCAAACTTTAAACATAAGCAATTTTCTGAATCACACAAGTGGCTCAGCTATTTCAGCACAACAAATTTCTTTTATTGGAACTTAAAAGAGTTCAAACTTCAACTTATAAAACATAACAGAAACATTTTTGTTTCTCTTCTATTGAACAACAAACATTTTTGTATGGTTTAAACAAGGAATACCATTATTATATTGGACAAAACATGGAAGTAGCTAAACATGTTTTATATACGTGCGTGGAGGTCACAAACGGCAAGAACTGGCGGGACAAATATCTTCCAGACTGCAAGAAATAATGCAGGAGCTTAAATGTAACTCAACTTGCTCATAAAAAACACAGGAAAATTAACAATACATTATTTGACACATTTTCTTTTCAGAACTCTTCTTTAGTAAGAGAAATTCTATGCAAGCTCTGTTCTCTAATAATGGAGCGAGCCAGCATGAAACTTCAATAATAATAAAGAGTGTTGAAAAGAAAATATAAAGACACAAAGTGCATTGCTAGCTCTAAGATAAACATTTATCTAGAACATTAGAAGATACTACCTTTTCCCCAAGCATTCAATGATGTCACCAGTGACTGTTGATCTTTTCTTATTTGAGAAAGCAAGGGAAGCAGCCTTCCTCATCATAGCAGACCCAGCAACGCATCCCAACACGGCTGGATTTTTACAACTGAGCGGGAAAAATAAAATCAAGAAAAATAAAGTCAAGGATATAACTGATATCCAAATATGCACTAAATGGCCCAAGTAAAAGAGAAAACATTTCTTGTAGAATCTCAGTAAAGACATGTATGTAACCTTAGATTTGAATTTTGATCAGCAGCTGAGAAGTGTTGGCGTGCCCAAGACAAAAAGACAGCAACACTGTTTCAATTAAAATAAGTATACTTTTACTTTAAAACATCAAATTCCAACAGCATAGATCATAGATGTAAAACCCAATGTTTGCTACTGACTACTAACAGATTTGTTTTAACATTATATTATAGGATCTGTTTCTCAAAGCTAAGGAAAGGAAGAAGAGAAAACTACAGTAAGCAATCTACCAAACAATAAATGCCCCTCCCCACAAGGTCAGTAAGCTAAAAAACTGTGGAAGCTTAAAAACTTAAATTTTTTCCACGACTTAACCTATTGGTCCTACTTAACCCAAGACCACAAACACATTGATTCTATGTGTTACTCTCTCTGCCAAAGAAAGATGAGCTAATGATAAAATCAGAAATTCACAAGTTGCCAAAGGATAGGTATCAGAACAAGGAAAAGAATGATTTACTTCTCTCTTTCAATGCTTGATTAATGAAAGGTCTAAAAGCTCCCCAAATTTTCTGGGCATCTTAATTTGTTTATTGAATGTGTAAGATAACAGAAAAATAAGGAGAGAATGAGAACACCTATTAAAATAAGAATAAAGAGAACTCCATCTGACATAGAGAGGAGGCATCTATGCTTACAGTATAAAATTAAAAGGAAGGAAATTTCACAAATTCCAAGAAAATATTACTCGCCTTCCAGAAAGGATATCACCTTGGCCACCACAGCGTCTAGGAGAACCATAAATGCTTACTGATTTCACTGCATGAACAATAACCACAATCAAATGATTTATAAACACATCAGGGGATTACTAAAATATACATATCCCATAAGCTGGTGCCATTTGCGTAAAGCCGTAGAGTAGTCTATACCATAATATATCATCAAACACTTTTATAGATCAGTAAACTTTCAGTTCTATTATATCATATAACATGTCAATATGTCATGCAGTCAATGGGAACTGTAGTATGGGGTTCTGTATGAACATCACATTCTTGATTGAAATCACCAAATATGCTATTCAAGTGTAAAAGAAGGAAGGTACAAGAAGAATTTTTATATTTATCAAAGATCTACCTGTGTCACCATCACTTATGAGATCAGATTTTCCTTTCTTTAGGATAGTAACATTACCAATTCTGCCAAAGAACAGTCCACAATTGTCATTAAACTTAATATCAGATAATAAAGAGAAATCACTGAAACATATCCATGATTCAATCAAACAACTTAGCATGCTCCAGTTCTGTTTTTGGCTAAAAGCTGTTGATTTTCCTATAGCAAGAAATTGAAGAATTATAATCTGTTTCTCAATATTTGACCTGTATATGTCATGAATCAGCCTGAGCATCAAGCAAATCACACTGCCCATGATACAGTGCTTGATCAGGACTTAAAATTTAAAGCACCATTCCAATTAGAATCTTGAGACAATAAGATTAAGTTAGAGAGAAAAAGAATTATGAAGGTTGCACAGAGGGGCTCAACAGAACTTGTTATTTCTGTTTTTGATAATCAGATGGTTGAAAAGAACAGATTTCTCAATTGAGAAATGTAACCAACTGTTTATCAGAAAAGTATTTTATGTAAGATTTTTCCAGGTCCCAGAGTAAACCTAAAAGCGAGCCATATCAGCAATGTATATCACATTTATATCACTGAACTCCCAACCAAGTCCTTGACAATCATCCATTATTAAGAGTGAGCACCATACTATAATGTATGATTAGATGAAACTGCATTTAGCCAAGAAAATTTCACACCACAAAATGCAGAACAGAAATTTGTTTAGTTCTCTGTCAGTGTGAGTGGCATGCATGTTAAGGTTTACACAAGTTAGCATGCCAAAAATGTATGTGGTTATGCACATAAACTGACTATCCTCAATAGATGCATATCTCAGAAATAGAAACTCAATAAAATAGGCAAGGGTCAGTTCCCTAAAAATGTTCTAGCACAAATACCAGTAGCTTGAAATGATGAACTTACCGTTTGGCAAGAGATAGCACTTGCTGAGCAGCATCTATGTCCTTTATTTCAGAACTTAATACTTTCTGAACAAGACGCTTGTATTCATTGACATTTGGGGTTAGAACAGCTAAGACATAGCCACTGACAAGGTCAAGATGATTAGTAACAAGAAAAAGTCCATCCTGAAAAATGCCTAAAATTTTATCAGAATATAAAATATATACAGGTTAAAAATGCAAAGAATATGCACGTTAATCAGACTATAAGACATCTAAACCTCAACATACATACCCCATCTATCACAAATGGGATATTTGACTGCCTTGCATGTTTCATGATCTCGCTCACACAGTCCTGGCAACATTGTGAAAATGTTAGGATTAAAGGCGGTGGACATTGGCAAAAGGCAGGTCATAAGATATATATCATAAAACTCAAACGGGAAAAATCATATTCCATTACATGGAGGGAGAAAAAAGTATATTTAGTAAACATTGAGTGCATCTTGAAAGCACAAATTTCTAATACAGCCATAAAATATGTGTAACATTGCTTAATAGCTTAAACATTTAGATAGATGACTCTTTGCATCATACCGTAAGCTGGTTAACCAGGTGATCTAGTCCAACCTTCTCATATTCAACTTTATTATCAGAATTTCGGTACAAAGTAGTATCAGCTTTCTAAGTTAAGAGCTCATGCTCTGTTACATCTTAAGCTAAATGAGCTTTTATTTGTGTAAAAACTGCTTTTTGACTTCTCCTCCAGCAGTTTATTTTCTTAAAACTACTAGTTCTTTGACAGTCTTTCTGGCATCATTACGCCCTAGTTGTAATTAGCATCAACTGCAAGCATGTCAGCTGATAAGAACTTAAACCTCTTTATGAAAATATGGAGAGCTCCTTACAGTAGAGATGGACCTCTAGAATCCCACAAAAACTGAAAATGAAAAAAGATACCACAGGTCATTCGAGAGACCTGAAACCTCCTCCAAATTCTCACTGAATAATAACCTCCCTCTCATTTCCGCTACTTCCTTGCATCCCCACAGAGCCTATAACTCTACTACATTGTTTCTTACACTTGTTGCCATGTAGGGAAGCTTTTTACATCCTAAATAAATCCTTCGTTTGCCCTTATATTTTTTCACATGGACACATGGTCTAGCATAGGTGTTCTAACATTATAAAAAATGCATATTGGAAAAATATAAGAACACTTGAAGTCCAGAAGAAAGAACAAGAAGCTAAAGATAAGCAAGCTATTTCCATGTGTGTAATAAAATTGGAATCAAGTGAAAGCATACTAGAAGAAATGGATCTCTTCCAAGTCCTGGACCAATGACAAGACAGTCAAATCTTTCCATCCACTTATTAACTTCAGCAAGAATCTTGCTTGATATGATTTTCATGTCCTCCTCCCTGAAATTAACTATTGTTATAAACAACATCCATTTGGTTTTTGAAATGCACAGAAAGAAAGATGAAGATTACATAGAATAGAAGTCATACTTGACACTATATGATTCTTCCAAAACAGGGTGCACTATCAACTCAGGACTGTAGCTTTTGATGACAGGAGCAGCATCTTTTGTACAAAATACATGAGACAAATCTGCACCCTGTATAGGTGAAAAAATAGTTGGATAATTTGATTCAGTAAGAATAGGCAAAATAATAACTTCCAAAGAGAGAAAAAGAAACTTGAAAAAGGGAGAAGGTAATTGTGAGAGTCACACAAACAATCGAACAAGGTGGATAATTCAGTAAGAGGGAGGAAAAGGGTAAATGAGAAAAGAGTAAAGGCACTGACAATTTTTAAGGCTGATATGGCAGCAAAATATGGGGCACCTGTGTATTCACGGCACCCTCCAATAACAGCTATTTTCCCTGATTTGAAACATAAGTGAAGAAAACATTAGATATTTCTTTCTTTGTTTCCCATACAACTACAAACATGCATATATGAATAATATTAATCCTCTGGATGATTGAAAACATATGATTTTCTGAAATTTCTCGATCCTAGATAATACAACCCACCACACCTTCAGTAGTTGATTCCAATAGAAATATGAAATGAATGAAAATGAAGAAGACATATAAATTTATGAAATATTTTATCACATGATGTCTTAAAAAAGGGTAAGAAACGAAAAATTAAAAATAAACGTGAATATATATATAATAAGTCAATATCACACATGGAGTCACTAAAAGAAGACATGTGACTTTTCCTTTGATTTTTTTTTTTCATTAATATGATCTTTATAGAGAAAATATCATATGGAACTGCAAGAACTGTGTACCTGCCTGGCCTTTATGTCTATTAGCATCAAGAGGAGGAGTAATTGCTCGAATAATGCTCTCAGCATCAACCTCGACTGACTTCAGGTCTTGCATATTTCCAGAATGAGCGTGATGATCAATGCCAACTCCAAGAGATCTTATAAATAACTGTTGTCTTCTGAAAACAGGTGAAGAAGCCAGTAGCATACAAGTGTTTGCACAACTCAATAAGGATAACTGAGAATTCATGACATGTTTCATATTCATTAACATGAGCAAACAGCACCCCCTATTCACACACAACCCAAGCAACAATATTATGTCAACTTCCCAAGCTTCTTATCTGTAATATCTCAAAGACAAAAACACAAACCCCGCTTCTTTCCAATCAATCCATCAGAAATTTCGACACTATCCAATACCAATTTTCATAAAAATGCAGATAAATAAATAAAAAATTCAAACTTTGCAGAGGACACAACACATGAATGCAATCAGCGAATGAAGGAGACAGAGACAAAAACAAATACAAACAAATAGAAGCAAATATTAGCTTATAATAATACCTGAAAAACAATTTTATTTATTTATTTTCACAAAAAGAGGAACTCAGAAAGGCTTCAAATCCTGTGTTTTCTATTAAGCTAGCTTGGAATTGGATGATGTAGCTTAGAATTCAGGAACAGTGAGGTTAAAGTATCTAACTTTTCCAAGTTTTCTTTTCTGGGTTTGTACATTTGTCGTTGGATGATCCACGTGTTCCCACTTTGGAAGATACTAAAAAACGACGTGTCGTTGGCACCCTTTTTCTATTTATCTATTTATCTATTTATCTATTTCCTTTCCTTTCATCAAAGTTGTGTGGGTACTTGGTGTCGTATCTTCACTCACTCTTGACTCTGAGGCATGGGTGGAAGATCAGATATGAAGATGAACGCGATTAGGTCAGGGATAGTGGTGTTGGGAGCGCTTGCATTTGGGTACTTGACCTTACAAATCGGTTTTAAGCCTTATCTGGAGAAGGCTCAACTCTATCAATCTCACTCTGATTCTGATCCATCTTCACCTTCACAACAATCATCACAACATCCTTCATGATCGCTCTTCAGCTACACACAAAAGTAACGAAATTTTGCTGTCCCACTTGTGTCTTTGTTAGGATCTATTTTTTATTTGCTTATTAAACATTTAACGTTTACATCGTTTGCTCTGAGCTTTATGTGTTGAAATTGGCAATTTGTGCTCTTTCACTCCATGAACAATTTTATTTCTTTTACTTGAGCTTAGCCTTTGTTTGAGATGAAATTCCTTGGTAGGAACTATGTGTGATTTAGCTATTTGCCTTTTAATTGTTTGATCTATGTTCTGCTGAAATGTAGTGCATTGTGGATACGGGAAATTGTTAAAAACGTTCTTCAGATGGGTGGCTTAGCGTTATGCACAATCTGTGTTACAAGGAAAGAATGAAGTGCGTTTGATATGTAGTTTAGGATAAAACTTAGCGCAGTGCCTACGTAACACCATATATTATTCGTGTTGTCTTCTTACAAAATTGCACTAATATTGAAAGTAGACACATTATTAGTGAAAAATTGCAATTAGTTCTAGAACAATATCATGATATTCCATTTTTTATATTAAGATATCTATTAGGAATATGGGTTACTTTTTATAAAGTTTATAAAATTCTTCATTTATTTATGAAAAAATATTAAGTTTAATTTTACTGGATTGTCATCTTCAACCATGTCCACGTGTATGGGAAGGTTGAAAGTGTTCATCTTGCAAATAGGCATTCTAACTGAGGAGTCCTATGAAGTTCCTCACAGTTTTTCTTTTTTGGTCACCATCCTGTTATTTTGTTAGTATCTTTATTTGGGCTTCTGCCACGTTGGTGTGGGCCGAGCTAAACCATGTCGGCACATTGGGTTATCTTCATTGGGCTTCTCATTTTGGTTAATGCTACTACGAGGTAATTACTTTCCACATTCCTCGTTTTTACTTTTTAGTTATACGGTGCACGTAATAAAAATCTATATATGATAACTTTTTTTATTAAAAAAAGTAAGATATTACAACATTTAATGAATGAATAACATTAAATGTTCCAAAGTTGGAAAACAGTGATCTCGATTCCAATAGAAGCTTGTGTTGCAAGGGGGTAGACAATCTCCACCAGCAAATTTTTGGTAGTACGTGCCATTTAGTATTCACCTACCTTTAGTTATCTTTATTTATTGAGTTTTGTTAACCTCTAAGGCTTGAAAATATGCAGTTAATAATAGTAAAATTTTAAAAGAATTATTATATTTTTATAATTTTAATATAATAATTATGTACTTTTTTTAATAAAATTTTATATTTGTGAATATTTAAACTCAGTCTTTAAGGTTGAGGTTAATAATTTTTTTATTTTATTTTTAAAACAATTAAAAAATTATTTAAAAATTGAATTAAAAAAATGTACACGTCAGATGTCTTGTTTTAATGAAAAAATAGTGTGTATTTGGAATACATATGTCTATGATTTAGTGTTTTTTTATCCGATTACTTGTCAGAAATAACTAATGTGCAGATAACTGTAAGATCAAAAGGACTAATCAGATGTTGATTTATTTCGATATCATTTATGGATTCTAGAGAAAGCATTTCTCCAGAGTCAATTGTTTTGATAATAAATTCTCCTAAGTAATAATCATGGATAGGACATAAGTGGCCGAAATCATAGACAACAACAGGTAATTCAGAATCATACAACAATTCTGGAGCTGTGAAGTTGGAAGATGCTTTAAATTCTGGCATGTTAAAAATTGGCATGATGTGCAATAAGCTAATTTCTTGTTTGATCAAACGTTGGTTGGATTCTACTTGGCACAGCTCATAAAATTGGAACTTACCCAATTCCTCAAAATAAACGAAACCTTAAACAAGGTTGTGCCGTGAAGGTAAGTTGGTCAATTCTATTACGGACATCGATTGTGCAAACTACATATGATTGACTCGGCCATTATATATAAATATTATCTCATCTTAACGTGTGAACATCAATATCTTTTTTAAGATATTATCTATTCATTTGCCAAATTGTTTTGCTTTCTCCCATACCTCATTTTTTATTGACAGATTCATTATTCTAGAAGATGAAGAGGGATTCAATTAATATCGTTGGCAAATGAAGGTTTCGGCGTTTGAACTGGTTGCTAAAGTGTTTACATTAGAATTAGCAAAAGTATTAAAATAATAAATCTACAAAATTACTTTTAACATCTCATATCTACTGAAAATAAAAACATAATATAAAAAATAATTTTTATTAATTGAATTATTGATTTAATAACTATAAAAATGGCATCAAAAAGTCCCTTTTTCATATATTTTAAAAGTATGTATTGCATTAATTTTGATGCATATAAATAAAGTATAAAATAATTTTGAATTAATTTAAAATTTTATAAATGTAATTTATGTAATTAAAACTTTCAATCTAATAGTCAGTTTTAGAAATAACTTAATCAATAAAAAATATTTAAAAAGTATAAAAGTTAGTGTAATTTACTTATGTGTTCATTAATACATATAATAAGGTAAAGGTAAATATATGTAATAATTTACTTATGTTTTCATTAAAATATTTAATAAAGTTTATTTAATATTATCTAACTGTTGTTTATAGTTTATAGCCACATAAAAAATTATTAGTAGCGCATATATCAATAATTAAAGAATAATTACTATAGAACTTTTGAAGATATTGACCTGTGTCCAAAAGCTGTTGGTGTTCAGATTATTGTTAAAACTATATGTAATATATATGTGGACTGTGGTGCACGGATTTATTAAAAAATAATAATATATAGTTTAAATAAATAAATAAAAATTAAAATTAAAGTTTATTAATTTATTGTTATTATTATAACTCATTGTATATAATATTTTTAGTATAATATGAGTTTTTTTTTTATATATATTAAGATCAACCATTTTAATTATTGATTTGTTTATCAAAGTTATAGTTAAAAAATATATATAATTACATTGAGGTAGTTTGTTAAATATGCTATTATAAATTATGTAAGAGTTAGGTCATTAAATTCAAGACTTGAATGAAAAAAATATTTTCTACTTTATTTCAATTAAGCTCCCAAAAACAAGGTTTATAAGAGTCAACTCTCTTTAGTTTGCTATCCACTACTATTTTTGTTGTCATGACAAAAAAAAAAAAATTATTATTACTATTGTGTGGATTTTTCTTTCTTATAATTTAGCTATTTGTAATATTTGTTCTATTTAAAATTATTTGTTGTTTTATTTTTTTATTTTCATCAATAAATTTCTATCATAAAATATATTTATACAGGCCCCCGCCTTTATTGTAAAAATCTAAATAACTTTCAACATTTTAAGTGCAACAAATATAAACTTACTCAAGATTCAAGAATAATAATAATATATGAAGACAAAAGCAAGGAATTTTTTACTATGATTTAATGTCATCTAATATTAACGAAATTTGATCTGATATTTAGAATAAAAAAAATACACTCATTAATATATATATATATATATATATATATATATAATTTAATGAGCAAATATTTTGAATTTTACAATTATGATCACTAATAAATCTTAAATTAAACATTTTAACCGAATAGTATCTTTCTACACAAGCTAAAATTTGTCAATACTTTTTTATCGTACGAGAATCTTGAAATAGTTTAAGTGTTAAAGAAAAATTTATTAATAAAAATAGATTAATAAGTTTAATAATTAATTTTAATAAAATGATTATATTTTTATTTTATTTCATTTTTTTCCAAACACATAAAAAAGAATAAAAAATTATTATGTTAAGTTTAATTAAGTAATCAGTCTCTAAAAAAAAATTAAATAATTTGTATTTAGTTCCTATAAATTTTTTTATTAGAATATAAACACTTTTTTTTTTTGCAAACTATTGTTTTTAACCTTGCTGTAGTTTATTAGGATGTTTGTTAAATATCAGTTTTTTATTAGATCATATTAGTAAAAAGACTAAAAATAATATTTTATAAAAAATACAAAAAATTTAATAAAAAATTATGAAGATTATATTTAAATTATATAACTTATGTAAAAATCAAAGACTGAATTAAGTATATTATAGTATCACAGAGTTTTGCTTAAACTTTCTAATAATTCTCTCACTATCTTATAAAATATGTATTAAATTAATAAATGAATGCATTTATGATTTTGTAAGTATTAAAAATTCTAACATTTTTTACTAAAAAATAAATGATATAATAATTTAAAAATATTTTTTCAATATTCATATTATTAATTAGTTAAATTAATGACTTATATATTAAATAAATAAATATATTCACTTATATAAAAAATAAATTAGTAATTTTTTATTAGGGATTTCATAATAAAAAATATAAAAATTTAACAATTAATTCATATAAAAATGATTATTTAATTTTTATAATTTAAAAAAATATTACTAATTATTTTTTATGAAAATATACAGAGCTAATAATGTTTGTATTTTTTAAAATATTATTAAGTATATAAATTATGAGAATAACATTTATTTTTAATAAAGATATTTTTTTATTGGAAAAGTCAAAATATAATTATAAATTTTTTCAAATAGTTTGAGTGAGACAATAACAAATAAAACATTACTATAAAATAATTAATACTTTATTATTAAATCTCACGTACCAAGACTTTAATGTAAGGAATTAATATATAAAAAATTGTAGGTTAAATTGTAGGTCAAATGATATATTTAGTTAATTTAATTAATACTTATTTATGAATTAATTTTTATATTTTAGAAAATTACATCTTAATTTTTATAAATATACTTTATTATATTTTAGTCTTTGTTATTATAACATTATTATTACTGAAAGAAATTAAAATATAATAAAAATATTCATATATAAATTAAAATATAAATTTTTAACTAACAAAAACTGATTCAAGTGACAAGCAGTTCAATATTACTTAAATAAAATTTTGAGTTTAAATATTTATATATGTAAAATTTTTTTAATAATAAACTTAATTGACATATTTAAATACGTAACCTAGACCGAATCCAAAATAAATCAAATGAGAAAAAAAAAGTTATAAATTTTTAAATATAAAAATTAATTTATAAACATGTTAAATACATAGGTGAAATATATATTTTAATTATTTTAATTTAAAAAAAATTATCAAACTTAATAGAAAAAATATTTATATTATAACTCACTCTTGTATTTATCATAGTTGCTTTTGAATGACAAAAAGTTTTACGTATATTTTTATCCTTTTATTTTACTTTTAAATAAATAAATAAAATATTAATATTAATATTTTTATTATAACTTTTTTAATATGTAATTATTTCACTTTATATATAATATAATTTTTGTATGATATATTAATATATATAAATTTTTTAAAATATTTTTTTATAATAAATAAATAATTACTATATTTGTTATATTTAAAATTTTAAAGAATAAACTTTAATATATAAAAAATTTTATAATATTTCTGTCGTGATACAAGTATATAATTTTTATATATTAACTCAAAAATTTATTAGTTGATATTTATAACACTTTTTTTTAAATATTTTATTCATATAAAATATTTAGATATGTTTAATTTTTTCATTATAATAAAACTTATTTAATTGTAATCTTTTTACTGATTTATATATTTATTAAATGAATTAACTTTATATCAATAAATATATAATTTTGAATCATAAATAATAATTCTTAATTTAAATATATATTTTTTAATCTTTTAAAATTATTTAATTTAAAATTTTATTTTTATTTTTTAAAATAAGTAATTTTTTAAAATATATTTTTAATTTATATAATTAACACTTATTTATAAGTTTATATATTTTAACTCTTATACGAGTACTTTATTTATTTAACATCATAAAAATAGTTATTAGTTTAAGCAATGAATATTTGAATTTTAATATAAATAATTAAATAATTTTTTAAAATATAATACATAAAGATATATAATTAAAATTTTTATTAATTTCAATAATTTATAAAAATCACTTGAGCTACTATTTTACTAAAAGATAAATAATATGAAACAAGATTCATTGGCTGGGAAGCTTGCTTGCACGCATGAAACCACGTTCGAATCTGAAGCCAAAATTTTCCCAATCTCTTAAAAATACGTGGGGCACGTCTTTCCCTTTCCTTATATGCTTAGAAGTCCAATTACTCTCCCAATTGTTTTTTAAAATTTAAATAACCATTCTGATATTGTCATTAGGAAACAAATCCTCCTTCCCACTAAACAATTAAACCTACCCAATCCAAGGAAAGTGCATAATATTCATATTTATACTTATTACTATTCCGTCAATAAAAAATAAAAAATTATATTGATAACGCATGTGTTTTCTTATTTATAGAGATAAACATTGAGGCAAATTATGATTTGAGAGGTTTTAAACAACGAAGTAGACAGGATTACATATGAAGCCATGAATATTGCTCCCTTGCTTCTTCATCACCCATATCTTTTTCCCCCTCTTTTTGCTTCTCATTCACGATATTTACAAAACTGACCAATCAAGCAAGGCTTAGCAAAGGGCCCATGAACATTGCTTGCAGGCCACCCTTCTGCGTTTTCGAACTTGTCATCTTTCTCGTGTTTTTTGTCATCACTCTTCACAACTTTAACCGTTAGAGAGATACCCTGTTACCCAGATTCCATAACTTGAATGTCTTCTAAGAGGTCCCCACAACAATACGTGGAAGCCATGCCTGTGTTTGAGAGGGTGAAGCGTTTAAGGTTGTTCGAACCGTCTCTGGGTGTTACTGGTTTTTTTCTAGTAACTGCTTTTGTTATATTCAGTTTCTTCTACTTGGATTATAGAGAACTCGCTGGAAGGTTTATGTTGTCGGGTCAATCTCAAAGGTTTATTTGGTCGCAACAGAAGAGAGGTTCAGCAGAGGAACATGTAGAGAGGGTTGAATTTCTTGGAGAAAAGGGTGGTGGGTGTGATTTGTTTGAGGGTAACTGGGTTTGGGATGAAAGTTACCCGTTGTATCAGTCAAAAGATTGCAACTTTCTCGATGGGGGATTTCGGTGTTCTGAGAATGGAAGGCCTGATTTGTTCTACACAAAGTGGAGATGGCAACCTAAAGATTGCAACTTGCCCAGGTACACTTCATTTGTTCTCATCTTTGGCACTTTTCCCTAGACAAATAAAGAACCAATGACAAAAACAAACCATTGGTCATTGTTTTCAGAACCGTTTTGCTGCTGAGAAATTCAGGAAGGATGTGGTAAATTAATGTTAATAGTTTCAGTTTGATTTTTAAGGAACAAAATCTTCGGGTGCTACCAAGTTGACAGCAAACGATATCAATGTTTAATTTTCAGTAGAAACTATGAATGAAACGAATAAAAGCGGTCATCATAGTTAGTGCATGTCTTTATCTTTTTCAATTTTTGGTTACGTCAGTGTTTGTGCTTGTTGACTTTGAACCCGTCTTACACTACTCTTATCCGGCACCTCTGACAGTGACTCCACCGTTGGGTGGCCATTGATTATTCTTTTTAATAGAATTTACTTTTTTTTATTCATCATTTAAGATTGTGGCATAAATTTAAAAAATTAATTTCTTAATTTATATTATACTTATTTATAATTTTTATAATATATATATATATATATATTTAATCTTCCTCATTTATTATTTTAAAATTTCATTTATCATTATCTTTTTAAAAATAAAGATATAATTGAGAAGATAATAATTAATAATAAATGACGAAGATTAAATCTAAATTAAAAAAATTATAAATAAGTATAATACAAAGAAAGAAATTAATTTTTTAAATTTATTATATTTATAAAGTGACTGATCAAAAGTAACGGAAGGAATAAAAACTGTGTAACATAGTACTCTGAAGTTGGAGAAAATGACAATTTTATATCCAATTTTCACGCAGAACCACAATTCTTCTTTGGGGTGTCACATTGACCCGGATGAGAAATTGTGTCAATCCTATTTTTACCACCCTAGGTTTTGTCTTCTCTTCTACATTTTAGTTTGCTACCATGCCCGTTATAGTTGAAATAAGGGGAATGTATAACACCAAAGAGGTGACACACCGTGGTGTCGCCACATTTCTAAATGTGAATTATGAATTTGACATGATGAAATCGAAAGAAAAAAAAAAGTGTTATAAAATATAAAAATAAGTGTAGATGTTAAAAAATGTTGTTCAAATAGTGAAACTTTTTAAATAATGTATTGGCACTATATGTTTATTGATATGATACATTTTCTGTCATTTTCTTTTCTCGTTTCTGAATGCTTTGTTTTTGTGAAATCACAACTATAATCATAAATATTATGCTGGTAAAATTTACACGCTTTTCTCGGGCAGAATTTCCACAGCTTCTTTTGTATCCATGAACATGCCTGACAATATTATAACTTCTAAATCAATGACTAATATTCTTCTGTTCATATGGATTTGATCACTTGTTTCATTTATTTTAGCTTGTAACATTTTGTTTCTCTGATTTGATGGAAAAATAGAAGTGAACTTAAACATTGGAATTCTCTCGAATAAACACAGATTCAATGCAACAACGATGTTGGAAAAACTGCGAAACAAGCGCCTAGTGTTTGCTGGGGACTCAATTGGGAGAAACCAATGGGAATCACTATTATGCATGCTCTCTTCTGGTGTTCCTAACAAGGACTCAATCTATGAAGTGAATGGTAGCCCAATCACAAAGCACAAGGGGTTTTTGGTATTCAGATTCAAGGATTTTAACTGTACTGTGGAATACTATAGAGCTCCATTTCTTGTATTGCAAAGCCGGCCTCCTACTGGAACAATTGGAAAGGTTAGAACAACCCTGAAATTGGATAAAATGGATTGGAACTCTTTGAAATGGAGAGATGCTGATGTCCTGGTTCTTAACACAGGACACTGGTGGAATCATGAGAAAACCATTAGAGGGTAATTCAATCATCCCTTATTTTTATCATTCTAATATGAACTATGACATTTATTTGCTTTTTTCACCAGAAGAAAGATTGAATTTTTCCTATAATTGTCCAGGGGTTGTTATTTCCAAGAAGGTATGGAAGTCAAGTTTGAAATGAAGGTGGAAGAAGCGTATAAGAGGTCCATTGAGACAGTATTGAACTGGATGCAAAATACAGTAAATCCTAGCAAGACTCAAGTTTTCTTTCGTACTTATGCCCCTGTGCATTTCAGGTATGTAATTTGTTAGTAGTAATTTAGTATCACTTGCTAAATGAAGAACTCTCCCCAATTAAGTTCCATAAATTTCTTGTTCAATATTGTAAGGAAAACAAATTAATAATTTGGCGTCTGCGTAAGTTCTCACAATTGGTATTGTCAATTTTATTGCACAACACCGGTGCAAGATATGCATATATAGACATCCACAACATGTGTGTATATATTAAAGAGATGCATCACTCCTTTTGGTTGAAAATGAAAATATACTCCTCTTGAAGTAGCCAACATATCTGAATATGCTAAAGTTATTAGAAACTAAATATGTCTGATATGGTATGAATATTACAGAGGTGGAGCTTGGAGAAAAGGTGGGAACTGTCATTTGGAAACGCTGCCAGAGCTTGGGTCCTCATTGGTGCCTAATGATAACTGGTCACAATTCAAAATAGCCAATTCAGTGTTTTTAGCACACAAAAACACCTCACAAGTTTTGAAGTTCAAGGTATTGAATGTAACTCAGATGACAGCTCAGAGAAAAGATGGGCATTCTTCTATCTATTATCTGGGTCCTGATGCGGGCCCCGCACCTTTCCATCGCCAAGATTGCAGCCACTGGTGTCTGCCTGGTGTACCTGATACTTGGAATCAGTTACTCTATGCATTGTTCCTTAAATATGCAACTTCTCATAGATCATAGCCATGATTTTATTTATCATGCAATGGATAATATACCAATTCTTTCCTACAAGTGTCATAGCGACGACAATGCATGACATTTGTTTCAGCAGATTTGCATTAAGAACGAAGGTCTTTGTGATAATTACTTATCTTAAGAAGTCCAACACGGCAACAACCGTGAATGCTGCGGGTTTGCTTATGTATTCTCGTTACTGGTTAGGTTAGATTAGGGAATCAGCAATGATATTCTGTAATTATCAATTTTTGTTGTTCGTTGAATTGTGAATATAGTTTTGATACCAATTAGAATTATTCATTTTATAGTTTTCAGTTGGTAGAACCATTTGACATCCAGCGTGACCGTGCCGATTCAAATCTTACAGTACATTTCATCCCCTTTATTCTTTCAAGGAGTTTCACCTCTTAAAAAAGAAATTTGGTGGGGTGTTTTTCTATTATTTTTAATTATAACATTGTTGTTTTATTTTAATTTTAAAAATTGTATAAAAAATATTTTTATTATTATCAATGAGACTTAAAATCTAAACAACAAAACTTAATTACTTAACAATTTTAGACAAAATTATCCCATAAACATTCTCTCTTAATAAAAAAGGAGGGACATATTCTTAGAATCCTATTTAATTTATTTTGGAATAATTATACTTAAAAAAATGTTTAAGCTAAAGGTAAGATTTTCTCATACTAATATTTACACTTATCTAAATCTTTTATTTAACTTATATTTAATAGTTAATGAAATAATAAATTATTCTAAATTCTATTAGATATAAGTTAAATAAAACACTCGTATCAAATGTAAATTTTTTTAATTTTATTAGTGTAAGAATTTTTTTTTTAAACTAAAGCTTTTATTAGGTCGCATATAAAAAAAATCTAAATTTAATTGTAGCTCATAAAAATAGTGTTCAAATTCAAATATATATATATATATATATATATATATATATATATAAATAAAGTTAAAAAGGTTTGAATATTTATTTAGTCTTAAAATTTAAAATCTATATCCTACTTTTTATTGTGTAGCAGTCAATTAGATTGGCACATTCTAGTTAATGCAATAATCACTTCCTCTTCAAAAGCCTGAGACAAAATATTATAAAAAATTGTAAGATTAGCAATATTATAGTTAGAATAATCAATAATATGGTAAATAAGAATTTTAAAATCTTTAAAAACATAGTTAATGATAGAAGAGTTTCTTTATTCCATAGCATCCGTGCGATAGTGCCTATTTTAAGGCAACATGAATTTTAAAAAAAGTTTTTTTTTTAATTTTTAAATCAAATAATCCCGCGAGTAACACAATTAATCAATTTTGAATAAAAGACAAATAATAATAATAATAACATCAAAAGTGGAACTCTAAACTAGAGGGTAGGATGAGTGTGGAACCATTGAACGAATTACATGGTGGCATAGTGCAGCTAAGTTAAAGAAATGGGATCCATTTTCGAAACACATTCATCTTCGTTCACTGAGCAATAGCAAAGGAGTTATTGACTTTTTGTTCACTCTTGGTAACGTTTCCAACGTGCCTCATCAATGGCGGACGCGTACTTCGTCTTCTTCCTTCTCCTTCCCGTTGCTCTTCTCGCCCTTCTCTACTTCCTCGTTCGCCCGCGCCCCGTCAAGATCCCAATCAAAAACCGCCACGTGTTCATCACCGGCGGATCCAGCGGCATCGGCCTCGCCCTGGCGCACCGCGCGGCCGCCGAGGGCGCGCGAGTCTCCATCCTGGCGCGGTCGCCGAATAAGCTGGAGGAGGCGAGGAACGCGATCCGCCTGGCGACGGGGATCGACGTGGCGGTGTTCGCGGCGGACGTTAGGGACTACGACGTGGTGAAAATGGCGGTGGACGCGGCGGGTCCGATTGACGTGTTGCTGCTGAATCACGGCGTGTTCGTGGCGCTGGAGCTTGAGAAGATGGAATTGAGTGAGGTGAAGTTCACGATGGACGTGAATTTGATGGGAACATTGAACCTAATCAAAGCTGCGTTACCCGCTATGAAGAATCGGAAGGACCCTCTTCCTGCTTCCATTGCTCTTGTTTCCTCACAGGCCGGTCAGGTATGTGCACGTTTAAGCTTCAGAGAAACTAGGTGAAATTTAAAATACTTGGATTGTTATCATTATTTGATGTGGAATTTATGTTGTTTACGGTTAGGTGGGGATTTATGGTTATGTAGCTTATTCGGCAAGTAAATTTGGCCTCCGTGGTTTAGCTGAAGCGTTGCAACATGAGGTTATAGCTGATAATATTCATGTTTCTTTGATTTTTCCTCCAGACACGGATACTCCTGGACTGGCAGAAGGTATGGAATTGATGTTTGGGTTTGTTTCGTCGTGCATATTACTGTTGGAAATTCGTCTAGCTTTTATTTTACATTGTATATGAGGTAATTACTAATGAGCATCTGCAAACAACTCGTTAGTTTAACCATGGATATGAACTGTGAAGAGTCTGGGTCTATAAATTCAAGTACTTGAATCCTTAACGCCTTGGACTTACTAGTTTGTCACGCAGAAGATTTGAAATGTCTTCCCTTTTCTGTATGTGATCTAAATTCATGCATTTGAGTGTTGCAATGTGGGATTTTATTGGATCAATTGTAATTAGAAACTTATAGAGATTAGGGAACGGATAGTTATAGCTTAACATAATAAGTTCGAATACTTGATTATTCAATATCCATTTAAAATCTGTCTTTATAAGTTTACATGATAAACTTTGTGCTTTTGAACTGGATTACAAACTGAAAGGTCACTTTTACAGAAAACAAGAGGAAACCAGAGCTCACCAAAATCATTGCAGCCTCCTCTGGTTTTATGAAAGCTGAAGAAGTTGCTAGGAAGGCTTTGGACGGCATAAAATGTGGAAATTTTATCATTTCTTGCAATTTGGAGGGAATTGCACTTTCCCTAGCAACTGCAGGTTTATCCCCACAAAGGTCTTTCTTGATGGCATTTGTTGAGGTTGTTGCTGCTGGAATCCTGCGGATTGTAGCGCTATGTATACAGTGGAGTTGGTATGGAAGTATTGAGAAATGGCACAGCCAAAGGAAAGGTAAGTGCCACAAAATGAAATTTCTATGAAGGGATTGGGAAATCATTTCTTAATTTAATTCCCTTTGTCCAATTGTTATTAATATAGTTATTCTATCTATTGGTTCTCAGAGTTTATGGAGTATGTGAACTAGTCCGTAGACTTACGAAATGTTTCTAATTGGCTCCCAATTGAGACCAATGTGGCTAGAGCTGTCAAAACGGGCAGCCTAGCCTGGCCCAACTCGATACGGGTAGTGGGCTCAAACGGGTTGGGTTTAATTAGCCCAAGATAAAAATGAACTTATATTTTTATTGCCCAAGCCTTACCCTATGCGGGTTACGGGCTTCTGCAGGCTGGTTCGGCAACTCAATTTTTTTTTATTTTTTTTTTATTTTTGTAACATGTCATTTTTTTTACTGTTTTTATAACAACAAATCATTGTTTTTATTGCTATTTTTAGTGTTTGTAACATATCATGTTAAGCTATTTTTGCAAGAACTTAATAAACCACTCGTTTTCTATGTCTAATTTTTGTATTATACTATTTATTTGTTTTTTTTTTTAAGTTGTAAAAGGCCACTGGTTTTTTTTTTTTTTTTTTTTTTGTAGCGGTGCAAAAATATATAATTTATACTTGTAATTTTAGGGTTTTGAAACTAAAATATATTCCCTTTTAAACTCCTTAAAACTCAGGGTTTAATCTCAATATATATATACGGGCTGCCCGGACACTGAGTTTATTCGGACCGGACCAAAATAGCCCAAGATAATTTCAGACCTTATTTTTCAGAACTCAAACCCGCCCATTTAATGGGTTTTTTAGGCCCAATCCATTGGACCATCCCATTTTGCTGGCTCTAAATGTGGCAGGTGTTAATTAGTGTAAACATGTGATAGAGATCCAACCAATCAACCAAAAGGCATGGCAAACAGTGTGAGGTTGTAGCAATAAATTTTGCCTGGTTGGACTAGAGAGGTGGCTAAATTAATCCATTTTGATATAGTGAAAGGGAAAATAAAATCACTTGACGGTGTTGGGTACAACATTGAATGATTTGGTCTCCTTATGAAACACACAAACAAAATCATCGCCTAGTGAACTCAACATTTGCTACCTTAGCACTAAATTGAATAAGACTTCTCTAAAAGTGAGTGAGTTTGTAAAGTGTCAAGGCAAGGGTTTATCTGCCTATGATTTAATTTGAAGTACATAGTGATACTAACTCATAAAGATCTAAGGGTAGATAACTCATTCCTTTCTCACTTTACAAACAAACTTACTTTTGAGGAATTTTTTTTCACTAAACCAATGGATGCCTAATTGTTGGATAATGCCTAACTCATTTAGAATAGGAACTCATTTAAAATTGGGTTAAACTATGTTTGCATTGGATATTAGTCATTAACTAATTTTGCAATTTGCATGAAGTAACAACAATTTATGTTTCTTGGCTTTAGGAGCTTGGAAGTCATAATTTTATATTAGGGCACTCTTTCGAATTAATTTAGAAGAGTGTGTGTGTGTGTATATATATATATATATAATATTGAAGTATTATGGAGATTGTTTGGAGCTTATTTTACTAACTGTTTATCAAAGTAACGTAGACTGTCTAGATTGATTAATGTAATTAGTATGTGTCGTTTGCTTTCCCATAATGACAGTGTGGTTCATCTACACTGTAATTAAACTCAATAGTTAAAAGAAAATAATATGTTTTAATACAAAAGCAATAAGAACATTATAAAAGGTGGATTGGAGTTACTTTTATCTGTTTGGAGCCTCTTCAAGACTAAATACTGATTCGAATGAATCATCTGAGGTAAAGCTTGTGAAACTGATGATTTCTACTTTTAACAGGTTCATCCCGAAGGAGCTGAAAAACTGAGCTCTATGCCCCGTTTTAGGAGAGTTATATGCAGATATTGGATATGGCTTTTTTCCACTTTGTTCTAGAACGAGATTAATATATGGAAATTCAACAAATGAGAACTTGATAAACATCAAGTTGTTCAAGTTTATGGTTTCTGACTTTCATTCCCTGGTACATGATAGAGGGAGTGAAAACTGAAAACTTAGTACATCTCGCTTTTAACTCAGTGTTATGCAACTGAAATGATTAGCAATTTAGTATCTTAAATTTTGAACCACCCATTTCCACCGTCCAACTTTTAACTGTATCAAGTTGACCATAATTGTTTTTTCTCATAGAAAAAAGGGTATGCTTCCTAGTTCTTTAAAGTTTATGCTGTTTTGCTTTCGTTGTCGTAGCTATCTGTTTTAATCGTGTGCCTTGTGAAGCATGAGTGAAGATTTCACTTGTGCATTTATCATTTTTTATTCCTCTGCATGTTTTTGAAGGCGCAACATTGAAATCGGCGTTTGTATCAAGTCGAATATATGTGTAGCCGAAGATCTTAGATAAGGAGTATTCTTGTTGGCTATTAGCTCTGTATTATTACTTAGCTAACAATCAGTGTAAACCTGTTGCACCAGTGAAAAGAATGGGATATAGTAGTACCTTGCGTTACAAAATTCTCATTCAGCTCCGCTATGAAAAGTAGACAATCCTAGATTTTGAATATGACGCTAAAGAAAATGAAATACTATGGACATACCCTACCAGGCTTTATTATAATAATATGTAATATAGTGTCTATTTATAATCATTAATTTGATAATATATTCTTATGTTATCGTATTTCTTTATTAACATATTATATATCTCTATGATTTTTATGCGTATGAGTGTTTGTATTATATTAGAACATTTAACCAGAATTGTGGAATTATTTGCCTATTGTGATCGTATCAATTGCAAATTTTACTGCAATGTTTCAAATCTGTGTCCTACACATAGCTAAGCACGTCAATGATAATTTAGATTTGATGAGAATTGAGACAATGCCCCATTGAAAATTAAGAGAAATATTGGCTTCTAATTTCGAACATTGTTGACCTATTCTTCGAGGAAGGTTCCTCCATATCACTTGGCTATGGACATTGACATCCTGTCAGAGGTTTTGTCTTCCTATACTGTTGAGCTCGTTGGTTCACATAATATGTGAATATTAAAATTGTTTGAAGTTTTATTATTAATTACAATTTACTGAAATTTGAAACACAGATAGTATTAGAACAATAAAATTATAACTCATACCATTCGATTCACTTTTAAAATAACAAAATGATATTTTAATTTGTTTTATAATAAAATTTCAAATAATTAAGTTATTTTATTTATTTTATTACACTCTATTCTATTTTATTTCACTTCAATCTGTCCAATCTTAGCTGAAAATAATTGCCAGAATGTAGCATTTAACATCGAGTGGATAGTGGAGAACACAGTGAAATGCATTTTCAACAACTATGGAACCAAATCCGGTGAAAATGGGTCCTGCTATATGTGGAAAACTCTCACCCACATCCCTGCATTTATCATTTTCTGTTAGTTTAATTTAAAGGCCTTAATTTTTTGAACATAGGTCTAGTTTAGATTAATTTTTAATAAATATTAATAAGAGATAGAATAAAGAAGTAAAATAAATCAAATTTCGAGGACTAAATTGAAAAAAAAACATTTGAAACTGAAAAAGTGAAATGATCAAATCACTAATTTTAACTATAATAAATATTTTTTACCATTAAAATTAATATTTTTAAATATTTAAATTTAACCCAATATTTATCAAATCAGCTTTCTACGATTACTTGGAGACGGTGGAGTCGGGGCTACAAATCTCCAAATTTCCAAAGCTCACCTCACGTGGCAACCGACACACGCTATGGCTAAGCAAGTTGGGAATTGGGATACTCATTAGGCACTCTTGATCAATGGAAATTTTCCGTGGTATTCGGAAAGCAACTCTAAAGTCTAAACGACAAAAATTTCATTTCAATTTGTAATATACAATTTTAAGTTTAATTAAAGAGTTTTGACAAAAAAAAAAAGGTTTAATTAAAGAATATGTAATATACATATAAGTTTCTCATAAAAAGGTCCCAAATGCAAATGCTGTTGATACTATACTGGACCCCCCCCCCCCCCCCCTCTCTCTCTCTCATTGGAAATAGTTAAACAAGTAGATCCACCGACCTATACAAATAATATTTTGTCCGATTTATTTAATCTTAACCATGAGCAACCACATGAAATGGGATACGGATAAGAATCTTTGGGACAAATATTCATTTGTCGCCTATGCATATGAAAGCTTTGAATAATTTGATCCATAACAAAATGGTTGAGGAGATGAGAGGGAGAGAGAGCGAGGCCCATCCACAACCATGTGTGCTGAGGATTGAATATCTGGAAATGGGCTGGTGCCTGCTGTTCCTCAACACTTTTGATCAATAAGATAATGTCACTACACATTTACATGATTCTTGTGGAAGGGTTATGTAGGCCTTAGCCAGATTGGCCAACTGTGACCATGACCCCACCAACCCACATGACATGATCACCCCATATATCTTAACTCACCCATCCTATTCCTTACTTTTTTTCCTTATATAATCATGTATATCCACAAGTTTTGGAGAACATGAAAAAGAGAGAGAGAAAGATACATAATTGAAAATATTAGAAACTCTTTTTACATATATCAAATTAGAGAACTATTCTAGTTGTTACACAAATATGGAGGTTGCAATGGAACTGGAAGATGATCTATTTTTTGCTGATTTGAGCAAGGAAATTGCTCTCCTAATCATGGATGAAGATGAAGACCCACTTGCTTGTTGTCCTGTAGACTCTATTCAGGTTCTTTACTATTTACATCTTCTCAAATAACACATGCACCACCCATCTTCTTTTTTCTTCCTTCTTCTTTGGTTTTGGTATTTTGAGATGTTTTTATCCGTTGTAATCTTAACATGCTTTAACTAATTTTCAGACTTTTTCTGGGGCAATTCATCCTCCTCCACAGTTTACTTTCCTCTATGACCATGCTTTGAGAAGAGAAAGCAAAGGGACAGGGGTGTTTATACCCCAGATAACACAGCCAAGAAGGAAGCAGAGGAAAGGAAGATCTAGTTCATACACAAAATATCAAAAGCAGTCTCAAGATACAAGAATGGATTCTCAAATTCCTAACAAGAATTCTTTCAAACAGAGAAATGGTTGAAGATTTATAGATCCTTCTAAGAGTTTGCTTAATCTTACAAATTCTACTGATTATTTTCTCTACCAAGTTTGATAATTTGTGTGTCTAATTCTTTAGCCTTTAGGCAATAATTCTATGGTTAATTAATTTCTATTATTTATATATATAGGTAAATGTACATGGGAAAGCCATATATACCTAAATAGTAGTCATCATATAGGAAGGTTCACCCAAGGTTTTGTAACCCTCCACTGTGGACAAGCATTTCGTTGTTATCTGGGTTCTTATGATAAGTTTGTCCTTGTTTCCATGATATTAATGATACTATTTCCTTCATATTTTTTTCTTTTGCTTTCCTTTCTACTCATTATATGACTACAAGTTAAGTTGTTTTTTATTCTATATAAATCCATCAACATAGTATCTTCAGTTCATATGCTTTTATGTGTTGGGTAAGATTGGAAAAAAAGAAGAAACAAGAATAGGGTATGTATAAATTGAGTCCACGTCAAATCAAAGCATACATTAAGGGCAGATATATGTATGGTTCTGATCTGTTTAGAATCTGTTTTGTTTAAAAATTGAAACTATGTTTACACAATTTTTCATGCAAGTTATATGAAAGAGTAAAAAAAGGAACTAAAGTGAGGAAACTCTGTTCTCAAGAGAGATTCAAATAAGTTTTTAGTGTTCTATTGAGTGAGTGTCCATAAACTTATTTTAAAATGATATTAATTTTATACAATTAAAAATAAATATAAAACAGAAATAATTTATATTCAACGTGTGTCTCTCAAAAACAAAGGTTTTAGAAAAATTAATATAAAATTATGAAATGAATATTAAAAAAAGTTATATATATTTTTTTCATTTATAATCAAATGTTTTCTTAAAAACAAGCTTGATTTTGATTATTATAATTAAACATACAATTTTTTTATATAAAATAAATCATAGCAAATTTTGAGAGAAGCCTTCAGTCTAAACATCTTCCATATTGAGAATCCTTCGAGTTTCACCCATATATGAAATTCCTGAGCATGTTTTTCTTAGAAAAATAGTATAGTTCCTCGAATAAGATAAAGGCTGCAATTTGAATATGGATTTCTAGATCCTCATGTGGAGAAGGACATGTTCCAATCAAGACTTTTGATAGTGAATAGTAAAGGGAAAGCTTCGAACAATTGCTTTTCTGCAAGACAACCAGAAAGGAAAAGTCACTAAAATTAATATATTTTTCATTTACTAGATCCTATTAGCACCGTTGGAAAAGGGTTGTAGATGATTGCAAGCATAAGCTTCCTTCTTTAACCTTTTTGATGTGGCAAGCATAAGCTTTGGGGTTTGCCTATAATAATGAAATGGTGAATCAATTATTCTCGGCCTACCAGCCAAATTTTGCTGTTTGAAAACGCCCTTTTACGGTTGTCATGGAGTCTCTTTCTGTCCTCTTCCCTAACAAGTTACAAGAAATTTCTACTGTTATGATTATAATCATAATAATTATTATTATCATTATTATAAGACAAATTTTCTAGTCAACACCCTCAAAGAAAAACGAATTTGTCTACTGATCGCTTATTCTCCTAAAAGGTTTATCATCACAAAATAACACTCGAAGTTTTATGTGTATAATTATGAGAGATTAGTTGAGTGCAATAAAATAATATCTTGTATATAACAAAATAAGTTCCAATCTCTACTCATGCTTTATTCCTAAGATTTTATTTTAAAAAATGTTTTATTTGCATAATATCGAAAATGATAGACATATCATCCATTATCTGTGTACAAGTATCTTAAATGAATCTGCCTAAAAGTCTCTCTGACAAATACTTTGGTGCATCACATCAATCAGAAATTTAAAGTGCTGTTCCATAAAAATATCAATCCCCATATAACTATCAGGTTCATTGATTCTACTAGCTACTGCATGTTGCAACCAAAAACACGTCAAGGACATTCATTTTCTTCACTACAAATAATAGAGGGACACGTATATATGACTGATAAATCATTACAACCTCAACAGCCATGGCAGCCACACCCAGTCTCAAAGAGGCAGGGGTGATTCGTAGACTTTTTTGGATATTTTCGCCAAATAAAATCTTGGGTCATCATCTTACACCTATTTAAGAAAAGGCTTTGGGCTCCTTTAAAGTAGTTGCAACGGAGAAATGAAAATGTCATAAAGGAGGCTTAATGATCAAAATAAAACATTTTAAAAAAATAATTATCAAATTAAAACAAAAATAAAATTTATTCCCTATTTGGGGTCTTTTTTTGCCACATCAGCTCTGAATTTGTATATAAACTAGGTAAAATTAAATTTTTATTATTTATTTATTGAAATCGCCTAGAAAAGGGATGAAATGCTGCAAATCTAGACACGTGTAGCATGAATTCGTATAAAAATAAGACGAAAACGGAAAAAATTTTGAATTAAAGATTCCCGCCTCCAGACACGTGGGCCAATCAACATATTTCGTCTCTGATCAGGACGAATAGTGGATTTCGTCTTAGTCAGTGACGAAACTTATTGATTGGGCCACGTGTCGGTGGAGGCCTTCCCTTCTCCCCCTTCTGCGATTGCAAACCTCCATTTTTTCCATTCATAGCTCCGTGGGTAGCAAATTTCTGCCGTGGGTAGCAAATTTCTGGTTGTTTTAGCTTGATTTTTGAGTGAGAATCTTCATTCGTTGCATAATGGTGTTCACATTTCCTTCATTTGCAGTGAGTGAAGATATTTTTGAATTAAAATTTGGAGGAGGTTGGGAGAACTTAAATCTGCTACACAGTCAGTGTTAAAGGGGAAGAGGAGGTCGTCGGAGAGAGACCATAGTGCAGGAAACTTGCCGCTGTTCCAGGGAACTCTTACTCGCCAGAAACCGCCATCTCCGGCGCCTGAAATCTGCAACTGAGGTATGGAAAAAATTTTGTTTATTTTTTTTAAATAGAAAAACGTAAAATTTTGATTAAAAATTTAGGAAAAAATAAAAATAAATTGATTAATGAGATAAATTTTAATTTTAAAATTGATATTAATAATAGAAATATAAGAACTAAATTTATTACATTTTTACCTTGTAGAAAAAATCTGATAGTAATATTTAGACTAAAAATATAATAAAAATAATTTTGGTAATTTTATAGAAATTTAAAAATAAACAAAATTTGTAAAATTAAATTTTTATAGTGATGTTTATATTAAAAATTAAGCTGCATTTAGAATTATTCTACTAAATTGAGGTGTAAATTAAAAGACAACTTAAAAATAATTTAAAAAATTAAAAACAATATTAAATAGTTAAATAAAATTTAGAATAGAAAATTTAAAAATAATTATATCAAATTGGTTGATTAATTATATAAAAAATGATAATTAGAAAATAGTGTATAAAACTTATAACATAAATTCTTTATTTAAATTAATTATGATTAAAATACGTAAATAGATATGTATTTCACCTACAACTACATTTAAACATACAATATTCATCATTTATAACAAATAAACAATTTAATCAATATATTTTTTAAATGTTACCTCCAACATTTTCTTATTGTAAATTTAAGTTTAAATCAAAATCACTATCAATATCTGTATCTGATGAGTTATCTAATAGAATATGTCCTTCATCAATATCATCTGTCTCATCATCACTATTGACTTCATCATCTTCATCTTCATAACCGCATAAATCTCTATATCCTTCAAAATACAAACACTTTTTCAATATGTATTGTAACTAAAAAAAATTAAAAATAAATTACAACAATATAATTTATACCTTCTGTAACATTTATATTGACAACTTTCATAGGATTAGGCGATGACATTGATAAGCTTAAGTCCAACATATTCGACCCACCTCTTGAACTCTCACCAAATGCAATATCCACGTATAATTCAATAAAAGTTGTAATATTTTGTTGTTGATACGCACTAATCATACAATCAATGTCTTCATCATCACATATATCCAATGCATTGTATTGTTTAGCGCTTGAATCAACCATAAAACGAGAAATTATTCTAGATATGACATGATCATTACTAAGATTCAACTTGTCATGAATCTTTTTCTTTAAATTCATATAACTTATCCCTCTTCTTATCTTTATCATTTTTTTGTTACCTTCAAATGTCACACCTTCGTTTCCAACAACAAATTTTCCATTTCAATACACAATAATAATAATATCATTCATCCTGCATTTATAAAAAAAACATATCAATAATTATTTACAATTATACTTATTTATAAAAAAAAACATATCAATATTTATTTACAATTATACTTATTTATAAAAAAAATATCAATATTTATTTACAATTATACTTATTTATATAAATAATATAAATAAATTATTTGTAACACACAAACATATTTTTATTTTTCACATTATTTTATATTATATAAAATGTAATATTTTTAATATATATTTCACATATATAAAATAAAATATTCACAACAACTCTAACATTATTTTTTTAATTAAACAAAATTATATTAAATATCTATAAACTTTTAAATTTTTTATTAATTATCTAAAATGTTATTTTTTAATTTCAATCTACATAAAAATATATTTATTAAATATTCATAAATTTTAACTATTTCTAATTAAATAATTAAAACTTTTTAATTACAAAAATATTACAAAAAATTGTAAATATTACTAACCTCAAAACTTTCCCAATCTTCAAACGTATAACCTTGCCATTTCAATGTGGTTTTCAAACACTTTCACTGTGATTTCAATTTTCAATGTCCCCCATTTCACACTTTATATAGTAACATTTGGTTGGACAAAAGGGTGCAGCCACAAGGGACGGACCAACGGACAAAAAAAAGTGAAATGTTTTTCGTCTGAATTGGAGACGGAATTACGGACCCTTTTCGTCTCTTTTACAGACGAAATAATAAGATTTAACCACGTGTTCAGATCCTATGATTTCGTCCTAAATTGAGACGAATTAATAGTAACTTGACACATGTCCATTATTTCACCTCTCACATATACGAAATGCATGACAGATGTCAATATTTAACTTATTTCGTCCCTCTTTTAGACGAAATGAATAAATTTAAAATAATAAAAATAATTTCATCTGATTAATATACGAAATCAGAGCTGACGTGGCCAAAAAATACCCCAGACAGGGAATATGTTTTAATTTTATTTTAATTTGATAATTATTTTTTAAAAATGTATTATTTTAATCTTTAAGCCCATAAAGGAAGGATTAAAATAGTGACCTGGATTTGGATTTGAATTCTTCAGTGTTGTCTTTTATGCTCTATTTTTCTAAATAATATTTGCAACAACTCATGAACAACTTATAAAAATAGCTTACAACTTTATTTCGGTAAATTTTTTGTATAATTTATCTAAATAAGTTTTTTAATTTATTTTAATAAGTTTCATAGTCAGACAGATTTTCATATAAAAATATTTATTGGTAAGTAAACTATGTATCAAATGTCTCCTAGTTAAAATCGAGCTGGGCTAAATATGAGCTTGAACGTTTACTATACACAATAATTGGGCTCAGCCCATTTTAAGATCAACATATTCACAGGCACTAAGCATTTGTGAAGGCCCAAAAAAGAGAGCCCGGTGATGTAAAAGGAAAAGGCCCATGAGTTTTGGAATGTAATGTTCCAAGTTGCAACTTGCAGTTGAACACAGTTCAGTCATCGTAACAAACCTTGTGATGGCATCGGCTATGGTGAATCGAGGTGGTTCTTCAGTCATCAAGAAAGTGTCAGCAGCTCTTAGGATCAGGTCTTACGCAAAGGTTGCAACTGGGTCTGACATACTCTCTGCCGCACCCAATGTTTCTCTCCAGAAAGCTCGTACCTGGGATGAGGGTCTTGCTTCCAAGTTCTCCACCACTCCTCTCAAAGACATCTTCAAGGTCCCCTTTCCCTTTTCACTTTCTCCATCCCATTTTTTTTTTCATACCCCCTTTTTTTCCTTTTTATTCAATTTCTAATGTCCTATTTTTCTACCTTCAATTTAATGTTTCAGGACAAGAAAGTTGTCATCTTTGGGCTCCCAGTAAGTTAACTTGATAACTTTTTTTTATAAGTTGATGTATTTTGGGTGTCTATTTGGTGTTTGTTGTTCATGTTTTGTATAATTCGGTGCTATTTTACGTGGCAGAATGAATAAATGCTTCCTTTGTTCTGGGAAATGTGGTTTTTTTTTTTTTTTTTTTTAAATTCTGTTAATGTAGATTTATTCCAAAGTAATGTTTTTCATGCTTTGGCCATCTCTCAGGGTGCATATACAGGAGTTTGTTCAAACAAACATGTTCCACCTTACAAGGATAATATTGATAAGTTTAAGGCTAAGGGAATCGATTCTGTTATTTGTGTGGCTATTAATGATCCATATACTATGAATGCTTGGGCTGAGAAGCTTCAAGCAAGAGATGCTGTAAGTTAACCTTGCTTTATTATTAAAGGCTTCATGTGCTTTTCCACTCTTGCATTTGCATTGGTGATTAGTTTTTACTTTTTAGCCTTGAAAAACCGTTGTATTTCTTTTCGTGCACTTCTGTTGAATTTTGTTTTGCCAATATCTTATAACAAAACTATAAGATCATTCAATCTGTTATTCATTTCTAATTTAAGTTTGGATATCCTTTGTTGCATTGTCATCTTGGTAGCGCTAGTCATGAGTTTGAAGATAATGCATCAAAATCAAAAGTCTGTTTCTGCTGGCATTTAGTTTAAAGATAATAAAAAGGGCCAGCAATTTTTGGTTTGGCAAAGGGCATGGCTCTTTTAATTCCTTTTCAGTGACTTGGTGGTTAAATGAAATGTATGAAACTTGTAGTAATTGGTGGCTTTTAAATCCATGTGAAGATTGAGCTATTCAGTATAAATTATGCATTCAGTAACTTAATTTGGAGTGTTCTCTCCTCTTCCTCTGGAGTGACTCCTTGCTCCAACATTATTCCTCTCTACTGAATGGGGATGGATTCTTATTAAAGACACTCTCACGCTCAATTTAGAATGGACACTAGTAGAGGAACCAAAGGATGGAATGGGTGTGTACCTTTAGTGCGTGTATATTGCCTCTGCTTATATATATATGGGGTTCCCTTTCTCCTTTTTTTGGTAGAATTGCATGGACAAAGGTATGCCACCAATTTTGTGGTACAAATTACAATTGTTAGTATTCATATAACTGTTTGCGGTGTGTGTGGTAGTTTGCCTCAAAAATTGGGTACGTCTGACCCTGTGTGTGAGGAGGACGTAGATCCCGTGGGGTTCCTATATTTCTGGACCTGAGTAAACGACCCATGAGAGAGGTCCAGAACATGGAGCTTTTTATGTTGACTGTCATGCATCAACCTATACCTTGATAAATTAGAATTTTTCTATTGGGTATTTCCCTTTCCTTGTTTTTCAATGGGGATTTACTTATGTGCATTACCTTTTAATTAAAATAATTATTTCCAGATTGAGTTTTATGGGGACTTTGACGGGAGCTTTCACAAAAGCTTGGAATTAGTCACTGATCTGTCTGGTGCATTGCTTGGAATTCGATCTGAAAGGTACTTTATACCCTCCTTAAACTAAGATTAGACTCATTTTGTATGAACATTTGTTTGGTTTTAACATCTGAGGGAACTCCTCCTCAACAATCCCCCAATGTTACCAAACACAAAAACTGTGAGGTGTCAAGCTATGACTTTAAAAAATTGAATGAATAAAATTGAAATTGGAAGTAATGTGGTGAGAGATTACCAAATAATGTAATATGGCAAAGTAAATATGTTTAACAATGTCAAACTATCTTAGACTCGTAAATGTACAATTTTAAAGAGGAAATACTTTACATATGATTTAGAAATTAGGATTTAAAAATTAATAATAATTGTGATTCAACCTGATTTGTTACTGGTTTTTGGGGGTACCCTTATTCTAGAAGCTAGCCATTTGATATGGTTAAATTGATTGGAGAGCGGTCCTTAGAACAGTGCTGATTTCTATAAAAAGACATGGATTTTGTCATTTTATTATAGATTTCAATTCTTAAAAGAGTAGCTGTTGTTTTCATGTAGATGGTCAGCTTATGTTGTAGATGGAAAGATTAAGGCTCTTAATGTTGAAGAAGCTCCATCTGATGTCAAGGTTTCTGGTGCAGACACCATTTTGGGACAGATTTGAAGTTTCTGTTGTTTTGTATTTATGTAGGTTGTAAGTCTTTAATAAAATGTACCTAATGCTCCCACCTGATCCAATGTTGTGAGTTGAATTTTGGACTTGTTATTCTTGTTGTCACTGCTCCCTATTCCCTGAATGCAAGGTTATATGGTGAAATAAGTTTCAAGCATTCATTTATAAGCTGTATGTTTGGTATAATATCACTTCAATATTTAGTTATTATGGCACAGGTATTATATCACTTTTTTCAATTGCTACAATCAAAACTCAATTTTTTATATAATTTCCGTGAATTGATTATATAATTTTTTTTATTTAAAATTCACGGACCAAAATATTATATTTCAACCCAAATTAGAAAATGTCAAGTTTTTTTCTCTTAAAAACTCTAACATAACGTCATACAAGATTTTTCTAATTTTATCAAGTGTCTCGTTTATAAAACTTCAAAATCATTTCAAAATCCATGCTAAACCCCTAATTATTTGAATGCAAAATTAGGATTTGATCGTTTTATATAAAGGGAAGCTAACAATAGATTTAACTGTAAATTGTTTCCCATCCGGCTGGGGTCCAAACAATAACCAGGCTTTTCCTGATTAAGTTATGTTACATAAATTAAAGAATACTATAATGTTTAATAAACAATAATTTCTATAGAAAAAATGTTGACATCTAAGTCTATCTTAATTGTTTTACTTGTATTATTTTTTTAGTCTCCTTTTGTTTCTAGACTTTAGGTTATTCTCCACCTAAGTTGCTCTTTCTGCTTAGATTTCTGTAGATTTTCTCTACACATGCTTAAAAAATATGTAAGGTGAGGTTCTGCCATTCTTTCTATTAGGGATTGCCTTCACTTTTTTTTTTTTTTCTAATGCATTCAATATGGAAAGTAAAGTCAAATACAAAAAATAATTCAAGAGACCACGACAACATATTGGTTATAATAGAGGCACAAAAATGCTATCAATCCTAATATTTATATTTTTATATTAACTTTATATATTTCAATAAAATCAGGTGTCTTATATTTCACTGTTTTTCACATCAGTATAGGACTAGGATCTGTGTGTTTTATCCGTACTTCTTAGAACACAGTAGAACGAGGTAGGGGAAAAACACTCTATATATAACAAGTAATATTTATTATTGAAGTGACTTAGACTGCAAAACGTAGAACCCCTAAGTGAACCATGGATCTACCGTTAGCCTTAAAAGTTATACAAAGTCGTGTCGAAAGCGCATTCACGGGTTTTTAACGCATCTTCACGCCTGCGCTAAAGTATTTCATGAAGCGAACTAAGTATATCAAGTATATTTATGGTATCAAAGTATAGAATTGATGAGCCCTAGCTAAGTCTTCAACGCAAAACATCACTTTCAAGCAATATTATTCAAAACGCGATTGTGCCACCCAGATTCTTGTTTCCTCAACTCCACTTCATGACCTTTTGCTAGTCACAGTTTTATCAAAGCAGCACACTAATATTAAATATCAATGTTACTGAGGTGAAACTCCAATTTTGAGAACAGCAACTGTGCGTGCATCTGATTTTCGTGCATTTATAAATTGGTGCGTACAAATTCTGAAGACAAGACACAAAAAGGTAGATTGAGGGACAAGACAAGAATGAAATGGTTCGTTTAGCAGATGAGTTATGTATACGCAAAAGTTATTGTTAATTTGTTTGTTCCATTGGCATTTCCAACAAAAACGAAAGGAATCCCACGACGCCATGGCACTCACTTTCCTGAAGCGAACCATGAATTCATTGTGTGCAGTTCTTGGGATCGGAAATTCTTCCTCTATTCACAAGGTTGCACCAGGGACTGACATACTCTCCATTGCACCCAATCTCTCTCTCCAGAAAGCTTGCACCTGGGACGAAGCCTTCAATTCTAATTTCTCAACAACTCCTCTTGAAGACATCTTCAAGGTCCCCACTTTCTTTTCTACTTCATTTCTCTACGCCATTCTCATTTTCAATTGGGTCAGTTACTAATGTCATTTTTTATTTCCCACTATAATTTGATGTTCCAGGACAAGAAAGTTGTCATCTTTGGAATCCTGGTGAGTTAACTTCACATTTTTATTATTCGTTGATGTATTTTAGGTTGGTCTCTTTGGTGTTTGTTGTACTTGTTTTATAAAATTTCAGTAACATTTTACGTGACAAAATGAATATTTCCTGTGTTCTAAGAAATAAATTTGTATGAAAAAAATGTGCTATATTTGTTTAACCTTGTTTCACAATAGAGTTTTTTATGTTTAGAAATAAAATTGTATGAAAAAATTGCTCTTTTTTTTTTTTTAAACCTTATTTCACAATATTGTTTTTAATGGTTTGGCTCTCATTCAAGGGTGCATTCACCGGAATTTGTTCAGATGAGCATGTTCCAAATTACAAGAATAATATTGACAAATTTAAGGAAAAGGGGATCGATTCTGTTATTTGTGTTGCTATTAATGATCCATATACTATGAATGAGTGGGCAGAGAAGCTTCAAGCCAAAGATGCTGTAAGTTATCCTTATCTTTTTGCTTTACTATATTGAATTTGAAGACTTGATGTGCTTCAAGGGTGATTTTCTCCTTCGCATTTGCATTGGTGATTTGTTTTACATTTTTAGCCTTGAAGAGCCATTGTTAATTTGTTATTTTACATACACCTCTATTGTTTTTTTTCGGGTACTGGTTTTAAGTGTTGCCTTTTTTTATTATGTATTTAAACTTTGATTGTAGATTGAGTTTTATGGGGACTTCAATGGGAGATTTCACAAAAGCTTGAAATTAGTTACTGATCTCTCTCATGCTTTGCTTGGAACTCGATCTGAAAGGTATGTATTATATACCCTCCTTAAATTAAGATTGGAAACATTCTGTCATTCACATGATCACATTTGTTTGGTTTTGATGTCTGAGAGAACTTGCTTTCTTCCAATATTATAAAAATAATTGGTAACATAACGAAGGACATATGTTAACATCAATGTCATACTATTTTCATGCTCATAATGTATACAGATGATATAGACATAGCAATTATTTTCAGAAATTAGAATTAAAAAATAAGAAAAACTATAAAATGGACAGCTAGTCTTTAGAAAAGTGGTTTCCTTGTAGATATTCAGCATATGTGGTAGATGGAAAGATTAAGGCTCTTCATGTCGAAAGAGATCCAACTGTTGTCACGGTTTCTGATGCGCAGACCATTTTGAAAGAGATTATTTGAGCTATTTGTTGGGTTCTTTGTATAATATAATGTACCTAATGTTGTAACAGGAGAGTTCATGTTACTTTTTTTCGGGAATAAAAATTTAGGTACAGTACTGTAAATACTGTTATCTAATTAGAGTTGAAATATTATGTTAATAAGATGTATAATAAAAATTTGTACTGAAGGTCAAAGTAAAACTCTCAGAAGAATAAAAAGGGCATTATATGTATTATTTTATACTTAAAATTTGTCCTTTTTTAAATATTGGACTTGTAATTTCTCTAGTCAATAATTCCTTTTACCTGGATGCAAGGTTAAGTTATACAGGGAAAAAGTTTGAAGAATGCATCACATCATATTTATGTTTGATTCTCCATTGCTTTATTTTGTTGTCTCGCTTTAGATCATGTTATTCGTTATCTTATTGAGGCTTCCATCACTTTTCTACCCATGATCATGCATCCCTTTACAAGTTTTAATTTTTGCCAAATCCTAATTAGTTCAAATAATTAAAAGTATTTGTTATTAAAAAAATATTAATGCATTTCTATTATAACTTTTAATAAAAAGTATTTATCAAGGAAGAATGTTCTATTTAGCAAGATCTTTATTATTGTTTTTCGGGAAAATTGGCCATAAAACTAAACTGAAGGTGACTTGCCAAAAATTAAACTAAGGATGTAGGTAGCACACACTGATAAAAAAAATGGTTTAATTAAGTTCAAAATTGACTCAAATGAGAAAGCTTGAATTAAATTGGGTCCATTAATCTCTCAAATCTTATTTGAACTCAATTCAAGGTGAGGAATCACGTTTAGCTTAAAAAAATATTTTAAATGACTAATCTCTAAATATGTTTTTAAATGCATACTATGCCAATTTTAAAAACTAAAAATATTAAAGAAAACAAAAGACATGATAAAGTTACATAAGTTGATGCATTCAATATTAATTTGATTTAACTGTATTTTTCGTTTTCAAACTTTAACTTATGTATGATTTTATTCTTTTTAATTTTAATTTTTAAACTTCAAATTAAGCCTTTTATCTTAAATTCTTTTCTACTAATTAAAAAATAATAAAAATATGACAAATTATTGATTTCTATAAACTAATAAAAAAATAAAATTTAAATAAATATATATAAGTTTTTATTTCAATTTTAAATTATTTCATGTATTTTTTGTGAATTTATATAAATCAATCATATATAACATCTTTGTTATATTTCTATTAATTATTAGAAGAAATTTTAAAATGAAAAACTTAATTTGAACAATTTAAAAATTATAAGAATTAAATATGAACAATTAAACTAGAGAAACTAAAATTGTATACAAGTTAAAAGTATAAGCATAACGAGTTTACTCTATCCTATTAATTTAATATTTAAATATTGTTGACATTAATATAATGTTTAACTATTGAAAATAAAGTTAATTCTTTAATTATAAAAATGACTCCAATTTAATCTAAAATTAGAAAAACTCTATTATAGATAGTTCACGCTTAATATAAAGGTAAATCAATATAAAACTTTTTATCATTAATAGATTAAATTACCAAAACTATTTTGGATTATCAACTTGGTGCCACCTATATTAATATGAGCATCTTCGGATAATCAAATTTTATCGTCCATATTATACATGGGGACTAAAACAGGTTTCTAGTACCGGAAGCAATGACTAAATTGTATGATATATTATTATATATGCATTGAAGACCTTAATCATATTCTTCAATTCTTTTTAATAGCAGTGTCACTCATTTCTCTCCATTTTGTTTTAGTGAGGCCAAATACGCGTAGGTCTGTTACATTTTTTTTAATCATTGAATTTTGCATAAATTAATAGCTTTGGAATTTCATGTGCTAAGTTAAAAGTCATTATTTTTTTTAAAAAAAATTCATGAATTTATTATTTAATACTGACTATTTAATAAAATTAAATTATCAGAATTCACACCTTTTACCTGATAACCAACGTCTTATATATGTTCCCTATATCTTTAATTTCTTAAGATCTATAATTTTATGTTAATCTTGCATTAATTAGCTTTATTTGTTGCACTCGGTGTCTTATAATTTTTAAAGTTTTTGAAGTAGTGTCTATTTGGTAGAAGCTACACTGTGTAGCTTATAAAACAACTTAAAACCAAATACATGTATACTGTAACTTCTAGACATTAAACAGTAGACACACATGTATAACAGAACTCTGTCTAGAATTTGTTTGTCCTTAATCAAAATTATTAAAAATATTAATCTAAGTGATTAAATTTTATATATTTTTATTATAAAATTATTCAGTATAATTTTATAATTAAGCAACTATAAATGTTTATTCTTAATAGTTGTTAATATTAAATTATTTTTCTTATAAACTTTTAAATGAGTAATAATTTTTTTAATTAATATTTATATAAACATTTTTAAATGGTTTTAATGAGCCAAAAAGTATACAATAATAACGTATATATAACAAATTGTAAATTACAATACATCATGAATTAATAACATTAACTCGTATATTTCTAATACAAAAATTATTTATTAGTTTTTTACTGTATCCTTAAACATATATTAAAAATGATTTTAAATTATATAAGTTTATTGATAAATTAATAAAAAATATAATAAATTAAATTAATAATGTTTTAATTTAATTAACATGAGTAATAGAGACTTATTTCATTAAAGGGTATGAAGAATAGGCATGTAAAAGGGGGTAATAAAAAACGAGAAACATGGGTAAGAATAAGAATCCATCAAACTAAGAGATAGATGCATTAAATAATCTTTTATAAATTGATGGTACATATTTTGAATTCTTACAAGTAATTGACCATTGATAACAATGCAGGACGCATACCAACAGGTACATTGGTTATCAAAGGCGTCTCTTGCACCTCTTTTTGGACAATTGACACACAACAGTAAAATTGATGACCCCCAGCTAAGTCTTCATAGCATCATGTCCACTCTGGATCAAGAATGGAAACACATTGAAAGCATTAGTCAATAGTCAACTTTGAAGTAATGTCATTCAAACTTTGTCCAGAGACATTCACCAATACCAAAATGCAATTTTGCCCCTCAATTTCTTTAAGACCACCAATATATACTATGGTTTTTTTAACCTAAAGACTAAGTCCAAGTAAATAGTAATAACAAGATTTTATTAGAAATACAACATATAATAATTTTTTTTAATAAATTATTATTATTATTATTGTTTGCCCAAACTCAGCCATTTTAACAAAACTGTAAATAGTATACCAATCAAGGTGGATTTTTCTTTTGGTGAAATTTATGTGCAGTTCCTTAAAGAGTTATTGGCGCTGTTTTTTAATCTAAATTTCCGTAAGAGGTCTACGTTTAAAACTATTGCAAATTACTAAGGAAAACAATACCAAAAACAAATAAAAAACTGCAGTTACATCTTTCCTTTTTTCCCCATCAAGCACTAATTTACAAATTCAATTTCAAATCAGCTTAAGCTGGATCCAGGGCAGAGGCAAAGAAATGGCTTCTGTGTTGTTTATTGGTTATTAATTGACAAGAAATGCTAACAATACACTCTTTAACACACTATTATTGGCTAAAATTTATTGGAAATCACAAAAATCATGAGTCTTACTTTAATTATTATTATCCTTACTTTTGTAGTTTCAGTGAACTTGAATTAATAAAACAGAATGTGTGTTAAAAATGATATTTTAGAGTGTGTTCCTAGCACTCCTCTTCCTCTTAATTAACATATTTCTTTTTTCTTCTTCTGTCTTCTGTGGATAATAAAACCCCTTAAAATTGTACATTAACAGATTAACTTCTTGAAACAAACTAATATTCAAAGTACAAACCAAAGGATTTGATAGATGGAGTAACCTGAACACATGGAGGAGCTTGCATTTGAACAGATAGCATGTTAGTACCAAGTGGGGGAACATCTGAACTAGTATCCTGCACTGCACCTTCACTCTCTTTAATAGGAGAATGCATGACGTCATTCCCTTCAACAGACCTCCCTTCTTCAGGGATGCCTGAAGTTCCCTCAGAACAGACAGGAATGACAGGAGAACTGGATCTTTTTGAGGTAAGATCAAGGCGTTCAATCATTCGCGCAACTCCAGCAATGCCTGCATTCATCTCACGCTGAACACCTTTACTCAACTCTTTTACTGAGACATTATGGGCAAGTAACTTCTCTTTAAGGCCACGGGTACTTTTTGAAATTGATTCCTTATATCTGTAGCAAAATTTCAGATATATTAGCACTGAAGGGTACTAATAGGAGCATACAAGAAATCAAGCGTGAATATGTTACCTGGCTGAAGCAGCAGAAAATTTGGATTTGATGGACTCGGGAAAGGAAAACATCTCAGAAGTGTTCGGTCTCCTCTCACTCTCAGGCGGTGACTGGCTAAAGAGAACTCTGAAGAAGGCCCATGAAATAATGAACACATGATGACATGAAAAATCAGTAACCGAACACTTGAGGAAATAGCTTCACAATAAATCACTGATGCCACTACTTTATACTTAAGTCTTGCACAACCAGTACCTGGGTCTGTAAGGGACATCAAGCTCAGGAGGTTGAATGTAAATAGAAGGTGCACTAGAAGCCAGTGAACTACCCCCAGATGGTGAAGTTGGAAATGTAGGCTGCACCCCAGACACATGCACAGAAGAGTTAAAGGCAAGACCCTCTGATGGACCTGCTCCAGTTGATCTCTGCCTTTCTTGTCTCTGAACAAAACGAGCTCTACTTGCAGCAGCAACTAGGCGGCGCATAATTTGTTCATCAAAATCAGAGTCGTCTGAGCAAGAATCATCCTGTAACAGAATAATTTGCCTCACATCATTGACTGATAGTATGGTGCTTGTATCAAGGAAACTAACACCAATAAATATTAACTCAATAAAACTGTTCCATAAACTACCAATTATTAGATATCTCACTCACATGGTCATCACTAAGCCGCTCAAGGGGGACACGAGAATTAGTGAATGAAGATGAATGTATTGTTCTTGATCTTATGCGTTTTTCATCCTCCACTGCGGCTAGAAGCTCTTGGCTACAAAAGGATAGGTAATTGATGAAACCGTCTAATCATACCCACAAAGGCTTTTATCAAGCACTTGAGAGGGAGGAGGAAGAGTGACACTTTTTTTCTTATAATGATGGTTATTTTTTGCAAGTGAACATATACCTGGCAGGGTCTTTCAAAGCAAGCGATTGCCAACATATAGGGCACTCTTTGCTTCTTTGTGACCTAAAGAAAAAGAGTTATGTAAGAAGCAAGCCATCACAATTCACACTAGAGAATTTGTTTGCAAAAATAAGATCAAAATATGGTCTATTTTATTAAGAAACTAAGCTTACCATTCAAGAATGCAATGCAAATGATATTCATGTTTGCAACAAGTAACCTGGAATTGAAAAAGAAACGTCAATATTATGTTCATAGTATAGGATTAAACTTAATATCGGCAGCTTGCAAATTTTCCTTTTGATTGTCTACAGGTTGCAAGTTGCAACCCATCCGCACATAAAGCATAATTAAACACATCAAAATAGATTAGATATCTCATGGTTGAAGATATGTTTAATTCTCACAATGATTCAACAATTTTAATTTTCCAATACACTTCGAGAGATGTTAAAAAGTTAATCGCCATTCACGCAGAAAAAATTATCAATTGGTGCAAAAATAACTACAAACAACAAAATAGGCTTCTTCAAATATGCACATAAAAGCATGGCAAAGATTTCCTCAAGTTTTGCATCAGTGCAGCCACTGTTGCTGACAGAAGCAGATCCTCACATGTATCTCAAAACAAAGCAAGATAAAAATCTTAAATTGCTATGCAAGTTCAATAGAAATAACCCGACCAAAACAAAGCTTTAAGGTGAAAACATATCAAATTCCCCAAAAGAACAAATTTGTCAAGTTTTGACCAATACATTATGAAGTCAACAGAAACACACCGAACTCCTGTCTAATAACCCCAGTAAAAAAATGAAGACTTTAACAATTAACAAGCTCAAGAAGGTTATGAAAATTTAACATGACTGAATCAACAAGTTCACGGGAATGCGATCACTCTTTCAAGTTCGCAACTTTTCAGAAACCCATATGCACAAACCAAAAGGACAGTGGTGGATCAAATCATACAGTTGATGGGTCATGGATGCTGAAGGGCTCAAGACATATACTGCAGGAGTCCTCCACAGAGTCATCAAAAGCTGCAGAAGAAGAAGAAGAAGAAGAAGAAAAAGGGGCTGAAATGGGTGGAATGTGTGACAGAGATGTAGAAGAAGAAGAAGAAGATGATGATGATGATGAAGAGACAGAAGTGAAATTTGCCATGGTTAGGTGAATGGTGGTAGGTGACAGAGAAGAAGAAAGGAACCCTAGAAATGGACAAGAGAGTGTGTAAAAGTTCAAAGAAAGGAATTAAAGAGAGAGGGAAGGAAGCAGAAAATGAAGGGAAAATCCGATTCAGACGGTTTGATGAAATCAACGTTACGACTTATGGATTTTTTTTTGTCTTAAACACTTTACTTTATTGTTATTATATTTATTAATTACTCTGATTTTGGATTTCTTTTTCCCTTTTTGTGTTTTGAAGTTTTTCATTTAACGTTAACTCCTAAATCCTATTCACAATGTCTTTTTCTGTATTGTATGTTGCCGCCATTTTGTACTCAGTAGTATTATGAATTTGATATATAAATACTTGGTCAGTATTGTCGTCTATTTCACATTTTTTTTATTACAGTTTCACATTATTTTTTGTCATTTTTTTAACACTTAGAATAGATGACACCTTTTATTTTTTATTACATTATATTATTAATTACATCAATCGTTTTTTCATCTCTTTTTGAATATATATATTTTAAGGGATGTCTATTATGTTTTTTAATTCATAGATTTATAAGACTTAACATTTTTATACTATTTAATAATTTAGACAAAATTTATTTTAAATTCAAGTCAATATAAATTTTATATATTACTAATTTTTAATATAATAAATTATTTTAAAAAATATTGAATTATTATGTAAGGATAAATTTGAGTTAAGCATCGTGCTACGACCAGTGCTGTTTATAAGTTATGTACCTAATAGTACCTGTCTTTTTCTTTTCTTTCTCTTTGGATTATTCTTTTCCCCAAAATACCGAAAATTCTTTTGAACATAAGAACGTTGCTGAAAACGGACACCTTCGTACACGTAACCCTTTTCTGTGGAATAGAAATAGATCGACTTATAACGGAATAAGTGATGCTCTTTTCATAGTTTTTTTAATCATATTTTCTACAACAAAGAAAAAAAATTTAAAAAGTATAAAGCAAAATGAGAATGTGACAAAAAAAAATCATAAAATATAAAATGTATTGATAAAATAAATAAAAATAGCTTTACTTTGATCAAAGGACGATAACATTTTCTCATACTATAAATTATTTTGTTAGTCGAGTAAAAAATCAAAGAAATTATCTAAATAGACACTAAAATATGTGGACGAATATGTTCGAGGAAACAAGAGGCTATTATTGAGGTTCAAAGTATGCTCAGCTCCATCACACTGTTGCTAAAGAAAAGTGTCACTGTGAAGTACTGGACGGCGATGCAATGGGACCTGCATAGTGATTGGCAAATTCTTCTCATAGCATTGGTCGTAGCACAATCTGAGTTTGGTTTGAAGATTAGTATAATTAGCTTTAATGAAATTATTTTTGGGTTATGATTCTCACGGACACATTATGTGTGTTTTAATTTTTAAATTTTTAAGTTAAATAAGTCCTTAATTGTTCAGAAAGATATTATTACATTCAAATTTGAGATGTTACATGAATAAAGAAAGAAAGAGATAAAAAAAATAAAGTAAAAGATGTGATAAAAAAATATAAATAAATAGGGGTAAAAATATAAAAGTTGATTGGTCAGGAGAGTGGTGTTAGAGGCGAAATTCTAGGCATACAGATATACTGGTTGAGAACAAGTAAATCATTACTTTAATTGATGATTTTGCAAGTTTTCTTTATGTTAAGACGTGAGAACTTTTGTTAAATATTATTGACAATTACTAATAGCAGAAACAAACATGATGGACATCTTTATGACTTAAGACTAAAATAAACAGTTATTTTGTCAGCAATGAAATTTTAAAAATGATAAACTTAAGAATTAAAGCAGTGAATTACTAGGGTAAGAATTAAAAAAAAAAGTTGTATTTAGTTGCTTCAAGCTTAGCACGAATTTCTGCCCCATATATCTATATATATATATATAATCATGATTGAATCTCTATATGTATCCATTTACACATCATAATGGGCACATTGATGCTATTGTTACATGAATAAGAGGTTTTTATTGTTTGTATATGGGAAGTGAAAGCGGGAATATATGCACCAAAAAAGTGGGTATACTAACTTCAAATCCAGGGTATGTTTCTTGTATGGGCCAAACAAATGATTGGGGAAGTTACTATATGATGAATCCATCTTCAATTACTGCGTTTTTCAACACAATGGTAATACCGGAACGGATGTAAAAACCTTGTGAAGATCTATCAGCCTCTTGTATACCCTGCAGCTCATGCAATCATAAATTTAATACTAGTTGACAAAAACATAAACACAAAATCATTATCTCACTTGTTATAACATTTTATTGTTGAATTCTCGTGACACTATGCTAAATATAGCAATTTAGTAAAATCAGCATTGCAACAATTTCTTTTTAGATTTACTACTTTAAAATAGAAGAATCATATCATATATAATATACCTCGGAGTTCGCTACAACAACATTCTTTCCAATTCTAGCATTTTTGTCAATAATGCAGTCTCTGCAGAAATGCAAGAAAAAGTGAGAAACTGCAGCAATAGAAACAAAATTGTTAGGAGATTAGTGAGAGTTGCAAATGGTACTTGATTTTTGTATTTTCTCCTATTCCAATTGGAACTCTTCCCTCAGATAACAGTGCTGCCACTTCAGTGTCGGTTTCATAAAAATCAGCCCCAAGCATTACTGTATCCTGCATGTAGATGTGTAACAAAATGGACCTAGACGAAATTACCGAGTAAATAAATGTACCAAAATGTACTTCCTATAAATATTTGAAGAAGAAACACTTAGAATTTTAAACCTATAGATTTGATATTTGCTAGTTTTCTACACTATCCATTAAGTGTGATGATATTTACACATCAAAATATGACTTCATTTTAACACTATTATCTAAAAAAGGAAGTGATATAAGAATGATCGTATAAGAATTTTTTTATGTCAAATGTAATTATTGATCTGTGAATTAAGTATCTATGTTACCATTGTTAACATTTTGCATTATCTTCTTCTGTAATTCTCCATGTACATGTTTACATAAATGGTATGGATAGACCAAACCTTTAAGTGAACTTTTGAGTTAATTCTAGATCTGATTCCAACTACACTATGCTCTATCAAAGAATCAGTCACGAAGCTCCCATGCGATATGATTGAATCAACAATCTGCGTAAGGACAAATAATTATATTGTAGATTAATAATTGATAGCAGGAAGTTGCCATATAACAGGAAAAAATAAAGTCCAAGCGCAAGCAGTGACATCAATAGGTTCCATACATGCAGGTTTAGCTCCCAAATAAATTCACATTCAGCAGGTGATATGGCTGTAGTACTATTTAGTATGAGTTTTTCATGAGTATGATTTATTTGTACTTACCTTGCTATTGTCAATCTTTGTTGGCGGTAAGTTTCTCCTTGATGTATACATTGGTTTTGCTGCATCATAAAAGCTAAACCTGGGTGGCTGAAAATTACAGGAGTTTCCAGATGACAAAGATTTTAGATCTCAATGATTGAAAAGGGAATACAGTGCTCTGGTAACAAAATGAAAAAGATTAATTTTAATCTGTTCATAACAGTATGAAGTTTAATTATTTCATGAAAAATTTTCCTTAATTAATTTAATTATGTATACAAAAATGAGCAATAAGTAGTAACAGATTTATGGGTCCATGACAAATTTTCCCTAATTAATTACCAAATGAACTTAACAGAGTCATTAGTTATGATACTTGAAAGAGTAGCAAGACAGATAAACTTGACACTTACATGCTCAGTGAGGGCTAGATTTGCCTCAAAGAATGATCTGATGGTCCCTATGTCCTCCCAGTAGTCATTGAAGAGATAAGCCTGCAAGCAATTTTTTCCTATAAATGTTCCTAGTATATGAAGATGCGCATGTGTTCAAGAAGATGTGCACTTTGGTTGCGTCTGCTACACAAGTATATAACATGTATTGCAATAAAAGAATAATGAATATTGCCATGCCATAGGTAAAATCATCAAGTACGATATTCCTTTTAAATGCTTTGAAATAAATCTCCAATCACACCTTCATGTAAAACTCTCTAGCAGAGGCAGGAATGACCTCTGATCCGAAATCATTTGCAGTTGGAAAACGCCATCTATATGAAATAAAATTATAGAAATTAGCAAGCCAGCTTTGAAATAGGATCAATTTATTTTCAGTGCATATCTCTGTAAGTGAACCACAGGGAAAACTTTAACAATTTAATAGATAATTATTAGTACCTTAAAAGATTAAGAAGTATTTCCTTCTTGAAGACGTACACTCCCATAGAAGCAATGTATGGTTTCTTTTCAGCCTCATCCCGTGGAAGGCCCAACACTGTTGTATCTACTTGCTAAATTATGAAGCAGAATTAGCTGATTCTTGAAACTTACCATGTCTTAGCAAAATGATTAACATGACTTTTACCATTGCTTTCAAGTCTTCTCCTTTAGGCTTCTCACTAAATGAAAGGATCCTTCCTTTTCTGTCTATCTTCATTAGACCAAAATCTGAGGCACGGCTATCATGAATGCACGATCGAGATTTAAATAGTAATATATGATAAAGACTATCCTACTGAGAGATAAGAAAGCCAGTTCCTCTCTCAGAGTCGACTTGCGTAAACATATTAAAATAGCTATACATTTAAAGGATTATGGAAATTGAAATAGCTTTCAATTGGCACCATTTTCTTAATAGAAATTATTAAAATGTTAATATGCAGGACAAGTAACCTACCTGTCATCCATTGGCAAACAAGAAAGAGTGATATCTGCTTTACTCTCCCTATGATTCTGGATACAATGAGTCAAAACATGTAATAGTCAATACTTCTAGTGAAATCAAATTGAGAGATGAAAGGGATGTTTGATTAAATGGTAAGATGGCTTACTTGAACAAAATCCATGTAGTCCATTCGGTAGAGGTGATCTCCAGAAAGAATCAATACATCCTCAATATCCTTACTTCTCGGATCCTATAAAAAGAAAAACATGCTTTACATCATCATACTAAACATCTGACCACCTTTAACAATCAATCATTTTCAATGGGAGTTTTGGTAAATTTTTATGTATGAAATGCAGCAAGAAAATGGTTAACGGCACATTATCAACACTTTCAGGATACGAATTGATGTCTTTGAAATTATTTTGAAACTTAATTAGCTACAATCAACCTAACAAAACCTGGGAAATTTGAATTCTCAAATGAATTCAAACTTTGGCCATTTAAAGTAATAAATTTTACTCCCTGTAATTTATGTCATAAGATATGCCATTTGAACAACATAAACAATATACGCAAAACATTTGAGAATTCAAAGATTTTTTTTGTTTCTCAAAATGGTAGTGTAATACCTCAAATAGCCAGTGGAATTGCCTTACAGCATCAGCAGTACCCTGAAACCAACTTTTACCTGCCTGCCCGGGAGTTTGAGTGGCTGCAAGTACCTAAACACAACAAACTCTCTTAGATAATCATCATTATCATAATTCTTCATTTACTAGCTTATTTTCTAAAGAAGTTTCGAAACTAATTATTATCACACACTCTCACATTGCAAGCATGTGGTATTGGAAAATGGTAGGTACCTCGACGTAACCATCTCCAAAGGTGATTCCAGAGCCAGAGTTATAAGCACGTGCAATATGCCTGTTTAGTGAGAATGAGTTAAACTGAGTGAGGATGTACACCTTATTGATGCCACTGTTGATGCAATTGCTCATTGGAACATCAATCAGCCTGTAAGCACCTCCAATGGGAACCTGTCATGGAAAAATTCGACATTCTTACTGTTGATATATTTATAAGAAAGAAAAAATTGTATTTCAAACAAAAATCACCTAAAAGAGAGAGTTGTAAATAGATATATAGGTGTGACAACAGAGATATCCTTAAATTATATTTATCTTTATCTTGGTATGTGTTTTTTATCCTTCAGTAGTTAATGAATTTAGATGTTTTTGCACAGATCTATATCTAATTAAAATCATAATTAACGGATTAAAAAGAGAGTAAAAATAGATAGTTACAGCAGGTTTGGCACGGCGCTTAGTGAGAGGAAAGAGACGAGTTCCAGCTCCTCCACCAAGTATCACTGCCACAACCGTCCTTGGGTCCTTTTTATCCACATCTAGGTTCGTCAACTGCAACACCCCATATTCTCATTCGTCATAGTTCAATATTTTTATCTAATAATGTTACCTTCAGAAATTCCTTTTACCAATCATGCATAAATCATTAATGTGGCTGCAATTTGTATCGATTAAAGTTTTTCTTTTTCTGACATATACTGTGTCATGCTATTCAACTCCTCACAGACAAATTCATTATAAGATAATATGAACTATATGGTATTGGTATATATAAATTTGTGAATAAAATGAGTAAACATAATTACTTGAAGACTGTCTAGCAGCAGCTACCTTCGTATGGCTTCAGTGAATGCGAAAGTGCTAGTAATAAGAAAGTTAATAGTTCTATTCTTATAAACAAAATTTACTTCAAAAAGAAAATTTGAACATGTGTGTGTATATCGGGTCTCCTCACAAAGATCAGAAAAAGTGTCATTATACCTTGTAAGAAAACATGTAACTTTTTTGCACACTCGAAATTATGTTTACGAGTTTCAACTTTAAAACTAATTAAAAAATTAAAAGTATAACAATAAGGAGTGAGCTAAGTAATAGTAATATAATCAACCTTGGGTTGGTTGACGAAATCAGTAGTGAGAGACATGCATATACGTTGAGTAGCATTCTTTGTACATGCATTATTATGAGTTCCATGTTGGTGAAGTTGGGTTAGCTTCAGCTTCAGACCCATGAATTCTCCACTAGAAAACTTTACAAGGCCCAAGTTGCTGGCATTCCCTCTTTTGAGTCCATGCAACTGAACAGCAGAGGAGAGTGATATCCTGCTATTGGCGGAGACAGCCATTTTCCCTAAGACTACAGGGAGAAAGTGGGAATTTCAGTAGTAAAAATGAAGATCTTCTCAATCTCACTCTGTATATTATGATTATGATGTCATTCAATTAAAGGGTTGTGTGTATAGTACAGAGAAATGAGAATGGAGATTTGGTTACATTACATGCACGGGTGTGAGTTGAAGGATTGGGCCACGCGTTATCCAAATTCAATTACATCCACCAATTAACAAATGAGCTCTACCAAGCACACATTATAATGTAAGAAAATGACATTTTAATTTGTGCGTGCAACGACTCCATGGAATGATTCCTTATGCCCTTTGTCCACAATCAGTTTTCCACAACACACATTGGGGTTTCCGTCGGAAAATTTGGTGGTAAAAGGATGGTAATTTCGTAATTTTGCTAGAGGACTTGGACTTCACTTTCATTCCATTCACATCAGGAAGCAATTATTAAACAAATTTTATGAAAATATTGCTAAATAAATATTTTAAATTATTTATTGATATTTGTCAACTTATTATAAAGAATATATTATAAACCATCATTAATACATTTTTGCTTTCAGTGGATGGAGAATTGACTAACTAAGAAAATGAATGGGACAAAAATAAATGACATATGCGACAAGCAATGAGATAAAATGAAAAGAATGTATAAACAAAATATAAGAAAAAAAATTGAGAAAATTATAGTTATACAAAAAATAAATTTAACTTTCTCATAAAATTAGTAAAAGTTGTGGTTTCGTTAATATGCTGCTACTCGTCATAAATTGTGGTTTTAAGGTAATTTCCTTTTGTATTTTAAAAAAATCATATCCATTTTTTTCAAGAAAATAACTTTCTAAAATACATTAATTACTTTTAAAAACAATATCATAAAATTGACTTATGAATGCAAAAAGAAATGACCTATTATTTTTTGGGTACCCTTCCTTTCAAGCCCACACTATATACTACATGAGATCCAAGCCTTCCAACGAGCCCAAGCAGATGGTTCATTATATGCCAATGGATTGGACCAAAAGTAAATTGACCTACTCAAAAATATTTGATTTCTACTCCTTTTCACCCTACTTTGTCCAAATGTCCTTAACTAACTCTCTTTGTTTTAATGGGATTAAATAAACATTTTATAATGCCTAAGAAATAAAAACTGTATTTTTATAAATTAAGAAAATGTTAACTTAAGACTAAGAATAAGAAACTAATAATAATAAACTTTTAATTAAAAAAAAACATTCATTGTGATTTTATAGGATTGAGGTTAACAAAAATGTATAATTATGGTTTATCACTGCTGATTAAAAAATAATAATCGACACTATATTAAAATAATAAAAAATTTAATTTTTCACTTATTAATTTTTAACAAACAATTATGATAATATCTCTATCATTAATAACATACCCTTACTCCAAATGATCAAATCTATGTGTTGTATGCTAACAATTCCTTTCAAATATTTCTTGTTTTCATTCACTACATTTATTGTTGTCTCAATAGACACTTTTTGAAATGTTTACATAAAAAAATAAATGAAGAATAAAGATTAAAAAATAGAAATAAGTGAGAAATAAATATTATTATATATGATATTGAATATAACACCAATTATTTAATATTCAAACAATAAAATGGTAAAAAAAGAACATTTTTATCATGTAGAGAGAGAAAAAATAGTACAATGCATATTAAAAGGGTAAAAATGAGATAGATCTCATGTGACAGTCAAGTCCCAGTCTTCTGGATCGACGATAGTGTGATGATCACGTGAGATCAGGGACCGCTTATTGTACTTCGAATAGTGATGAGTTAAAGGCCCAAAATATAAATAATTTTCCGATTTATATTAATAAATTTTATAATCAAGTTTATTTTATCTTATGCAGTAAAATTAATATATTTCACACTTAAATGTTCTTTAATATGTTTTCTTGACATATTTATTACCAAAATTTGAATTTTATAATTAAAATTTTCAATCGATCCGACCAAGTTAATTTATAAATGAATGATTTTAATTTTTTAATTATAGCACGTTTTTACTAATCCTTATATTTATTAAAAAAACATTTTGAAATTTTAAACAATTTCAAGTGTTAAATGTTTTCATTTTTCATTCAATATATTTTATTGAAATAAGAGAAATAATTAAAAGTCGGACATATTAATATTAATACACTGGATAAGAAATTTAAAATATTTTTTCAAAAATATAACAACTTATTTTTTATAAATATTTCAAAATACACGACAGATTTTCTTTTGAAACCAGTGATATCTTCCATTATTAAAATTTTTTAGAAAAATATGTGTAATTTAAGTTTAAGCTCATTTTCTCTCATATTCTTAAAATAAGTCCGAACATAAATTTTAATATGGTGTCAAAATTTAATTTTAAAAAAAGTTCATGTAATAATAAAAAAATAAGACTTACAATATAAATCTAAATTTAAAGTATAAGTTAAAGTTAAAAATTAAATACAAGTTACAACAACTAAATTAAAACTATTTAGAAAGTTATAGTGAAAATTTAAATTTGAAGATTAAATAGAAGACACTTAATAGATAAAAGTTATTTGAAATATAATAGAAGAGTATAAATTTTAATTATAAAAAACTTGGTAGACAAATAGACAAAAAGTTTAAACCAGTTGTCTCCGTTAAAATTCTAATACCGCGTACCTAACCAAACCGTGTTTAAACTTTAAGCCAAGGAAAGAGGCATCGTTGTGCTTCTGAACGGTCAGAATTGAAGTTCTACCATAGCTTACTTCCAAAATGCAAGAGCTGTGATTAGCAAAGAAACACAAAGCCATGTTGTTTTCAATCACAACACAAGGGGACCCAACCCACATGATGCACTCTAGCCGTCAATAATGACTTGAAAAATCCCCCTCAAAAAAATCTACCCGCGCATGCACACCTCACAAAATCATACAGAATTATGGCACGAGAATTATTTGCAGTGCGCAAAACATTGGTAATCAGCATCATCATGTGCTAAACATGACAAGTTGCATGTCATATGATTCAACACCACCAGGTGATGTCTGTCTTTCAAGTTTCAGATTTTTAAGATTTTTCTTCTCAGCCCTCAATCCATATTTGTCTTTTAGGCATATATTTCGAGGCCTAGAAGCAGTTGCAATGAAATTAGCGGTGCAAAATGAGCAGAAGCTACAGGTTGAAGCAGAATTATTGTTGCACCAGTTCTAATCATCCCACTCTTGTGTAGGGCCCTAGATAAACACCAAGACATAAATTATATAAGTTAATTTGAACCTGTTTATTACCAACCGTGCATATTAATTGAACTGATGTCTTTTTTATTAATTAATGGTAGAGTTTATATCAAAATTTTAATTGTATGGACAATTATGTAAATTCTCTCACAAATTAGTGGGATAGAAAACAAAATAAAAAAATTAATTTATAATGATTATCTTTTTACAGAGTTTGTACACAGTTTATTTAAATTCGTAAAAAGTTTTATAATCAAATTCATAAATTAATTTTTATTTTATAAAAACATATTGAATACAGACTTTAATTAATTTGTTTATCTAAATGCATATTAAATTTAGATGATGTAAAAAATAACTGTATACATGATTTGGATTAGTGCAAGAGTAGTTGTATTTGTATAATTTTTTAAACAATAAAAAGGAAATTATACAATAATATAATAAAAAGAGAATAATGATATTATAAAAACTATTACATAACAAATACAATTTCCAGAAAAATCAACCTCACTTCAACCCGCGAACAAATATAATTATTTGAATTTTCTCCAGGGCTGCCATGTTGAAAGTTCAACAAGCATTTCGAAAGAATCGTTGACTAGTGAAGAGGATTATGCTAATAAAAACCTAACGCTGGTATAATGGACTATTTAATATAATGATATTCGATTTGCTTGATAATTATACCAAAATTGAAACTTTCAACACTTTATTCTGGTTTTTATTTTGCTTTCTTTTACTTTTTGATATTTATGTGATAAGCAATCTCTCTTATGATGTAAACTAGCATTTATTTACTTGTTATTTTGTTTTATTTAATTTAGCTTATGAATCCGCAAAGGATGCGTTCAAAATGTTATGTTCATACTACGTCTTATAATATCAATTTTAAGCCTAATCTATAGTTAGTAAATTCATTTTTTGTGTGCCGGTAAGGTAATTCTTTAGTAACAATACACAAAACCACACACACACACAAAAAAGACAATAAAAAGATACTGACAGAGAAAACATAAATTATTGATTATAATATAGAAGTGATTTCATAAAAATATAGAGTTTATAGGTGCTGTTATAATGTTATTTTTATTATAAAAAATTCAATAAAATGTGCCAACATTGATTAAACGAGAGAGAGGGAGATTAATAAAGACTTGAACTTTAAACATTAATATGTTGTGTTAATTAACTTACAAAATTTTAGTAACAAATAATTTTATGAAATAATATTGTTCAAGTTAAAAAAAAAATATAATATAATATAATAACTTTTTTAATAATTATATATATATATATATATATATAATTAAAGTTTAAGACCTTTAAAAAGATTTAAACTCATATCGTCTGAGCCAACCATTTAATAATAACTTGGTTTATTATATTCTAATAACTATAAAATCATCGCAACTATCATTTTAAATGTTCAACTATAATGATGTATGAACCATTTTAACATATTAAAAAATAATACAATAAGAAAACTTAACACCCAAGTTACATCAAATTTAAAATGAACCTTATTCTCACCTCTATCCTCCTATTATTTCCTTTACATCATGTTCTTCATTCAATTTATTTTTTATTTTAATTACATTATTAATCACCTTTTTTTTTCATACTAAATAAATTTATAGACTCTAATAGAGATTAAATATTTTTTTTCATTTTAAACTGAATTTTTGTACATTCTAGAGATATTTGAGAGAAGATACTGTTAAAAAATCACACAAGAAAATGACAGATTTTTTTTTCAGCAATAATCTACGCGGTTTGTTGTTACAAGCATGTCACCCTGTCCTATATATAATGTCAAGTTTAGCACCTCTCTCTTCCTTGCAACAATCGTTAAGCTCTTCCCCATTGTGAATCCTTCATACTCAACGGTTCAAACCAACCCGTTAACTACTTAGTACACAACATAAAACACACAAATTTCGTCAATTTTGTTGTTCATTCACTGTCCCTTTATCTGTTTTCACCTTCAAATTAAGCTCATTTTTTTTTACACATTAGAACAAGCCAAGCAAGCACAATGATCTCTTCGGTCAAGTACACAGCATCGTCTCTCACTTGTTCTGCTTTCTCAAGCAGAAAGCTTCCTGCTCCAAGGTCTCAACTTTTCACATCACCCACAATTCAAAATGCTGAACAAAACATGGGTCCCTCTCTGCTGTGTAATTCCCAGAAACCTCTCTACCTTAAATCCACTGAGAACTTGGCATTGATGAGAAGAAGGAACGTGACTGAGTTCCAGGCCTATGAAGCAGACAGGTCAAGGCCACTAGAGATTAACATTGAGTTGCCAGGTGAAGAGGCTGCTCAGAGGCTCAAGATTGGGTTATATTTTGCTACTTGGTGGGCTTTGAATGTGGTCTTCAACATTTACAACAAGAAGGTTTTGAATGCTTTTCCCTACCCATGGCTCACTTCTACTTTGTCCCTCGCTGCTGGCTCTCTCATGATGTTAATCTCGTGGGCCACAAGGGTTGCTGATGTCCCAAAAGTTAACTTGGACTTCTGGAAGGCCCTCTTTCCTGTAAGATTACCCTTTTTGTTTGTTTTCATTATTATTTTTTCACATCATAATGATACATAAACAACAATAACAACTACTATAGCCTTATGAAGTCTGCTACATTTTTAATAATGATTCTATAAAAGCGGAAAATGTCATTTGACAAGCAGACATGAGAAATTTACCTGATAGAATTGAATTCAGTAATACATTCATGGTGGCCAAATGGTGTTAGTGAATTTGTGGTAAGAAACCTTGATTGAGAAGTACTCACCCAAGAAATTTCAAATGTGGTTGTGCAGGTTGCGGTGGCACACACAATTGGGCATGTTGCTGCCACTGTGAGCATGTCCAAAGTTGCTGTTTCATTCACTCACATCATCAAGAGTGGAGAGCCCGCTTTCAGTGTCCTGGTATCAAGGTTCTTGCTCGGAGAAGCATTCCCTATGCAGGTTTACTTCTCATTGTTACCAATTATTGGTGGTTGTGCACTAGCTGCTGTGACGGAGCTCAATTTCAATATGATTGGTAAGACTATTTACTGAAAAATAAAGTCCAGATTTTATCACACAGCACGCATTTTTTATAGGACGTAGAATCTATAAGTATAATTAATGTTAAAATTTTTTGTTGTTCATGTTTCAGGCTTTATGGGGGCTATGATATCAAACTTGGCATTTGTATTCCGGAATATATTCTCAAAGAAAGGGATGAAAGGAATGTCTGTTAGTGGAATGAACTACTATGCTTGTCTTTCCATGTTGTCTCTATTAATTCTCACACCTTTTGCCATTGCTGTGGAGGGTCCCAAGGTATGGGCTGCAGGCTGGCAAACAGCTGTGTCTCAGATTGGTCCCAATTTTGTATGGTAAGTGCAACAATCTTGGCATATTGTTTATCTTCAGTATTCTTTATCTCTTTTATATTCGTGTTGTGTAAGTGTATTTGTGACTTTTTACTATTCCATTCTGAATTAGTTCAAGAAGATTACTTATAATTCTGCTTTTTATTTCTTGGTTCTGGCAAATTAACTATGGATTTACTTCATCAAATGTTGGACTAATATTAGTCTTGTGGATTTTGATTTTTTGTAGGTGGGTAGCTGCCCAGAGTGTCTTCTACCACTTGTATAATCAAGTCTCTTACATGTCTCTTGATCAGATTTCTCCCTTAACATTTAGTATTGGCAACACAATGAAGAGAATTTCTGTAATTGTCTCTTCCATCCTTATCTTTCACACTCCAGTTCAGCCCATCAATGCTCTCGGTGCTGCCATTGCAATTCTTGGCACCTTCCTATATTCACAGGTGCATTCTCGTCTCCTTCTAAACTAGGTTTTGTTTCTTTCTTTTTTTTTTGTAGTTTGAGAATCTCAAGGGCCTAGATGCTTCGTGTAGTGACATGATTGTTTTTTGTTTGCTTTTGCTACTTATAACCTCTTTGTTTGAAGTAAATAAATTAAAAGGAAGGGAAATAGAAATTCCATCTCTCAACAAAGGGAAACCATAACTATTCTTTAAACAGTGTTGGCTTAGAAGCATTTAGTGAGCAGTGAAACAATACCAATAGGTCATACTAGGGTGTGCAACGGCCCCCCAAATAATAAGCTCAATTTGATGAATGTATCTCTCCAGATAAATTAGGCACGATCACATTTTTACAGGCTCAAAGAAATTGTAGTGTCTTCTGTCTTGAACTTTCCGATAAAAAATTTAATTTGTATTTATGAATTATAGAAACCACAACTATTGTTTTGCGAAGCATTTGACGGCTGATAGTATCAGTGACCAGATTAGTATTGTTTATATAGCTCTCTGTCTATGCTCCTCTATTACATGCTACTTAATTAGTGATACATTGTCATATATAAAAGACTCAACTGACAGCTTTTTGTTGATTCTGTGAGCAGGCTAAACAGTAAGGTGGTAATTTTGAAGCCGTTATATATGTAACACAAGGGAACGATGATTATGCTGGAGTTCAAAGAGTGTCACTGATGAGGACAATGAGGTCAATTTGCTAGATATTTTGTTGTCAAAAGGAATTTCAAACTGCTTTCTTTGGGGCCATAGCAACGGCATTTGTACTCACGTTTTGATCTGTGTAAATAGGCTTTTGAAGAATGGACTGCACTAAATAAGAACCATATGTCTGCTGTATTTATATCTTGAGGCTTAAAGTTTTTGAAAATTTTCTTGAAAAATATTATTGTATAAATCTTGCATAGCAACTGACACTGCTTTCGATATATACGCTTGTATGCAGATTGTATATTAATGCAAAAACAAAACTAAACTCACTAAAATACGTATTGTTTAATATTTTTCTTAGAAATAAAAAATTTGCAGCTATACAAAGTAAAAAGAATATTTTCAGTAGCTGTGGTTTTCTTTTCTTAGTTTTTCAAAACTAAGTTTGTAGCATATTGTAACTAAGAAACATAACATCAAAATTAAAATTGGTCGTTATATTATACCATCAATTAAGACAAGATAAATGGTGTCGTGGTGTAGTTGGTTATCACGTCAGTCTAACACACTGAAGGTCTCCGGTTCGAGTCCGGGCGACGCCATTTTTGCAATTTCATTTTTATATTACTTAAAAAATCAATTAAGACAAGATATATAAATAAAGAATATATATATATATATACACACAAATTTAACGCTTATATTTCTTAATAATTTTTTATAAAATTAATCAATAAATTATTTTATATTATAAATATTAAATTTTACATAATTTGAACACTTATAATTATATTATTCAAAATTTGATATTTATGTTTTAAAATCATGATATCTCTTTAAATGGAGTGATAGGCACCCTTTCAAATTTTGAGTATTTTCAATTTATATTATTATTTTAAAGATATCTCGACTTACAAGTAAGGTTTTGAAATAATTTCTTTCATTACAGAACTCTTTTACGGAACTCTAGTCTTATGTTCGATCTTGTGAAAAATAAAGTTTTAAAAGATTTTGCTTTCCAATTTATTCTGAAGCAGCTGCATTCTAACCTCGTTTTATCTATTAATTTTATTTTTATATAAATTTTTATAAAGTTAATCTATTTGATAAAAACTTTTACACAACGATTTAATTTATCAATTTTACATTCGATGAGAAGTTATTAATTGTGTAAGTCTTTAAATTTGACACTTGATAAATATTAACTCTCACACACACTCTCAAATTTGTCTAAAAATATATGATAAAGATATTTCATATTATTTTGATCAATAATTAGACTAATTTGATCCTTATTATTGCTATTATGATGTTCCTAGTCATGATATTTCTTTTTCTCCTTTTCTCTTTTTACTCATGATATTCTTAGTGATGCCACTAAACTTATCTTCTCTCACCCTTCCATCTACCACTCTCCCTTCAAAATTTCTTTTCTCTTTCTCCTTCCTCTATCCATATTATCTCCCTTTTTATAAAGTTTCAACTTGTTATGAAATACACTAATAAGTTTTATGATAATAAAGTGACAACAAGAAGATTGAAAAGATGAAAAAATTAAGAAATGTATAATTTCAAAAAGAAAAGAAAGAAAGGAAGTGAGTGATACTTGACTTTATAAATGACAACATAAAAACATCATAAAATTAAGTTTTAAGTAAAATAAAGAATTTTTATTTTATAGTAAAAATAATTTTTTTATAGTAATAAAATTGACGAGTTTAATGACAGTAAAAGAAAATGAACATAATGACTAATAATAACGACACTGATAAAAATAAATTATATGAATATTTAAAATTATATATATAACTTCATTTTGATTTCATAAAATATTATTTGTCGAAAAAAATTAATACTATTATAATAGAAACTTTATTAATTTGTTAATTAAAAATATTTAACATTTAACAGAGTTAAAAATCAACAAATTATTTTAAAATTACCGATATTAATTTACTTTAACCCTAAACTCACGTAGATTAACATAGATTTAATCTCTCTACTTATATTTCATACAAATATAGAACGTTAGTTCATTAAAACTATAGTGGACATGTAATGTATCTCTTACGGTACATAGCGCCACATAGTCCCACATCCACACAAGTCGTTTTGTATAAATTCACATTTAAATAAGGGACAATGATTTAAATAATATTAATTTAAAAAATAATTATCAAAATAAAATAAAATAAAAGGTTATTCCTTGTTTTGGGCAAACTTTTGCCACTAAGCACCTGTTTCGATTTAAACCAGATAAAATTAATTTATGATTTTTTTATTTAATGGTTTCATCCTAAATTTGGACAAAATGCATAAAATTTGAATTACTCTTTCCTGCTCTGCGGCACGTGGGTCAATCACGTAGTTTTGTCCCTGAGTCAGACGAAAAGGTGATTTCGCCTGACTCAGGGACGAAATTACGTGATTGGCCCACTTGTGGGCGGAGCGACAGACCCTGCGTCTCCCTCTTCCCTTCTCCCTTCTCCCCTCCGTTGTTTCAGTTACGTAGTTCTTCCATTTTTTTCGTTCAGTGAGCTGGGAGTGTCTTTTGTTATGATTTGAGCGTGAGCGTGATTTATGAGTGAGATTGATAATCCATTGCAGCATCGTGTCCAGATCTGCTTGGTTTGCAGCGATTGAAGGTGTTTTTGGACTGAAAGGTTGAGGAGGTTGAGAGTACTGCACAGTTTACCGTAAGAAAGCTAGTCGGAGCTTACTAGAAAAATGTCGCCGCTGTTCGGACAACTTGTTGGTGTCATTGGGAGCCCTCTATTGCCGGAAATCGCCACCTCCAACGCCGAAAATCACCACATCGAAGCCGAAAATCTATCAAGTTTTTTCATTTTTAATTTAATTTATTTTTACGTTTTTTTTATAAATAAAAATACTTGTAATGTAATAAAAAAATTTATTGTGACCAAAATTTTTATAGTAAAAATAATATTAAAAATAGAAATTTCATAACTAAATGTATTAAATTTTTAGCTGTAAAAAAATTTATAGAAATATTTAAATTAAAAATGTAATTGAAATAATGTTGTTAATTTTGTAAAAATTAAATAATAACTATAATTTTGTAAAATTAAACATTTGTAGTAATATTTAGTATAAAAATTAAAGTTGCATGTAGAATTATTATAGTAATTTGATGTACAAATTTAAAAACAACTAAAAATTAATTTAAAAAAATTAAATACAATAATAAATAGTTGAATAAAATTTAGAATAGGAAAATAGAAAATAATTGTAAATGATAATTACAAAATAGTGTATAAAACTTATAACATAAATTCTAATTTTAATTTATATTACTATAAAATTAAAGTAGACAATAATTTATATTAAAATTATAGTAGTAAATATTTGACTATATAAATAATTGCAACCCAAAAATATAATTAATATTGGCTAGTAACGACGAAATAATAAATTTAGTTATGTAATTTAAATTATTAGAGTGATATTAAATAGTTTTGAATAAAAAGTTTTATTTATATAATTTAATTTATGATGAAACAATAAAATTAGTTACTAATAATATGAGATTAAATTATTATTACAGTGTTACTTATGAAATGAGATTAAATTATTTTAAATAAATAATATAATTCTACATTCCCTCGTAATTTCCTTTCTACACACAGCCTGTTACTGCAGCTACATATTTCCACTCATCTCAGTCCACATAACATCCACTGACCCCTCATCACCATTCATCAGTACAGAGTGTTATATTTCATGTCCATCACCATTTATTACTCTGCCTCCATATGATACAGGTATCCTGACACCACAAGCACTAGCTGTTGCGGTTGATACTGGGACCTCATATGATACCTCATACAGTCATGGAATAGATTTGAATACTAACTTTGAAGCAGTCTTAGATGTTCAACCTCCAGACGTGCGTCGTAACCCACATTGTGAAGCTAGAGATAGGCCTAGAGAGTGCATCTTGACCCCACATCAACCCGACCAACCGCACGAGGATAGAGATTGACATCCTTTAGGCACTAGTGATACACAATTGTGATGTAATATATGAAATTTTGTTGTCATATGATACTTGTGTCGCTTTATGTGATGTTTTATAAACATATTTGAATATGACTTATATATTAAACTATATGAGTTATATTGCTAAATCATATTGCTTAATAAGTTTTACTTCCAAGAAAATGTTTAAAACACCAAGTAACATAAAATGATATGTTTACATAATATCCTTCAGAAATTCCTATCATTAGGTTGCACAGAACTACATTGACGTACATTATGACCAATTTGACGACAATTACTACATCTGTGTCTACTTTGTGACTCAACCCAATCCATTTCATTCTCAATTCGAGTTGATTTTGGTCTTCCCTTACCTCTGATTCTTGATTCATCAGGCCATCATTTCCCAAGGGAGACCACTGTGATGAATATGCATTGACAATATTTTGTACCAAGTAAACATCATCAACATATTGTCAAAAGTTAATACTTACTAATGCACAGGCAACAATTACATGTGAGCATGGAAATCGATATGCCTGAAATCTTCCACATTCATAGTATCTTTTACACAGAACAACAGTCCATTTGTTACCACCCCTTTGCGTAATAGGATTAAAGGTCTCTTCAACGTCAAACTTTGTCCTTACTATATCATATCGTCTCACTTGATGGGAAGATGTTTCCTCTTGATTTTTTTTGCATTTTTTCCATCAATTTAGAACAAAACTTCTTACCACCATTAAGGTCGTTCATTGCATCCTTTCCACGCTTCACAAAATATTCAACCATTCGTCTGTATGTGCATTTGACCAAAGCAGTTATAGGAAAGTTTCTTGCCCCCTTCAATACCTTGTTCACTGCCTCAGACAAATTTGCGGTCATATGTCCTAAATAGCGTCCATCATTGTCATGACTCAAAACCCAGTTTTCTTTCGATATGTTATCAATTTATCTCTGTTTTTTTTTTTTTGTGATTCAGTGTGAAATCTTCTCAACTTCTCTTCAAATACAATCTTTGAAGGTATATATGTTGCAATGTACATGACTTGACAATTAAAATAAATATAAAGTAAGAGGAAGCCAAATACGAAATAAATCATATTACCTAACTTTGTCAGTTGCTTCTTCAATTTAGTGTTCTTGAATCTTTGATTGAAATTGTTGGCAATATGATGAATGCAATAAACATGATATGCATTGGGAGGTTGTCATTCAATATGTGGGTTTGAAACAACACTTTTGATGCTTTGATGCCTATCAGATATTAAACATATTCTTGTCTTTGTTGTTACATGCACACGAATCATTGTCAAAAATCATTTCCACGCTAACAGAGTCTCTCCTTCAACAATTGCAAACGCAAGTGGTAGGACACAATTATTTGCATCTTGTGTTGTTGCAATCAACAAGGTGTGACGACACTTACCATACAAAAATGTTTCATCTACCTGAACAATAGGTTTGCAAAAGTTGAATGCTTCCTTACATTGATGAAAACACCAAAATAATCGCTCAAATACTCTAAATATGTTATCATCTTGATGCCTAACAACAAATGATTTCGTTTCAATCTTATAAACACACCCTGGAGCATGAAATTGCATGTACTTTAACCACCTTGGCCATGTAGCATATGATTCATCCCAATCACCAAATATTTTAACAATCGCCTTTTGTTTCACCTTCTATCCTTTTTTGTATGAAATTTTGTATCCAAATTGACTTGTCATCCTTTCTTGAATTAGACTTATAGGCAATGATGGTTCAAGATTAACCATACCTATACAAAACACAACAAAAGAACTAAGTACGTTTATTGAGAAAAGGCTTCACGAAAACAGATATTATACAAAACTTACCAATTATGCATGAACAAATCAAATTTAAATCTAGTTTGGTATGATCTTATTGAAGGGTTGAGACATGTATGCTTACCCCCACACCTTGTTATTTTCCACTTTATTGAATTTTTAAACAATGATGCTCTTATTCTTCATGGGCAACCATTGTTATGGTTTAAATACCTCACATGCAACTTTGTTGGTTTTGACTTAACAACAAAATAATTCTGATATATCCTCATTGCATGTTGTTTTAAGGCATTCTTCACTTTGTCTTTCAAGTCAAATCCACACGTAACAGATCTCCAATAACCCATGGAATATCTTTACTAATTTCTTCTCTTTCAATTTCTTGGTCTCGGTAGTCCCAAAATTAATATAATTATAGTGTGGACTTACATTCCAAAAAGGTATTTCACCTACAACTACATATTGAGATAAATTATTCATCATTAAAATAAAATAAATGACATAATCAATATACTCTTTAAATGTTACCTCCAATATTTTCTTGTTATAAATTTAAATTTGAATCAAAATTATCATCGACGTTTGTATCTGACGAGTTGTCTAACAGAATATATCCTTCATCAATATCATCATCATCCTCATTATTGACTTCTTCATCTTCCTCTTCATAACTGTATAAATCTCTACATCCATCAAAATACATACACTTATTCAATATGTGTTGTCACTAAAAATAAATTAAAATTAAAGAGGAACAATATAATTTATATCTCCTGTAACATTTATATTCTCCATTTCCATGATGTTAGGCGGTGACATTGATAAGCTTAAGTCCAACATATTTGACCTAACTCTTGAACTCTCACCAAATGCAATATCCACATAGAATTCGATAACAGTTGTAATATTTTGTTGTTGATACGCACTAATCATACAATCAATGTTTTCATCATCACATATATCCAACGCATTGTATTGTTTAGCACTTGAATCAACCATAAACCGACAAATAATTCTAGATATAACATGATTATTACTAAAATTCAATTTGTCATGAATCTTTTTCTTTAAATTCATAAAACTTATCCTTCTTTTTATCTTTATCATTTTTTTGTTACCTTCAAATGTTATACCTTCGTTTCCAACAACAATTTTTTCATTTCAATATACAATAATAATAATCTCACTCATCCTGCATTTATTCAAAAAAAAACATATCAATAAAAAATTTACAATTATACTTATTTATATAAATAATAAAAATAAATTATTATTAACACATATAAACATACTATTATTTTTCACATCATTTTATATCATAAAAATTGTAATTTTTTTCCACATATATAAAATAAATATTCTCAACAAATATAACATCATCTTTTTTATTAAACAGGTTAATATCAAATATCTACTAACTTCTATAATTTATTTAAATAATATTAAAAAAATTAATTTTTATTTTTAACATACACAAAAATATTTATACATTTTAACTACATCTATTATTTTAAATAATTAAAATATTTCCATTTTAATAATTTATTAATAACAAAAATTATAAAAAAAAATTAAAATTGACTAACCTTAAAATTTCTTCCCATCTTTAAAAGTGCAGCAATATTTTCCAATAATGTTTCCCTTCTTCTTTCAACGTGCCACCATGATTTGGTTCTGCAAATGTAACATTTTATACTTTATTTGTACTGGATAAAAAAGGGCAGCGGAAGGTAGTTGATCAGGGGATAATAGTGGTTTCATCTCAAATATAGGCGAAACCATATGCATTTCGTCTCATATGTGGATGAAATCAACAAGATGCACACACATATCCACATCTTACGGTTTCATCCTATTTTGAGACGAATTACTGAAATGATGACACGTGGCGGTGATTTTGTCTCTCGTTTATATAAAATCACTGACACGTGTCATCTTCTTGAGTGTTTCGCCTCTCTTTTAAATGAAATGATTATTTAAAAAAAAAATTGATTTCATCTAGATTGAATACGAAATAGCTGCTTATGTGGCAAACATTTGCCCCAGACAAAAAATAACTTTTTATTTTATTTTATTTTAGTAATTATTTTTAAAATTAATATTATTTAAATCATTTACCCTTTAAATAACTTACATTTAATAAACTTGAATATCTCTCTAGATATGTTGGTTTGCATGTCGGCTCATATTTTTTTTTTTATCATTTGATTGCTAAATATTTTTAGTTATATTTTTTACTTTAAAATGATTAAAATTATTAAAGATTTAATTTTGAAATTTAAAAAAAAATAAATCTAATTTATAATTTTTTTCTCAATTTAATATATTGATTATTAAATCCTCAAACTTAACTCATTTAACCTATAAATAATGCGAGATAATCCGCATAAATCTACAATTAAATGGACTACAGCTTTAGGTGCAGAGTAATAAATTGTTATAGCCTTTTATTGGCTGACTTGCGAACTAATATTTTTATACCTAACTCATTATGTACACATTAGCCTTAATATTATTTGAAAACAATAAAAATATAAAGCAAACTGAATTAATACTAAATATTTAAAAATTAAAAAAAATTCACGATAGCAAGTTCAGTAAAAGCGTGTATTTTTTATTTATATTATCCATAAATTAAAAAAAAGGGTTATCTGGATATTTAATATGATATCAGGATAGCAATGATTATTTTTAATAATATATTAAAAATTAATACAACTTGATTTTGTAACTATTTTCTTAGAACTTCAACATACTATAATCAATTTAAACAATAGATAACAAAATTTTTTATACTGACCGTTGTTTTTAATAGATGAACTAAGAATCAATTAAACATCCAATTCATTCAACTGAAAAAATTGACTGATCTCAAAAGTTGTCCAACATTAATGATGAATAAAAAGATTTAAAATGGTTAAATTTTAATTTTTCTAATTTTAAATCTCTTTCAACTTTAAGCAAAAAACTTTATTCATGAATAATATAATAAAATAAAAATAATAATTATTCCCTGTTTTGGATATATCTATATTCTTTTTTGAAACATTAACGACTCTTTATAATCTATATCTCTATCTCTCAATGCCCTTTAATTGTATATTATAATTTATAAATTGAGTTTAAGAATCTATTTTCTTATTGAATTCTAGGTTCCTAGTAAATTTTCAACACCTTTTGATTTTATATTAGGATATTCTAATTTTAATCAGAAACTTTTAGATATAACAACTTAAAATTAATTGAAGTTTAAAAAGATGTTAATAAGTTGAGGCTAGAATCAATGTCCACCCATCCTCCGATTAGTTAAAGTTCGAATCAAGTGATTAAAAGACCAATGACACTGGTCAGTGTCAGCTGTAATTTCACTTTAGCCCTATATGGGAATCTCAAGCATAATCTTTTGCCTGATATTTGGATATAAAATAATGGGTTCTCTACATATACTTAGTACTCTAATATTTGTTATTGAGAGTCCCCCAAATTAACACACACACATACTATGGAGCTTCCACTCCTACTGCATCATGCCCTCTTTGCACTAAGCTTTTGCTTCTCAATTTTCTCGGGATCGTGTGATGATTTTCTATCCGTGAACGAGAATTCAAGTCCATCTCCATTTCCAAGCAACTTTCTTTTTGGAACTGCATCTTCTTCATATCAGGTTCTTTTTGCACCCTATCTCTTTACAATATATATGAGAATAATATATAGCTTCAATAACTATATCAAAATAGTATTTTGCTTATTTTATTTTATATTATTGTGTTGAATACTTAACTTACCAAATAATGATTTTGCAGTTTGAAGGAGCCTACTTGGCTGATGGTAAAGGACCAAATAACTGGGATGTTTTCACTCATAAGCCAGGTTCAGATTCATGCTCATCCATTGCTTCGATGCTCCAATTCCTTACAAAAATGTTCCTAAACCTCAAACTATGCATTTACAATTCAGGTACGATAGTGGATGGAACAACTGGTGATGTTGCTGTTGATCATTACCATCGTTATCAGGTATTCTATTTCTACCAAAACGGTCCCTCCGTTTCTGTCGGTCAACATTTTGTAGGAAAATCAAGAATTGGGACCCATATTGATGACGCTTTTAAAAAAACAAAATTTATGAAATATATTGTTGAAACCTTTATAATAATTATATAAATTTCCAAAGGGCAAACAATAAACAAAGTCCCTTTTATAGTATATAAAATATCCCTAAAATACTTTTCATGAAGAAGCATATATGTAAATATATATATATATATATATATATATATATATATATATATAATAGCAATAGAGTTAAAAGTTTATATTTAAATAAACTTGTAACTATGTTTAAAGTCAGAAAATAAATATATATTTATCATAAATTTAAATATTTATTATGAATAATTAATTTTAAAATTTAAAATAAATAAATGTTCGTTTTCTTTCTTTATGTATTTTCCCCTTTAAAATAATCAAATCTTCCAGATAAATAAAAATGGAAGATGGAAAAGAGGATCTAGAACCTTGCCTGTGCTCCTAATTCCCAAGACTTATATATATATATAATGAAACATTTTTATTGAGTAAATTAATTTTGTAAATTTTATAAAAATAAAATTAATAAATATTTTATCATATTTTTAATTCTAATAGATATTATATTTTTAAAATATAAATAAATATTAACTTTTAAACAATGTACACTAAATTATATAAAATTTGATACATTTTAATAGATGGATTATTCATTCTTATTTTTATAAAATAATATAAATATTTAAATTTAATATTATATCTCAATGAATATGAATATATATATATATATATATATATATATAATTTAATAATGTTTTTAAAAATGTGTCATTTTCAATTTTATATATGAATATACACGTATGAGATGGAGGAAAAACTTATAAATAATAATAAAACTTTAATCTTATTAATAAAAACTTAATTGTGTTCATTCCGTTTAAATCAAAATGCCTCAAGTTAGTTTTGAGTTTGACTTAAAAAATTCAATTAAAAAAATAATTTAAGAATATTTTAGGATGAGTGATGAAATAAAAAATAAAATATAATTAAAAAGTAAAAAAATATTTAAATGAGTAAAATTCTTTATCATAACTATAACAAAATATATTTTATTTAAAATATAAACAAATCTTTATTGATTTTTGTGACTGAAAATCAACATAAAACAAGTGATAGTATCATGAATAAAAGAAACTAAAGGCCGTGAAAAAACCAATGCCAAACCAATAATTATGTTGACAGGGTGGCACACAGGCAACTGTCTCAAAACATGTTTCCGGTCGAAAACACTTTCTTTTGTACGTCACAACTGTATTTGGGGTAACTGAAATCATTTTATTTGACTTTGACTTTTTGAACTGTTCAAAATAAATTTGCTTACTGTATATACGGTTCAATAATATCTAATCCTGATGTTGAAAAAAAAATTTAAATAAAGAATAATTTTTTTTATTTTTAATTAAATGAAAAATAAATTGTATCTTTATTTATTTTATTCGAACAAAACATAAATGCATGATTAATCTTATTTTTAAATCATCTCATTTGTCTTATATTAATGTCACTTAAATATTTTTTAATTTACAGTATTCAAAATATTTATTATTAGGAGAGAAATTAATTTTTAAATATGAGATTTGAAAATATTATATATCAAAGTTTGAAATTTGGAAATAATTTCAAAAATATAAAATTCAGAGATATAATTTTTGACAATTTTTGAATTATCATATATTATATAAAAAATTAAATATTTTTTAAATTTATAAATTAAATATTATATAAAAATATATATTTATTATCTTAAAAATATAAAAAATACAATAATTTATCATTAAGAATGAGAGAATTTATAAAATTAAACATAGAGGGATTTAAAGTTATTTTCTAATATATATATATATATATAAACTAACATCTAATAAAATAAAATAAATATTTTTTAAACGTGCAACATCACACCTGTTAAAATATTATATACATAATATTTTTTTATGAAAGATTATAACATTTAATATGATTGATACATTAATTATATTAGATTTTATAATTATTAATAAAATTTTATTATATAAAATAATTATCGTGTGAAACATTACATAAATTTCTTAAAAAAAGGATACATTAACATTAAATGTGAGATAAAGAAAAAAATAGGTGGAGTTAATTATTTTATAGTTACTGAAAAAAATTGAAGAACAGGAAGACGTGAATCTGATGGAACACATTGGAGTGAACAGCTATCGCTTCTCATTATCTTGGGCGAGAATTCTGGGCAGTAAGTTTTCTGAAAGACAAAAATAAACAAAGTGCATTCAATTTTAGTTTGTCTAACTCTGTCTTTCTAATTTAATAGAGGGTAGATTTGGCAATGTGAACAGAGCTGGCATTGATTACTATAATCGCCTAATTGATGCACTTCTCCTCAGAGGTCACATCCCCTCTTTCTCTGTTCCAAACTTAGAACACTATTTTACAGGTGAATGCTTATGGTGATCCATCATTTCTCTTCTTTATTCAATTTTCTCTTTTCTGGTTTCAGGAATAGAACCCTTTGTCACCATAACCCACTATGACATTCCTCAGGAACTTGAGGACATTTATGGAGGCTGGCTAAGTCCTAAAATCCAGTAAGTACATTATATCAGCATATGACACAACATCAAAATGAGGTCAATGGGTAACCTATAAATATATATATTTATGAAATATGTGTATATCAAATTCACTTTTATATTCTTAACCAGCGTCTAATAATAGTAAAACAATATATATAAAAAGAAGAAACATTTATTATACTTTTATATTTTTAATAGAATAAATATAATTTTTATAATTTATTTGTTATTTTATGCTTAAACTCAATTTTAAATATTGAGGTTAACAAAATCTATTTTGAACAATTTAAATAACAAAACTGTTTATTATTCTAGGGAGGATTTCAGGTACTATGCTGATATATGCTTCAAGAACTTCGGAGACACAGTGAAATACTGGGTGACATTTAATGAGCCAAACGTTGCTATTGCTCGTGGTTATAGAACAGGGATGTGGCCACCATCTCGTTGCTCTGCTCCGTTTGGCAATTGCTACAGTGGTGGGGATTCTGAGAGGGAACCTTTCATTGCAGCCTCTAACCTTCTCTTATCCCATGCAGCAGCTGTTGACCTGTATAGAACCAAATATCAAGTAAGATGAGTTACTTTCATTTTTACTTTACAATTTTGTTAACATAAGTTTTCAAAACTAATTTATTGTTAAAGCAAAAATATTTTCATTAAATAAAAATATGTTACAGTAAAGTGACATGAAAATACAAATTTTGCATGAGAATAAAATAATTTTTGGATGGAAAGATTCATTAATGAATAAGTAATTTTGTTTACCTTTTATCAATGCGAATAAAACTCTTTCGTAGTAACTATAAAGTTATTAACTTTTTCTTGATAATTAACGATAAAAATAATTTTCTGAGAAAATTTTAATAATAATTAAATATATTTTATCATTTTTTCGTCAACAAACGAATTAACTTCATACCTTCCTTTTCTATTAGTCTCAGTTAACAAAATGATTAATTTTATACCTTCGTTTTTTAACAGAAAAAGAGTGAAAAGGGTATGCAATCAATTAACATTTGTGGGACGAGATAATCTTCTAAAGATATTTCTTATGTTTGATTATTTTTTACGCCTTTATAAAAAGAACATATATTATTTTTCCTCCTCTATCTTGTCTTTTCAAACTTTTCTCACAAAAGGGTAAAAAGTAGCATTAATCTAACTCTGTAGCTTCAAAGAAATACTTCACATAGTATATCTAAGTTAACTGCACTAAGCCAAAATGGCAAAATATGATATAAATTTACGATTGTTGCTATCTATTAATCTTGTACTCTTCGAATATCAGAAAAATCAGGGAGGGAAAATTGGAATTGTGATGAATGCTTGGTGGTTTGAACCCGTCAGTAACTCCTCAGAAGACAAGTTAGCTGCTGAGAGAGCTCAGTCATTTTATATGAATTGGTAAAGCCTTTATCTTTGGTTAATAATTATGAATTTTCTTTGCATTTGACGGAGTCTATTTATGCAGGTTTTTGGACCCAATTATACTAGGAAAGTATCCAGAAGAAATGCAAGAAATATTAGGACAAGACCTCCCAACATTTTCAAGACATGATCTACATCAACTCAAGAGCGGGTTGGATTTCATTGGACTAAATCACTATACCAGTGCCTATGTAAAAGATTGCATCTTCTCTGCATGTGAACCAGGACGAGGGTCTTCAAAGACAGAAGGTTTTGCTCTAATATCAGCACAAATGAATGGCCTCAGCATTGGGGAACGGGTATGATCAAACTTTTTAGCTTTTCACTATGAAGAACCACAACATTCCATGTTCAATTTGAAAGCCATATTAATTATTGGGACTCTATCGTGAATAAACAATCTTTAATAATAGTTCACAAATTCATCATTCTTCTGTAATGCAATCTCTCATAAATGATGCAAGCTGATAGTAAAAAAATTGAAAACTGTTAAATAAATATTAACATATCTGGCTGTCTAAAAATTAGAATTAATATAAAAATTCTGATATTATTTTAAAATGTGAATTATTAAGGGAAGAAACGTGAATTATTATTATTATTATTGTATCTCTAACAGAGTCAATGCATGTAGAGTTCACTTGACTGGTTGTACATTCAACCACAAGGAATGGAGAAGATGGTGACTTACGTAAAGCAAAGGTACAACAATATACCAATGTTCATCACCGAAAATGGTGAGTAGAAATAGGCCACGAAAGAATATACTCCGATAATGCTACAATTAATTTCCATATTTTTGCTATATCCTGATGAGGTCTTTATTGTCCTGCATAGGACTTGGGACGAGGGAGAATTCCAACCCCACCACTAAAGATATAATCAAAGATGTCCAACGAGTGGATTACTTAAGTGATTACTTGGATTCCTTGGCAACAGCAATAAGGTGTTGTGTTCACATCACACCCATTATATATAAATTTTAATATTTAAAACTTTAAAAGTTATAAAATCATTTTAAGAAGTTCTGTAATTTTAAAAAATTATAAAATGATTTGTATTTATGGGCTTTGATCTTGAATCATAGTAAAGAACTAGTTAGAAAGCCACATAATGATCACTCTTCACCCCTTTTAGTTTAATTGTACTCCTTTGTGTCAAAGAATTAGAAACCAAATTTGTTTGTGCAGGAAAGGAGCAGATGTGAGAGGGTACTTTGTGTGGTCACTGCTTGACAACTTCGAGTGGACCGATGGATTAAGTGTAAGGTTTGGGCTTCATCATGTGGATTATGGTACTCTCAATAGAACCCCAAGATTATCGGCATTTTGGTACAAAAACTTCATTGCTAATCATAAGGCTCGCTCAAGCACAAGGCCTATGCATACCCAAGAGAGGTGAACAATGGAACGATGGTTTGCTTTCAAGGAAGAAAATATTATTGTAATAAAACAAGCACTCCTTTTCCTTATGGATGTGATCTAGAAGAATCCAACACATTAAACTCAAGCTTGTCATCATGAAAATCTTGTGTTAATCAAGTTTATCTTTTTTATTAAAAAATTTAAATTCAAAGTATGAAAAAAAAATTATACTAAGGTTTTTCAAATTTGTTCATAACTTAATTTAAAAATAGTGGAGGTTGTGTTGGCTTCCCATTTTTATGTATTTTTAACATTTTTCTTTTATTTTGTATTTAAAGGTAAGAATATAAATGAATGGAGATAAGGTAAATCACACTACATTTTTTTCCATTTAAAAAGATAAAATATAAATTAAAAATATAATTAATATCACCATTTATGTTTAATTAGTTTCAACTCCTAATACAACTTTCACTAATTTTTTTCTTATTTCTGATTTGGTATATAGTATTAGGAATTAATTTGGAATAAAAGTATAATTTAAAATATCAATTAGTGTTGTCTTGGATTTCAAAATCGGCAAGTATAATAATAAATATATTTTAAATTTAAAATTAAATTTATGAAAATATATATATATTTGGAATAAAACTTGAGCTTAATTTATGAAAACAAAACTATTCCTCAACTTGCATATTTAAATAAATGGTTTTAAAATTAAACTTAAATTTATATAAAAGTTACAAAACTTAAATGCATTTAATTTATTATAATCAAATATTTTATTTTATTTATTAAATTTACTATAAATTTTTTTAATTTTTATTTTTATTTCCTACATTACACCATAAGTTGTAATTAACAAATATATTTTTTTTATATTTAATACAACTACATTCATTAGAATTTGAACTCAACATCATAAATTAAGTTAAAATAATTTTTTATCAGTTATTTTTATGCTCAGTATTTTAACTTAACATGTAATAAATATATTCATGAAAAAAATAAGATAATAAAAAATGAAATATGTGAATCTTCAAATAAATATGAAAATATAAGATAATAATAACGATACTATCTTGTATTTTTATCTATAATTGTCTATGTTTTTATTTATAATAACTAGTTAGTAGTCCATACAATATAGATATATTTTATTTTAAAACAAATATATGTGTAAAATATAATATAATTGTTTGAAATATTAATTTTTTTAAAAATATTTAACTTAATTCTAGAACTATAAATAGTATATTTTAAAATAATAAAAATTTAATAAATTATATAATTATAAAATATAATTTATTTTAAAATAATAAAAATAATATATTAAATATTATGAATTTTATATAAACAAAAATATTTATAAAAAATTTTGAAAATTTATATCAGATAATAAAAATAAATAAATATAAACACAAAAATTTACAAAGAATATAGACCTTTATATAAGATAATAAGATAAAATTAAATAACAACTTTTATCTCTAAAATTTAAAATAAATTAGAAAAAAATAAGAAAAAAAGGTATAATCATTGTGATGAGAAAAATTATAATTCATACATCATTTTAAACAATTTTAATATTAAAAAATGCACATAATAAATTGTGAAAGAAAGTGATTTTACTAAATATTTCACTTTACAAAATAGAATATTCTCGTTTTATAATATAAAATTGATAATTGTCAATTTTTTTATAATTAATATTGTCTCTGTTCCTATTTATGATAAACAAGTATTTAATTTATCAAAATTAATAAAAACTAATTATATATGATAAATGTATACTATATTTTAAAAATATTCATAATACTAAATTATCGAATTAGTGTGTTATATATTAAATAAATAAATAAATGTATCTATCTCGTAACACAAATTTTACAATAAATAAGGCTATAAAAATAATTAATAATTAATGTATTTTAAAAATATTTATTTTTACATTTTAAGATTGAAAATTTAATAATTATATCTTATAAATTAAACAAAATTTAGTATTATATACAACATATAGATGAGAGACGATTTATTCATGGATTTTAGTGCAGTGTGTAAAATGAGTCTTTGGAGGAGGTCAGTTTGTATGGTTAATGAGGCCCATTTATATGACTAACTTAGGATTTGTTCAGACTTGTTTCTGCTATTCAAAAACATAACCAGTGGTATCTTATCTTGTAGCCTTTGATTCTTTCGCAGCGATGCTGTAATTTGACGTGAGCCCATTTTTAACCCTCCTGCTCCTTTGTTCTGTTGTTGATCATACATTCTTAGGCCAAAATAAAATAATCCCATCTTTTTAATCAGAAACATGGGGAAAGTACAAAATAATAATATTTTTCAAATAGTCAATTTGACAAACTAACATCTGAAAAATATATGAAAACGAACTAATTAAGAATATTTAGTATGAGTCACTGGCTGCTACTGTTTAGCGTTTGACTGCATATGCTTACGGTTATATGTTAATATATATTTTTTTCATTCACGAATTTGAACCGATAATTAAAATACTCTGCTCCTTAGAATTAAGAAGAAAAAATATAGAACTATTCTTTTCTCTCTCTGCTGAATATTACTATAAATATATGTGTAGCAATACACAGATGTTATACGTACCAAGCATAAGGAAATGGCGTTCTATAGATTGTTGAAAGCTCTTTTTGTGGATATAGCGTTTATTCTTTTGCTAATAGCATGTCCCCTTTCAAAATGTTTGGACCAATCTCCGCTACCCTCCAACTTCCTCTTTGGAACTTCTTCTTCTTCTTACCAGGTAATTTATTTGCCGTTATACCTCACTCTTGAGGTTCTTAATTATGATATGCATGCTTTCTCTCTAATTATGAATATATTTTTGTACATTAATATAATCAATCTATAATCACCCATATGTAATATGGTTTCCTTAATCATTTACAGTATGAAGGTGCTTACTTGAGTGATGGGAAAGGACTAAACATCTGGGATGTCTTCTCTCACAAATCACCTGGTAATAAATTAAGTTTGAAAACTTTGTTTAGTGATGTAAACGGGACATGCATGCACGCTCAGAATATTGCTCCTTTTAATTAGATATGACTTCATGATCATCTTCTAGCTTTTGCTTTTTATTTCAAACGTTAATTTCTATAAATTTAAGGTAGTATTCCTGAAATGATTGCAGGTAGAATAGCTGATGGAAGTAATGGAGATATTGCGGTTGACCAATATCATCGCTATCTGGTAATAAATACTCAAACTTTAAAAAAAATGGTTTTAAGAACCCCAAACCAAAACAGTAATAAAAATAAGATATTTGGTATCGAGTATCTTACAGATATTAATTATAAAAAAAATATTAAATACCATTTTGTTAAAATGGTAAAATATATTAATAATATTAAAATTTACACTTTGATATAAAAATATTTTATTTTTAATTTGTTAACAAATGTCTTAAATATATTAGTTTATATTTTCTAATAAAATAAAATGAATGCATTACATGCGCCACCCTTAGTTAATTAACCAATAAAATAAAATATTTAGATATTTTAATGTTGTTAAATAATATGATATGATTATATTAGAAAAAATATGTAAAATTTATTGAATAAGAACCATCTTATCAGTTGTCACTTGTAAGATTTGTTAATTATGTGTGTGTGTGTGTGTGTGTTTAGGACGATAAAATCATGTTATTCAACAGTATGAGAGGATTTAAATGTAAAATAATTAAAAATTTTAAGTAATATAAAACTTTATAAAGCAACTCTATAGGCCTTCTTAATTTTTAGTTTTAGCAAAAGCTTTGTTAATTATAGAGCATTATGAGAAATAAATATATGTTTGGATATGATTGATTTTAATTTTAAGAAAAATCAAATTTTAAAAAATTGTAAATAAACATTCATTAAATATAAAATTAATTCATTCAAGCAGACATGTACATAATATAAGGATTGAGGTGTTAGCAATTTGTTTTGCTGACAATTTTTTTTTATTTTGAAACTTATTCCCTTTATGGGAAATTTTTTTTTTTTTGGTGGAGATTTATTTTGTTGCTAACGTAATCTTCTGTTCTATAATAATCCATTTGGTTAGCCGAATGCCGACGTTGTTTACCCAATATCTTTCCCAAGAAGGATTTATTTAATGATAATAATTGAACTCATACTTTGGGTTTTAAAATATTGTCGTGTTTTATTTTATCATGTAGAATTTGACACTTGCATTCGTATGTGCATCTTTGAAAATCGACAGGGAATTAAAAATAAAGATAAAGAAATCAAATTTATGTTTCTTCATATAGATTAAAAAATATCAAACCTTTTGGTGATCAATACTCTCGCTAACTTCTAAATTTATTTTCAGAGTAATTCTATGATTTGAATGTCTAAAAATTGACACCATGTATATGATATTAACTATAAAATAAGATACTACATATGATATTATAAATTATTATCTTTATCTTTCATTTTTTTAATCTTTTCTTTATATTAGTTGTTCCATTTTATTGTCAACAAAATATTTTCCTTTCCAGAATAAACTGTTAAGTTTCTACTTTAATCATCTGATATATTATAATAAAATTACAATTTACAACTGTGAAATACTTTTTGCCTTTCGAGGATTTTTTAAAGAGGAACCGAATTATTTACATAAGCTTATCCAAAACTGTAGGGATGTTCTTTGTAGTTATCCAATATTAATTATAAGTTTACTTGACATAAGGATACATGAAAAGTCAGTTAGAATATAAGCTGATGAATTTGACCAAACACTTTTTTGGAATTAAAATTTTGAATGCCGTGACGACCGTGGAGGAAGAATTAAATTATTAAACTAAAAACGTGGCTTAGAACAGGAGGATATAGACCTAATGGAAGCCCTCAAAGTCAATAGCTACAGGTTCTCAATTTCATGGGCAAGAATTCTACCGAGTATGCTTCTTTGCTAATCTCAATTAAATATAATCTGGTGTTTGAAGTCAAATTTTGATTTAGATTTTGATACACTTTGACAGAAGGAAGATTTGGAGAAGTCAATTCAGCTGGCATCAGCTACTACAACCGCCTAATAGATGCTTTGTTACTCAAAGGTTTGCACTTATTTTTTACACGATTTTGATTTAGGGGAACTATAATGACACCACTTTTAGAACATCAAATGAAAAGGTTAGCACAGGAACATTATTAAATAGACATAGTCAATTGAAAGAGTGCACACAAGTAAAGAAATTTGAGCATAATTGGTGTACTTCTTAGTGATGCATTTGAATTCTTTCCATTTGGTAACTCACAGGAATTCAACCATTTGTAACTCTCAATCACTTTGACATACCTCAAGAACTTGAAGACAGATATGGAGGTTGGCTAAGTTCCAGGTCAAAGTAAGCAATTAGCTAATGGGATATTTTTATTAATTTTTCTAACTTATACAATGTTGCACATAATAAGAAGTTATATATATTATTAAAAATTATAATATTCAATGTATTAATATTATTAAATGTTTTAATTTTAAATAAAAACTTAATATTTATTAATTTCTTATAATATGTAATGTTGCACACGGGTTAAAAAATGGCGTTTTTTTGTTAGTATATGATTTGATACAACAGTGTATCATTTTCCAGTGTTTATTTGGTGCATTTTGTTAATTAATTGATATAAAATTGAGCACATATGTATCACTTACTTGGATACCATATGCTAATAAATTCAACGTTGATTCGCAGGGAAGATTTTGGATATTTTGCAGAGCTGTGTTTTAAATCATTTGGTGATAGGGTGAAGCACTGGGTAACCTTCAACGAGCCAAATTTGCTAGCTACATACGGTTACCGCACAGGACTAGGTCCACCATGTCGTTGCTCTAACACATTTGGAAATTGTAGTGAAGGAGATTCAGAGAAGGAGCCATTTGTTGTGGCCCACAATATAATCCTATCACATGCGGCTGCGGTTGATATTTATAGAACCAAATACCAGGTATTTTAGTTTAAAACATCTAATACCACAGATGATATATATATACCTTCTTCAATCAGAAGACACAAATTAAAAAAAAATTATTTACCAATTTGGAAAGATAAGCCTCTTCGTTGATCTGAATGTTAAGGGTGGGATCTTATTCTAAAAAATGAAAATAATATAAAATAGTTATTGCTGAGGATTCACTAAATTATATTATAAATAAAATATTCAGACCAAGCAAGATGGTAGAATTGGCATTGTTGTGAATGCTTACTGGTATGAGCCCATCAGCAATTCCATGGCAGACAAATTGGCCTCAGAAAGAGCACGATCATTCACCTTCAACTGGTAACCCCAGACGACACTTTCATGTTCTCGTTCAAATAATGTATTTAATAGTTAACTAAAACCACAATGCAGGTTCTTGGATCCAATCATATTCGGTAAATACCCTACAGATATGCAGAACATTCTAGGAAATATATTGCCCGAATTTTCCATCAATGACAAAGTGAAACTAAAAAGAGGATTGGATTTCATTGGTATCAATCACTATGCTAGCTACTATGTCCAAGACTGCATCTCCTCTATATGTGAATCAGGACCTGGAATCACTAGAACAGAAGGCTCATACCTACAAAGTGCTACAAAAGATGGAGTTCCAATAGGGCCACCTGTATGTATCTTCAACCTATGCATTATGATCATGAAACTGGCATTCTCTCTTTACATTATTAACATTATTCTGAAACATGCAGACTTCACTTGATTGGCAATATGTTTACCCACAAGGCATGGAGAAAACTGTCACCTATCTGAAAGAAAGATACAATAACACCCCAATGTTCATAACTGAAAACGGTAAGCACAATTGAGTCCCTTAATAGATGAACTTTCTGTGCATTTTTGTTTGAATAAATTGTTTTGTAGGGTATGCCGAGTTGGACAACCCAAATTACACTGAAGAGCAATACCTTAATGATTTCAACAGAAAAAATTACATGGCGGGTCATTTAGAAGCCCTACTGGAAGCAATAAGGTAGGAATATATGAAAGTCGATATATATATATATATATATATAAGGTATTTTATAAAACATAATAATTGATATCAATTTATCTTACATGTATTGTCCCTCGTCTGTCACTATAGTCTCTTTTTATCATATAAACATACTCAAATTTGCTGTGTGTCATCTCCTTGCTTTTTTATTGTAGTAAAATACTAGATGATAATTAAATTAAAATCATTTTTCTCTTTTTGTTCTCCTATTTACAATGTGATCAGGAAAGGAGCTGATGTTAGGGGGTACTTTGTCTGGTCCTTGCTAGACAACTTTGAGTGGATTCGTGGATATACAGTAAGATTTGGACTTCACCATGTTGATTATGCCACACTGAAGAGAATACCAAGATTATCGGCCAGTTGGTACAAGGAATTCATTGCAAAGCATAAAATAGAAACCTTCTCCCAGGAATGATCCCGAAAGAAAAACTGTGAATATCATTTAGTACAAATAAACGAAATAATGGGGAATGCCTGCGCCTGCTATACTTTCAATAGTTTGAAACATCTTATCAGTGCTTCTATCTTCAATCAAAATATACTAATTCACTCTGTATAAAGGGTTGTTCAAGTCTTCAATTTAAGCTCTGGCTTGCGTGTTCAGGATTGGTTTGGCTGGAAGGAAGCTTGAGGTTAACTGGTATGCTAAAATGGTTCAACTTCCTTCAAACCCTTTCCTATAATTGCTATCGTATGTAACTAGCAAAAGCTTCAACAACTCTGACCAGAATCCTATATTTTCAAATATGAAACCTTCCAATTGCTAGAACTACACACTTTTCTTCTTCTTCTTTGTCTAAAGAACTACTTAGTACTGATGTGACGTCATTTTATGATATACCGGTACGGAGGTAGAAGGCCCAGAAACTGAACTCCATGAAAAACACTTGGCATTTTAACAAGAAAAACTTGCATTTTTAGGCATCTTTAAACACCCAAGCAGTATGTATTAAACATCATTTCTTTTTATTTTTCTCATCCTGAGGCATCATATCATATACCACCTTTATCACTTTTCTCTCTTCTATTATATTTTCTCACTATTTTCATTTAACAAATCATTCATACTAATCACGAAATCAACCTGAATAGAATACATGCACAAACCTTATTGAGATATCACAACATTAAATTTTACACTTGTTAAAACTATAAAATTCCTTTCTACCCTTTTTTTTTCATCGAAGGTATTTACCAATTTAATTGAAAATTAATTTCTTCCGAAATAAAAAGATCACCTAAATATAACATTTTTTAAGAATTAATTTTTCATTTTCCAACTCCTTTCTACTAACATAACAAAATTACCGATACATTACCTTCAATTTAATATTTTATTTATTTTTTAAATAGTTTAATTGTGTACTTTATAGATATTTCTAAAATTAACCCGACATTACACTTAGCTTTCCTTCTTTATTCAATTCTCTCGATGGTTTCAAAAAGTTCAGATTCAATAATCAACACACAAAAATTAATAATTTTTAATGATATAACATTGATTAACAGTATAAAAAAATTGCTTTATCAATACAACAATAATAATAACCCTATCTTATCCACTAATGTAAAAAATATATATCATACTATCAACCAATTAGACAATACTTTATACAAGATATTTAAATTAGTTATTACAAAATTAAATAATTTTGAATGATGCAACAATTAGTTGACTTTAACCATGTTCAATGATACAATAATTTATGACAGTAACTTTTAAGTGCTAGAAGAAACACGAAAAATAATCAAACAGAAATTTACAAATTTCTATATTACTATATATAAAAAGTACCATAGTCCACAACCAAAAAGTACAAGTTTCCTACCTAGACCCTTGAGGAGCACGTAAATAGAAATAATGGTTGTCACGACTCATGAGTTTAGATAAACGAAGGAACTGGTAAACATTTACTAAAATTCAAAAGGGACCCAATGACCAGGAAAGGATAACATGTGAATTGTTAGGGGATATGTTGTCTGGTCCTCGCCCATGACAACTATGATATTTTACCATGAGATTTGGACTTCACCATGACCATGATTAAAATAGTGTTAAGAGAACTCCAAAATCATCAGCAAGCTAGAACAGGCAATTGATTGTCAAGCATAAGCAAGGCCCCCTCGCCAAAACATGACAGAGAGCCGCAAAAGCCAATACAATCAATTTGAAATTGACACGAGCTTTAGGCAGTATTATCACAGCCGAATCAACTATGTTTCCAATAAGTTGACATTTTCTCTGTTCTTCAATTTCTTAATAAAATATAAACTAAATCCTCTTTTCAAAAATACTTCCTAATTCGTGAATAAACCTATCCTTTGGCTGACCTGTTCAGAGTTTATTCTGATTGAAAGGGTGCTACAAGGCTCACCAGCATAGGAGAGCATGCACGCACAATTTTAAATCCCCATTTGAAGTTTCTCCTTTCCTTTTTATATGGGATTCTCTTTTCAAACCACCAACAGTTTCATTGCCTTCCTCTACAACATCAAGGAAATATTGCATTCTTAATCCACAGAAGGAGAAATCAACATACAAAATGATCCATGACTGCTCTTCCAATTTTTTAGTATCTGTATCTGCAGATTAAAAACATTTCTTTTTTTTTTTTCAGGCAAACAGATCAGCTGTAAGAATGAATCAGGATGTTTTGAATTTGAATGATAGTACACTTACTTAAAACAAAAGCAAGATGAAAACATAACTATAAAGGTGATTCTTGTCCTCAACTCAGGCACATATTTCAAGCATTTTAACACCTCCACCAAGGAGAACCAGCTTCGTAAAAGTGTTCATCATCATCCCATGAAATTTGACAGGCTTGAAGGCCAATCGCAACACTTGGCTCTTTTCCATGTTGTGCAATCCAATTTATAACAGCCAATTCCTTTTCACTCTCACTACTGAAATCTTTCTTGTATTTTCCAAATGGATTAAGTCCAGGATTAGCCATATCCGCAATTGCAGCTGGCATATACATAGAATCACCAATTAATGGTGCCTTACGGGCAGCAAATTGAGCTCTAATCTGCATTAAAAAAGGAAGTAACTATTCAATTACAAAACATGTTTTTCTCTTCCTAAAAGATAAATAAAAGAAATAGGATTTGCTTAATTTATTCATTATAAATATAACCTTTGAAACACCACCAAATGACCACCAGCTAGGTCATCATTCATAAAAAAATAATCCAACATTTAAGTGGTTGATACCAGATTCTGGGAGATATGAACACCCAGAAAACAAGTGAAGGGGAGATATGTTCAAATTGAGATCGTCCATGCCACCAGTGTATTATAATATTAGACCCAACAATGGCAAAAGCAATATATTTTATTGGTACTATTTGTCATTTGTAACAGCCGAATAATTGTTTAATTAACAATGGCAGCTCGTCAACATCCTACAGCAGAAGGGACATGACAAGGAAAAAAATTTAGAATAAAGTAGATATGAACTGCTTATCAGTTCACTTGAGGATTAGAAATATCAAGCAACTATATTTTCATTATTTTTCAAATTGATCAACTATGTTTGTTGTAATGTGTAAACACATACAAATTAACCAGAAGAGACCCATCAGTAACTAAAAACACAACAAATACATAAAACAGCAGCTAACGGACCTGATGAGTTCGACCAGTAAGAAGGTTGATTTTGCACTCATATGCAAAATCTTGAGAAGGCCACCCACAGTCTTCAACACAATATTTGTCCAGAATAGCAGTAGTTGGCCAGGGAACCCTTCTGCATTCCATGACCTCAAGTTGACAAAGATACCATCCCTTGATAAAATCTGCACTTGATAAACCTTCTGGGTTGAATCCACAATACAAGACCCTTTTTTTAAAACTAATTACCCATGCCACATAGCAAACAAATATTTCAAAATTTAACCTTTGACGGAAATGCCCTTGTTCATTGACACATCAATTTTACAGAGTCAAAGACCATTACAATCATATATGTTTATTAATTGATTAAATTCCATTTTGGTTATTGTACCTAGCCAAAGTATTGGTTAAAAACCATTTCAATCATACAAGTTCATTAATTGATTAAATTCCATTTTGGCTATTGCACCTAGCCAAAGTATTGGTGCAAAACTTTAGACTAATACATATTCAAACCCTTCAATTTTACACATTCAAAGACCATTACAATCATATATGTTCATTAATTGATTAAATTCCACTTTGGCTATTGCACCTAACCAAAGTATTGGTTAAAAACTTTAGGACATCTCAATTTCCATCAAGTAGTTTCAAATGAATATATTATTCTCAATCTGTTATTCTTTTCAGGGAGTGGATCAGTGGAATATTGACTATCAGTCAAAGTCAAAGCAAATGTAAGCTACTCTTATGATATGAGCCACCAATACCATGAGGTAGGCATGGTCTTGGCTTCTCCAGTGGAAGCTGCTAAAAACACAGTCAATGAAAGCACATTTGCTAATCACTCCAACTTGTGTGGTTACCTTCAGAAATAAGTCTTGGAGCCATGTTAATTGGACGCATATAGTGGGTAATGATTCCAGTTGGCAAAGGAGAAGCTGCAAGAGCAAGATAGAGCTTCTTCACCTTTTTCTCCTGAAAAAAAAAAAGATTTTACAAGTAATCAATACCATATGAACAATGCAATACCAGATACAACTAATTTGCATATTCACATGCTATAAGGCACTATTCCATACAGTAGAACCCAATCTCATGACAATGACCAAACAGTTAATGCCTCATAGGAGTGTGCCTCTTCATGTAGTAGAAGAGTAAAAGGTTATTCTATGAAATGGCATCATACACATACCCTGATTTTTCCATGAAAGACAGAACAATATTCCTTAGTCCTAGCCAGCACCACACTGCACATAATAACATTCCATCACAATTTATTACAGACAGAATGAGGAGCAATAATTATATTTAACATAAATGCAATACCAGCCATCACTGCACGTAATAACATTCCACCACAATTTATTACAGACAGAATGAGGAGCAATAATTATATTTAACATAAATGCAATACCAGCCTTCAGTGCAATTATCAATCTGATGGGTAGTCATCAAAGGGGTTGTCATTCCCAAGGCACGAGTTGCAAAGGTTGCGCAACTCTCTTCAATGTTGTCAGTAGTGCCACCTACCTAACCAAGGTTTAAAAAAATGCAGAGAAACTTTAAGACATATAAAAATGTAAAAAATAACCTTGAGAGACATATAAAAAATAATATTGAGTTATTGAATCTCCACAATAGTAATTTAACGCTATACCCTATTCAAGGCACCCATAGAGCCTAGCTAAAGTAAATGCTTCACCCTAAAGAAGACCTTGAATATTGGTCAAAACTTTTCTGCAAATGTCAACCATCAAACCTTAAATCAATCAAAAAATATATACATTTTTTAGACTGTTACATCTCTATTTAACACTGCTTTACAATACCATTGTTCCTTGATGAGAACTGCAAGTGAATGGACCTCAAAGCCTATCAAAGGAAGGAGATGGGAGGTAGACCTTTTAAATCTTAACCATTCTAGAAAGGCAGAAACAATAATGGGAGACACTGGCAAGAAACTATGAAGACTTTGATGAGGAACTTTAGGGACCCAAAGTAGGAACTGTCTTAGTGTTTTCATCTTAATTTAGTGGTATTCCTATATATTTTTGGAAAAACCACGTCCTGGGTTGTATATGACCTTGGGAGTACATTATTTGGCAATTCAGAATTTTATTTTGATGCTAAAGTGTTCCTTAATAGGTCATAAAGCATCCATCCTCATAGGACTTAATTCCTTATATTTTATAGAATAAGTTATAGAAAATCTATTTGAAGCAGTGGCAATGCCTTTTTTCAGATACAATGTTTGTCTTCCCTTGGCCAGATAAAGAGACCTTCGACTAAATACCTTTCCACCCTTGTTCTTCATTGCTTACCATCCCTTAAACCTCGTAACCTTAGAAAACCTAATTTTCAGCCTACTAAATCCTAATTCTATCTTTGCCCATCAACCAACAAATTCAACTAACCTAGCAAATCTTAATGTTAGACACAATCCAACTAGGATAATAGTATGCTGAAGCTGAAGTTTTATTAAAGCCAAAAATGAAATATAGAGCAAACAGTGAAACCTGAGTTAGGCGATGATTTAAGAAAATCTGTTAGACAAAGCACATTACAGTAACCCATTAGTCTAATCTAAATAACAATTTTCACTCACTTGATGTAGTATACATGACCATTGGTCATAATATTTATAGGATTTTGCGCAATCTAGCATTGAAATTGACAAGAACAATTCTGTTGGGGACATATACGAGTATTAATAATAACATTTTGAGTTCATACTGTGGGACTGATAACATACCGATGTACCAGCAGGTTTATCCAAAACCACATAGGATTCCGCCACAGCTATGATCCTTGATCGCCAATCAATCTCATAGCACCTAAAAAAGGCTTTAGAATGTCAAATATCTTGCCTCCATAATCGAAAAGGTAATCCCAACAAACATTCTGAAGTACCTAGGAAAGCGTTTAGGGTGCACATGCACTCGCAAATATATTCCTGGTTCAACAAATTGATCCACGTGAGTTACACGGAAAGTTTTCTGTGCTTCTCGCACAGTTTTGCCTTTGATGGAAGCTCTTTTTCGCAAAACCGAAGGTTCCGTTACTTCTTTGAATATCCTAATTTGCTCTTCAGTGGCATTAGGAGGAGGCTGCGGACAAACAAGAGCATAGTACACAGCTCCAAATTGGATCAAATCTGCAACATACCTTCACACAATGAAACTTAGTATTTAATCCAATTGGTGTGAAGATAATGCAAGAACTTCATAAATTGTATGACATGAAGAGACAATGAATGGCGCACTTACAAAGGAGGAAGATCCAGAGCCTTGCAAATATGTTCTAAGACAGGTCCTCCTTCTGATACAACTAAGTGTTCAACTCTCGGTGGTGATTTGTGCAATGGACATGGAAGCAACCGATCATATTTCAGGTAGCTTAAACAAAAGCAAGTCTCAGTATCAAGCAAAAAGCGAAGGTAGTGGAAAGGAAGTACCTATTCAAAAATCAACATCGATTCCTGAGAGTAGTAAAGGTACCTATTGGAAGAAGAGGTGGCGGTTAAGTTTCCGGCGTCGATTGTTGAGGATTCGGTTTCACCGGCGAGTGTAGTGTTACTATTATGTGAACTCCGACAGCACCAACTCAACAACTGCTTCTCACGGTGCTTGCAAACAGCTGCGCGCGATATGCGAAAAGCGTGCGCTGCCGCCGGAACGGTGACGCTCCGGCAGCCGCCGGCGAACAACATTGACGCCACCGCCACCGAGCCCATCCGTTATCTCCTGTATTGGATTCCGATCTTCTTCACATATATCGGGTTGGGGCGGGTTTTGATTTTAAACATTTGGGCCCGTATATGGCTCGAATCTTGGGTTCCCATAAATGACCTTGAATTTATATTAAGCCCTCTTGCAAAAAATAGTGTATGTCAAAACTTTGACTATTCGTTGACCAAATAAAAAACTTTAACTATTTAAAAATAATAAACTTATATTAAAAATATTTATTATATTAAGTATAATAAATAAAATTTATAATAAAAAATTATTACTAATTATTTCAGTTTTCTGATCCCTTTATTCCTGTTCCCGTTTCTGAGTTTGGATTCTTGCAGGACTGATTTTCTTAGATTTGTAGTGTAATTTTTTGTGTGTTGGGTGTGTTGGCCCCTTTTTTCAAAAACAAAAACAAAAAACAATTGTGATGCTACTTCTATTTATTTTTTATCATTTAAATAAATTTCACCTCCAATCATATAAACTTTTTAAAATTTCTGAATGGTTGTCATAAGTTATTTCATATTTTTATTTTTAATTCTGATTTTTGTTATTTTTTGTTTAAACATCAGTTTGTTTATATTGGATATAGATGCTTAACTAGAATGTGAATCCACTTCTTTTCAATTATATTTTGACATAAACTACATTTAATTATCTAAAAGAGGGAGTTAAACATGGTCTAGTGTATGACATAAAATCGTAATTGAATGAGCTTGGCCCTTGGGTTCTATAAACCAGTTGACCAAAAATAAAATTTTGAAACAGCACCACGTTCTTGCTGAAATAGTTCTGTAGTGAGAGCTTCATTAACCCTAAACAGGCCCATCTTCCCAACCTCACGAGTTTAAAAAATAATAATTTTGCTTGACCAAAATAATAATAATTTTGTCAATATTAATTTTTAAGGCTAACTTCAAACATTTAAAAATAATTTATTTATTAAAAATATAATTGTAATTATATATTTATATTTTAGATGTAAGAAATATTTTCAAAATAAAACTTATAATTTAATTTTTTAATTCTATAACTAATTTTAAAAATAAATTATTACATGTAGGTCTAGGTTTTTTTTCACCTTTCTTAGGAAAGTACCTTGAAACTCTTTTATGCCGCCACTTTGTTATTCCTGTAATTTTCATCGTAATGTTTTTTTATAAGACTATGTATATTATATAAAAGTATAAATATTTAAATTATTTTAGACTTATATTAGTGTAAGAAAATTTTTCTCTTTTAAAAAAAAATATTGACTAATGTTTATGTTTTTAATATATAAAAAATTTTGAAATTTAATTTTTATTACATATACATGGAGGAATAATAACAAACTACGTAAATATATCTTTAACATAGACGTCTGTTTTCTATTAGACATGGGTTTGATTAGTTATTATAAAGATATAGTAAAATTTAATTGTTTGGTTTAAAAAAATGTTTTTAGTTCTTAGTTTTAGCTTTAGCTTTTATTTGTAATTATAAAATATTTCTTATGGAATATTTATATGAATGAAATAAGTCACCTCTATTCTCTACGTCTTATTTTTTTCTTTGTTATCTATTATCTCTGTTTTGTATTTCAATTTCCACTGTTTTGATTAATACAGTTGAGTTTATAACTCTTTTTAACATATTTTTCGTAATATAATTCATGCCTCAGTTTTTTTTTTTCTCCAGACTTTTTTCCTTTTTCATGATTTTTCCATTATGCATGTCTATTTCATCCATTGAATTTTATCGTCAAATATCATTGAATAACATGTTTTGCCATTAATTAAATTCATGAATTTTGTTAAATTCATAAAAAAAAAAAACTACATTTTTAGCATCCATGTAGAATTATACACAGTCAATAATTTCCCCCATTTACGACTTACATGAATTATTATTAAAAGAGAGATTACAATTTCTAGAATTGTGAATTATTATTAAAAAAAGATATTACAGTCTCTAAACTTTTAGAATACACGGTAACCCAAATGCTAAAAAATAGAAGCAGTTTTAATTTCTTCGTTACATAGAAGTAATCATTATTATTTTTTATCGCTCTTGTTGTTTTGATTAAGTAACATCATCATTCATTATGGTACATTCTCAGAATATTTGGTATGGAGCAAACACTTAGATAATATAAAAATGATAAATATTGAATGATATTTTGAAAATACTGGTTAAAAATAAAAGTAAAAAAATTATCAAAATTATAATTAATAAACTTTCTCTTATTATGTTTAATATTGCACAATGTATTTCTTTAAAAAAGTTAATTATTTAACTGGTGTCAAAAGCACTGATTAGCAATATCTAATGCAAACTTTTCACATTATTATTAGCTCTTATCCTTATCATGTTCTCTTGTTTTATCTATTTTTTTATTATCCTAATCTTCAACCAAATCTCAAGACTTTCGTGTGTCTTGTCTGTTAACAAATAATACTCCTAAAGAATGCATTCTAAACAAGATTATAATTAAGATTTGGATAAGAAACAGATTTAATTTCGAATTGTTCAATCAAAAAATTATACTCTAACTTTTAAATTATTAAGTTTATTACCAGGTAACATTATATTTTTCATTTTTTTATGTTTGTTTAAAGCTTTAATTCTTTTTATTATTATTATTATTCAATTTGATTCTTCAATTTTATTTTACATTTGATCTTTCCGTCGCCGTTCAATGAAAACGGAATGATGTTGCCAACAATAATAAAATAATGTTGCTGTGATCAATATTCCTATTCTTTTTCTCATCGTCCTCAACACCGAATGTATGTCGAAGATGTATCCACCACTGTTTTCGCTTGTGAAGAAATAGGGAACCTTCTATAGCAGAATGTCGGAATGTCATTCAATTCATAACATCAATAAATATACTCAGAAAAATCTCTCACTCCATAAAAAAAATGGCTACATAAATTCTTTAACTTGTCATAAAAAATGTTTCTACTTTGTTTTTTTTTCTTTGACACAATAGTAAAATCACTTTATTCACTTATTATTATTGTTTTATAAAACCAATGTGTAACTAATATTTTTATAGTTCTATAGATAAGTTTATCGTCGCTCTAAAACATATGTTGTCATTTTTTAAAAAATATTTATTAATAAATACTCCTTTAAATAAAAATATATATATACGAAGGTGATATTTTTTATTTTACTATTAATATGTAATGTTTGATTAGTAGAGAGTATTATAAATAAATGAAATAATTAATATAATAGATAAAAAAATATAATAATATTTAAATTGGACCCTAAATGAAGAAAAAAAAGTAATTGCAAACAAAGAGGACCCGCATGTTGAAGGAGACATGAACACTGAATTGAAATTCGATTGGGTCTCCAATTCTCCCTAATCTCTAATCCTAATTTGTCTTTTGTTGAGGAAGATTGGGAGAAAATGGTTTAAAGAAAGAGGACCCACTTTTGCCATTTGTTATTGCTATTTTAAAATCAATATCAATCTTGTACTATTTTTTCTCCATTCCACTTTACTTATCTTTAATTCCATTCCATAAAAATAATCACAGGAGTGCCCCATTTCTGAAACTCGTTGTCTCTTGGGTGTGTAAGCCTCTATTTGTCGTTAAACATGACAAAATTGGGAGTAGTAATCAAAATGTTGACGAGGACAGTGTCGTTTCTATTAAATAGTGCAATGAATTTGACCCCTCCCCCAAAAAATGGAATATAAAATAAGATGAAGAGCCAAATTGAATAAAAATTAAATTAAACCTTTATAAAACGAACAGTATAACTTTAAGTTATTATGCAACTAACAAAATAATTTAATATCAATTAAGACCATTCTTCCTATCTTTATAACTTGCATAATCAATGTTATAATATCTTAAAGACAATCTAGATAGGTGCTTTTTTTCATAAGAAAATTAAAGTTATGTATAGCAAAAGTCATTATCTATATACTAAAGAAAATTAAATGAAAATTATTAAACCATATAATAAAGAAGACTGTTAGTCTATACATTTTAGGTCGTACTCGAAAAAAAATATAAACTTAATGTTAAAGTAGACATGATAATACATGAATATCGCGTGACTTTTGCTTTATAATTTATTTTAGAAATTTTTTTTATAAAGAGTGTTTATATTTTTCAATTTTAAACTTGAAATATAAATTAAAAAATGAAATTTTTTAAAACGATGAAACGACAATAAACCAAAACACAGAAAAGTAAAATTAAAATAAGTTATCACACTATTCAAAGTCGATATACAATTCTAGAAAGCAAAAGTAATATTCAAAGATGATATGTGTATATATGTATAATGGAAGTCGAACCACTTTCTTATCATACACCGAATGATAGATACGTTCCACTCAAAAAATTGGTTCAGGATCCACGCTTGTGTTTAACGTCCATAGATATTGACAATGTTTTTAATATACGTCCTAATAAATTGAGTGTACAATATAATTTAATTATTTTTTTTTCTTTACTTTAATCCATGTGTGATTTTAGTTCTTCTAATTTTAAAAATATGTATTTAATTATTCTAATAAGTTTCTCATCTCAATTTTTATTTAATAATTAATAAAAATATAATAAAATAACAAAATATTAATAGTTAATATAAAATAAAAAAAAATACAACTATTTAAATTAAAAAACTAAATCTAATAGGGTTCTCACAAATTTTAAAATAATTTTTTGTGTCAAATTAATAGAAGAACGACATTAAAAAACAAGAAAGAGATCACAATATAAAAAATAACAAAATTTCTAAAGCAAAAAAGTTATGAGACTAGGTACCATGGGATTAAATAAACTTAAAAGTAACATAGTATGTGAAATATGAGCTTAAAACTAGTCATACTTAATAGTTTTTGTAACGCTATAATGTATAGATTTAAAAGGTGTTTCACAACTCGTATCTTCTTACTCTTAAACGAGATTAAAAAGTGTAAAAGAAATCACAATATAAATATAACTAAAATTGCAAAGTAGAAAAAGTTAATATAAGATTACATTGTATTGAATAAATTTAAAAGTAGCAAACTT